CTACTTCGATCAGGAATAAACTTTCTTCGTTTCCTAGGAGAATAAGTTATTACGGATAAATTAATATTCTTTCATAGCATACTTGTCTGATCCAATGAGATATGAGATTATTACTCGAGAGGAATCACAGGTAATGACTCGAATGTCGAAAGTCCATCGATGTTCAACCCAGAATTGTGAAGCAAATCCTTGAATGTGGTGGTGATACGGTGTTATCTCCAAACTGTCAATCATTATTTGATTAATTCCGAGACGAAGATGGCTCAAATAGGGCATATGTGTTGTTATCAAGCGTTCCCATCGCTTATGATCAAGATAAGTAGTATCTTTTAGTACTAAAATACGAAAAGTTCGTAATTGCGATGCGAGTTTCTTGATAAATATTTCGAGTTCATAAAAATGCAAATCACATTCTACTAGGGATAAGTACGTTAAATAAGGTACTGAGACTGCTAGTTTTTCGTTCATTTGATGGGATGGTTTTAACGTGCGACAACATAGATGAGAAAGACAGGGTGTATAAGACAATAAATAGACCAGGTCCGCAGATTGGCATGCATGATCTAAGTTCAACCGTTTCAGAGTACTATATTGATCACTAATGTTTCTCAGAAGAAGTAGTGGCGTTGGTCCAAGGTAACTCAGCTTGCTGTATTGTATCATCGGTAAACCGAGAATGATTCGATATACATTACTGAAATCAGGAATAGCGTGGCCATTGCAGACGGTGAGTATTAGTAAACTGAGCCGGGGAACTCGAATTAGTTTTAGGAGGATTGATAGGAGGTCACATGGATTTAAGTTTTCCAGCACGATTGACTCCAAACGTTGAAAAAAAGAATCAAATGTGATTGTTTGAAAAAACCGATCAATAAATGTTGAATCGTACAGAGAAAGTGACACAAATTGATGCTTATATTGAACAATGCAGTTCATCTGGTCATCAAAACCGAATGATTGATCATTAGACTTTATGATTGCTTTTAGACGAAGGGATGATGATGAAAGCAGATCTTGGAAGCGTTTGTTCAGATTCGTAAATGCTTTACATATATGATATGCATCAAGATAGTCGAAGATTTCAAGAAAGAGTTCGTTAGACAAATACTCAATAGCGGTGTTGTTTTCAGCTATGTATTCAAAATAAAGTAAAAAACACAAAAGTTTCATCTTTTAAAACTTACATCGTACTCGTTTGGACGTTACATCACGATCTAGTTTCCGTTTCACCCGATTCATATTTTGTACAGCTGTTCGCGTGAAAACCTACTATTATATACGTGTGCAACTATGGGTTTCTATTAATATTTTATCTTAGTAATAAAGTGTTTCCTTTTTCTATCACGTGTATATAGAGAGGCACGAATGATTCACTTCTTAGGAAAAAAACCAACATGAGTCATAGTCACTCTGTTTGCTAAGGATGCATAGAAAGTAGAGTGAACAGAACATATATTTTGATAAACTAATATTAATTTGATTCCTTAGTAACAAACTTCTCTTCTCAATGAAGTCGAATTCACCAAATATACCTATGGTATCCTAGACGGGAGAAACACATGTAATATGATGCGTTGTTTGCCACGACTTTGAATAAACACTTCAACTACACATTGAAGAGCAAAATCCGACGCGACAATAGCGATATTTTTGAATGTGTAAAAAAAAATCTACGGGTAAAGAGAAAATTTGGTCTCTGCCATGTGCCCGCTAGTCAAGATAAGAAGGAAGAACGAGTCACTTTTTTCTCTGTGAAACGCGTCCACAGTGGAAAAAAGATTGTTTTCATAAGCATTGGTTGTTTTTATTGTTAAAATTTACCTCGTTCTTCTCACTTGGCTGATCGTCGTCATTCATAATCGTACTTTCGTCAAATGGATTTGACTGCTCTGATTAAATCATGGCAGGATATAGGGCTGACAAAGGCAAAACCTAAAGCCAAGCGTTCGCCTACAAGTTCAATTCGTAAGCCGCGCGCACCGATCAGTTCACGCATCGTACAAAACTGTATAGTTGTTTGGTTAGATCCTTATATGGATGAAAACCAAACTGAAGAGTTCAAGAATTTATTTACTGAATCTGGCCGAATTATCCATACAACATATGTATATACTGATTCGGACGAATGCATTGATTTTGTAAGTGATATCAAAGACGAGAAGATACTCCTGATTATACCAGAAAGAATAGCTGAAGATATCGTGCCAGTTATTCACAGTATCGTTCAAATCGATTCGATTTATGTTTTTTGTGAAAGATATGTATCTGCTCCAGGTTGGATCAAACAATGGTTGAAAGTGAAAGACTACTACGACTGTATGGTATCATTAGGTCTCAAATTGAAACAAGACGCGCAAAACTGCGATCGAAATACGATCTCTTTTGGTTTCGTACCGAAAAGCAGTACAAAATTCACTGGAAATATCGATCATCTCGATCCAACGTATATGTACACACAAATATTGAAAGATATTTTACTAAAGATTGATTTCGATGAAAGACATATGAAAAATTTCGTTACATATTATCGCGAAGCATTTGCTGACAACGTTGTTCAACTAAGAAATATCGATGAATTCGAAAAGAATTATAGAAATCAAACACCGATTTGGTGGTATACACATGAATGTTGTCTCTATTCATTACTCAATCAAGCATTACGTGTGATGGAAGTCGATACATTGATCAAAATGGGTTTTTTTATTCGCGATATTCATCGTCATATTGAAGAACTGCATCGTGAACAATTTCGTGGAAATTCTTCTATGGAAACATTTACGACGTATCGAGGTCAAGGTTTGTCAAGAGCAGATTTTGAAAAACTGAATCAAACACAAGGCGGTCTCATATCTTTCAATAATTTTCTATCAACAAGTAGAGATCCTGGTGTTGCATATGCATTTGCTCGTAGTGCACTTGCCAATTATGATTCTATAGGAATCGTTTTTATAATCAATGTAGACCCTACGACGCAATCCACACCATTTGCGGATATAAAAACCGTGAGCCAACATGAAATGGAACATGAAATTCTCTTCACCATGCACACGGTTTTTCGCATTGGAAATATGGCCGAAGCTGGTAAAACTGCAAATCTATGGCAGGTAGACCTGGTTCAAACGAGCGATCAAGATTCACAATTGAATGATTTAACAAAATGTATCCAAGAGAAAATCGAAAGAGCCAATGGATGGGAGTGTTTAGGCAGATTACTGATTAATCTTCGTCAGTTCGACAAAGCTGAAGAATTTTACGAAGATCTTCTTGATCAAGCAAATAATGAAGATGATGAAGTGCATTGTTATAAACAACTCGCATGGAGCACAAAAAAACAAAAGAAATACAAAGAAGCGCTCGAGTATTATGACAAAGCATTAGCAATCAAAGAGAGAAGTCTGCCTGAAAATGATAAATTTTTTGCTGTCACTCATACAGAAATCGGCAGTGTTTATAAAGAAATGGAACAATATTCCAGTGCTTTACTTCATTACGAAGGTGCATTAAGTATTCAAATACAAGCAAAACATCCGGATTTGGTTGGCTTAGGATATTCCTGCAGTCAAATTGCGTCAGTCTATGAGAAAACAAAGGAATACGTGAAAGCGATCAAATTTCATACAGACGCTATTAAGATTCGGCAAGCAGTACGCTCGAATGATTCAAAACATCAAGAGCATATCGCGTATTCTTACAATAATCTGGGCTCTGTCTATGAAAAAATGGATGAACATGAGAAAGCACTTGACTCACACAAACAAGCACTTGAAATTCAAAAAAAAATTCTTCCTTCAAATCATTATGATTTGGCTCAAACGTATAGTAATATTGGATTTGTGTACCACGAGTCAAAAAATTACCGAATGGCACATCAGAACTATCGACAAGCTGTTGATATTGGACGACGTTCATTACCATCAAACGATACTCGTCTTCAACAGTGGCAAAAACGTCTCGATTTTGCAGAGAGAGTGTGTAGATACTAATCTTGTAAGAAATAAAATTAGCATAGTTCTTTCAATTCATTTCTTTTTTCCGACAGTCTGTTTTGGGTTGAATGAGTAGATCAGTTTTATTTCGAACAAGTTCATATTAATCAAAATATAATTAACACATATGGTACATAAGTATTGCTTATATAATCATTCTTTCAGGTATATTTAATTAGGTGCTTAATTAATACATGCACCTTATGAAATGTAATAACAACATCGAAAAACAAACAGTGTGTCAGCAATTTTATTCGAATAAAATCGATCAAAATGGCAAAAACAGAGTCTATAACTTTAGTAAACTCTTTTACCTTCAAGATTCAATATTCTAATTAAATCCAACTCATTCATTTAATTGATGTTACATGGAAAAAAAGGCAATTCATGCAACATAATATGTTCCCTGCTCGATAATTATGACATCCGAGGTATTACCTAGATGAAATACACTGACACATAGATTTTTCAAACCTCACATCAAATACTTATTTAAACTAGGAATGCTTATCGATGTGGCTGAGTTTGATTGCTTTTTAATTACAGTAATAAGTCACTCAGATGTGCAAGAATCACATATAGATACGTCAGATTGCATGACTGTTTAGCAAGGTATCACAAACCAAGTCACATGTTAATGTTTTATTAATAACAATATGACATACGCATATCAAGATGAAATCAGTTTAATAGTCAACACTTTGGTATAAAATCGGTAAATTTCAGAGTAGAATACAGATTTGTACTAAAGTATATGATTGTATCATTCTCTTGAGACTAAAGACGGATATCTAAAGATTCATGGCTCTTGTCAACCATGAGGCGAACAGTAATAGAATCAGTGACAAGTATGTATCTTGATAAAAATAGTGAAGATGTTCGGTTTTAAAATCTCCAAATCTTTCATTTTCTTGCCTGGTTAGACAACTTTGATGACGAATACCTTTTTTTAGACGTCGATTGGATCGTGTATGGTCATGCATCTATTGTTTGTTGGTTGTGGGAATTATACTAATGATGATTGCCATCTCATTGACCCCTGTTTATCTATCAGATAGATCCGTTGCAGTCAATGACCAACTATGTAATTTACACACTTTTGTTTATCATTTCTAATTAGTGTCTTCTTTAGTTCAATACACTTTTTCAGTGACTTATGGAACAAACTACAGCATCATGAATACGGCGAAGACTGTAAACGAGAGTATGATGATTTCACAGGTATATAAACGCCATTGAGTAGAAAGGGTACTAGTTGCTCTTTACTTGTTTCTTTTTAGTTAGAGAAAGCATATGGTCTAGAAGGTTACATTTCTTCGATTAGCTCCGTTCAATTTAGTAACACTACAAGAATATTGAACACGGTTCGGAGAAAAAGGTAAATACAATGTAATTTCTACGACATTCACATGATCAATTTTGAGAAATAAAGTTAGAATGATAATTGCTTTGAATTAAGAGAGTCATCTTATATTTAGACTGTTCAGATTAATACCTTGTGAACAAATCCCAACGTTAAATGGCTATCAATTGCATGTTCGATTCGTAGTCAATATACCAAAATATTATAATACTGGTAGCAAACGAGATCATTTTATTCATGTAGTTAAAGATATCATTCGAAAACCTCGGCAGCATCCAGATTTGATAATGTATCTGAGCAACAGCGAAGTACAAAATATTAATAATGAATTTTGTTCATTTGATCCAGTTTCGAGTGAGTGCACGATATATACTTTATTAGGTTTCATTAGCTTTTCTCATATTTAGCTCTAGGCCCGATAGTTACTAACACGGTAGTAACTTTCACTCATTCTCCTAATACTACAACTAATCAATACACTCAATATACCACTGCAGTAGACACATCGTCCTCCGAAACGCGTGTTGCAGCAACACAAACTAGTATTATCACTACTACTACTTCTACTACTATTCCTACTACCCCAATGACGACGACGATTGAGTCGCCACCAACATGCAGTGCATGCCACTTCACTCTTGTATATACTTATACTTACCAAGGTAGTTTGTTGACTGGTACCGATACGAAAAGTTGTGCCGCTTTCTGTTCGGGTTCATACGGTCGTCATCCTGCTATGGCGATATCCAACACTCTGAATGGTGGTACATACGACTGCAATGTTCGTGCAAATCCACCCAGTGGTGATTGTGTTACTTCCTATGGCGATCCTACTACTTATATCGGTCAGTTTTCCATTGGTCCTGCTGATAGTACGACACCTTGCAATAATCGCAGCGAAACATTTTATTGCTGTTGTACTCCTAAATTCAATTGATATAGGATCGCATGTGCAGCATGATTAAAGAATGTACAGTCGATCTTTTAGATTTTGTTAACAATTTCTATTTATGTGTACAGTTTTACAAATGTTACTATTCTTCGTTTGTTGTTGTTTTTTATATATTTTTTTCAATATCTGAATATTTATGAAGAATAAATTGGTGACAATCACGGTAATCATTACAGAATATAGATTTTCTCCTTTTTATCTCTGTTGCTTTTTGCTTCATAATGTCGCATTAATCTCGGCCTTCGTGGATATGATGCGTGTTTGTTTATTGTTAGAATGAATAGATACTTCTATTTCGGTAAACAAACGAGTCATTTGTATTGCGACATTAATCACTTCCGTTTTTCCTCTCGTTTATATACACAGCCGTAGATCACACAAATCCAATTTCATTCATTATTGCATCTAAAATAACTGTAATAAAATCATAAAACGTCGAGTTTGATTATAACGATAATGATTTTCATGTGTTTAGATGACAGGCCCGTATCAACAAGAAAGTATCAATGAAATTTACAATCTTCTTTTCTGTGATCAATTAGAATTGTATAAAAATCACACTAGTTCGTCAGAAGATCCATGGAACTTGGTGCTGTCGGATGAGACTAATCCAGAAAAGTTAACAAAGTTATCGCAAGATCCACATGTCGCAAGTCGTCTTCGTCTATTAGCTTACCAGCGTCTACACAGTATGGCTCAGCCAATCGATACAAACGAGCTTCTCGGAGTAATCGTAGAAATACGATTTGCAAATGGTCTAGATACATTGGCTGTCTATAAGGACGGCAGTGCACGTTATATCAACCAAGCTGGAAAGCTCATTGTTTGGGATCATCGAACAGAAATATCTGATAAACTCATAGGTAACATATTTCAAGCAAGTCAAGTCATCACTGATCAAATACTTCCATGTTATGACAAAAGAACTCCACATCCAGCTGAAGGTCGATGCAAAGTAACATTCTTAGTCTCAGATCAATTACATTCTACTGAGGGACCTTTTAACGAATATTCTGCTCATCCAGTGATAGGTCCAGTGATTTATGCTGCATCTGGACTTTTACAATACCTCATGGCAGCAGCGTCTATGAGTGCAGTGTGATTTTCAAACTTTCTACTTTTTTCTTTTATTACACAATAAAAATAATCATTTATATTTGAAAGAAACTTGTGAGTTTGATGTCAACGCTATTCGCAGATGTTGAAATCCAAACTGAATAATTGCCCGAAGCGATTGTCCATTTTTGATTAACAACATTCCAATACGAGATGTCTTTTTGTAATAGCACCAACGTTACAGTTTTCGATTCACCTGCTGATAAATATACTCTTTGGAAACCTCGGAGTATTTTAGGTGGTTCTGCTGCTTCAGTAGGAAAGCCGAGGTAAAGCTGAGGTACTTCAGAACCGTAGACTTTGCCTACATTAGTGATAGTAAATGTTATTTGATAGACAGGTTCAAAGAGCATCGATGTGCCCTGATTGGCGTAGGATCGTATTCGTCGTTGTTGATCTACCGTAGTTTTCGAAATAACAAGCTTTGAAAACGAGAACGTCGTATAAGAAAGACCATAACCGAAATAATATCGTGGTGTGATATTGTTTTTATCGAAATGACGATAATCCAAGAAGACACCTTCAACATAGTTGGATTCAAATGATAGTGTGATATCTGTACCATAGTCTGAGGCTTTCTTTGCTAATGTAAATACCAGTTTGCCACCTGGATTGTAATCACCGAACAGAACATCGACTATAGCTGGTCCATATTCGGACGCAGGCATGCCTGACCAAATCACACCTGTCACGTTAGGATGATCAATCCATGCTTCGAGATTCAATTGTGACACACTGTTGACGACAACGATTGTGTTTGCGCAATGAGACGCAACTGTTCTCACCAGTAGATTGCCATCGTTTGCAGGGAGAAGATCTAATCTATCGAACCCTTCGGAAGAGAAAGCACTTATAAAAACAAGACATTTTGCTTGATGAAAACCATGGTATCGGAACGAACTTTCGATCAGAAGATAATCAGATTGGTCAGTAATATATCGAATTTGAAGATGTGCATCCCGACTTTTCAATAATAAAGAAGTAAGAGGATCGATAGCATATGTTGGTTCAACATAACCAGAACCTCCACCTTGGTAAGTTGCGCCACCATGTTGCAATTCACCTGCACCAACAAACCCATGTCTGGATTGAGTTGCCGCTTCACCGTAAACGAAAAAGTGCTTATCCGCAGAAACATTAAACGGCAAAACATTATTCGTATTTTTAAGTAAAATAATACCGGCTGTACTGATCTCGCGATTAACCTGATAGTGATTTTCAAGCACGTCTCGATCTAAATCAACTGTCGGATATTCTTGATCCTGTCCAAGGAGATAGTAAGGTGACAGCAGTCGAACAATCATATCATCGATTCGTGATTCTGATATTTTTCCTTTTCGAACTTCTTCAACAAGTGATATTCCCATCAGTCCATCAGAGCCGGGCATATCGATATCTAGACCTCCTAACGCTGATTGAACACCGGTTTTGGTTGCGCCCCAGTCCGACATGACATTTCCTAAATATCCGAGTTCTCCTTTAAGGAGTTGATTCAGAGTTTTATCGTTTTGACAAGCGGGTGTGTTGTTGACTTCGTTGTATGAACACATGACAGAGCCAACACCAGCTGCGACACTGGCCGCAAATGGCCAAAGATAAATCTCATGCATAGTTTTATCATCGAGATTAGCCGAATAGCTACGTATATAAGTCAAATTTTGTGTGGCATAAATACGATTTGTTTCTTGCTCATTACAAATATAATGTTTGGCGGTTGCAACTACTCCTTGATCTTGAAGACCTTGTACGTACAGAAAAGCATTTTCTCCTGACAGATAGGGATCAGCACCGAATCCTTCCCAATTTCGACCGTGTCGCGCATTACGGTCGATATTCATCATGGGACCCAACGCAAAATTGATACCTTTTCCTTGAAATTCTCTACCAATGGCCACGGCACGCTTGTAAAATAAATCCCGATCCCAGGTAGCTGCGATTTGTATACCGGGCACAAACGCTGTTGCATAGAGAATTCCATCGCCAACACCAGATGGCGAATCTTGAAAGCACATACCGGTGAAATTCAGACGTGGTATAGGCAAGACATTGCCAGCGCATCGACCTTTAATGCCGGCTGTCATCGCACATTTTTCTGTTAAATTTAAGTGTTGGACAAACGATTTAGCCATGACAATGGCTTGATTCCATGTTCGTCGGGTAGACGTCGAATGAACATCTGTATGGGAACCTACCATTGACAACCATGTTAAATAAAAACAAACCGTACTAAGCGTCACAAATGATCGAGCACTAACCATATTGAATAAATTTCGCAAAACAACAATAGATGTCTTACTCTCAACTCTATAATTCTATCACTGACACTACCAAACCATCCTTTCTTTCCCCCCTGGTTGCTGATAAGACACAATAGATAAGAAATAGGTATTTATTCATTTCAATTAGAATAAGGAGCATAATGTTTACAACCAGAATCATGTCGATGGTTACCATCGCGTCGAATAGCGTTGTAGTCAGCTAAGCATGACCAACAAAATTCATACCGACATTTACCACATGTCATATGATCACATCCTGACGCCTTTTCGATTCGTGCGGAACATTTAGGACATTTCTTACAGTTTTGTGAAATCCACGATTGTGAGGCTCGTTGTTCGGAATTACAAACAGCATCGTATCTAAAATAAAAAGAATGTTGATTTAGCACAACACTCAACAAAACCTACTCTGCGCAGGTCATATCCGTATGCCATACTGATTTATGTGTGAAACACGTTTGTTGGCGGCATTTGGCACATCTGACAATGTTGTTTTCATCTCCACCATCATTCAACTGACCCATTCCACATCCATGTGCGCACCAGATGAATTCCGGCATCATTTCCAATTGTCGATGAAGAATAAAACGTTCGTATTTTTCCAACAGAGCTTTGTCATTCTTGTCCGATAGGATCCTTTGTATTGTTTTCGCACTGAAATTAATGCGACAGTTCAATTCAGGACATCGCGCACTGTCCGTACACATTTTTCCAAATTCTTGTTTAACATGTTGATAGAGACAAGAATCACAAATTCGACGTTCAACATGGGAACACCGGTGACTGTAGATTTTTTTAAATTCTTCCTGAGATTTTTCATCAAAACATACTTGACACTGTTTGGTTGATTCACTTGACGCATTTTGATTGTCAACCGCAAATAATGATGGATTCTTCGTAAGACAAGATAAACAATAACGCTTTTTATTAATTACTGCAAAATTATCGGACGTAATCTTTGATTCACAATATCCGCACTGCATCTTTTCTCGTATGAAAGATTGAGTCAAAGAACAAATATATTTATATATTTACCGTTGGTTTTTTCCATCCATTCTCAAGATTGCAAACAACACATGAGGTTATTTGTCTGAAAGCAGCCAATGAAAAAGTTCTTTCCCACATCGATTCAATTCATAGTGTAAGAAGCTCGATTCTTAACAGAATAATTCAGATTAATTTTAATATGAGTTAAGTGTCGTAGGACAGCAGAAAAAGGCAAAAAAAGAAGTAAAATGTGACAATCCACAAAAAGAAATAGCACATCATTTTATACAACATAGAAAGTTGAGCCTAGAATAATATATCTATGCGACAATATTCAACTGCCGATGAAGATGATATCTCTTTGTATTATTCTTGTTTGTGCAAAGATTATGTAAACTATACAGAAAAAGAAAAGATGCACACACGCACACACATACTGAATAAACAATAACAACAACGAAAAAGATTTGTGTAGGTGGATTATCGAGCTAAGCTAAGTAGCGTAAGACATCTTTTTCATTGGATTGTCGTTCGAGATATTCTTTTTCGATTAAAATGTCAATGCATTTCTGAAAAACAGAATCAAGATCAGAAACCGATCGGTTAAATACGAATAAACCTACTTTAATAACAGGAATTTTCGGACGGAAACGCGAATTTAGTTGCTGGATGACTTCTTGCATGAGCAGCGCATGTTTGGATGTTTGTCGCGCTTTCATTATTCGTACAATAGCGGCTTGAATCACCATTTTTCTATCTTCATCAATCGTTCGATGAACACCTTCGATATCTTTTTGTTCGACCGATTTCAACGGAACATTCAGATTCAGTCGTAGTTTTCTGCTTTTGAATTCTGTTGCTAAGCGAATGGAATAAGTCGCTTTGATATCACTTTCTTTCAAGTCTTCGTCCAGTTCGTCTTCACTGATTTCAGAGCAAACCAGAAGTTTACTTTTGATCAAACCGAGAAGAATTTGCGAGAGAAGTTCAAGTTTAATTTCTATTTTCTCTTGCAATCGCTCTACTGTCCATGTTACTGCTCGATTAAATTGTAATAAAACAGCCATTTGATAAGTTGATACTTGTAAAGTATACTTCTGAGATGTAAAATATGTTTGTAACTCTCCTTTTGAATGTTGATGAAGCCATGTTAACTTTCGACCGTTATGTCGATGTGTATAAAAGTCCGTAAAACTATCGAATGTGGATTTTAACTGAAACAAGACGAACGAATAGACTAATGAAATATCGATGAAAAATTCGCGTACTTCTAGTGGGAGAGCAAAAGCTGGAGAAGTAGAAAATGGCCATGAATTGGAACTGAGTACCATAACAGAAAAATCGACTAAAAATCAGTTATGATGGATGAATTTAAATGTAGTTAGTTTATGATATATACCTTTATTACTAATATGATTAGTTTCACAGTATTTTTCGTATTCGGTTATGAGAGTTTTGCTAACACCAATGTCTTGGAACATTCGTTGTAGTTTCGACGTGTATTCGAAACCGCATGCTTGCTAGCAAAAGAAGAATGTATCGGATTGAATCGAGGTATTTGTTCATTACTTTTAACTTTGAAATCATTGATTCTTCGTAATCATCCGACGCACTCAATTGACCAACTAAACGTTTGGCTAGCATTTTACCGTAAAATTTCTGATAGACATCTTTATCTTCGACGTAATTGAAAACAATCTAGGAGAGAAAATCATTGTCCAATTTTGAATTTCAAAGATTTTTACCATAATTTCATTGAATTTTTCTTCCAGATCAGTTTCCTCCACCGCTTTGCTTCTAAAAAGGAAAACAAATCGATTGTTTGCCATTCTTACAGCACAACTCGACGTACCCTTTTCTTAGCAATGCATCACAATATCGAGCTAATAATTCGGGTGATTTTGTGGTACTACCAGCTGTTTGAGTGACAAGATTATTGTTGATAAATTTACCACACGCCTATAGCGATGTAACAAATTGACAATGAAGTCTTTCAATAGCAGAGACAGGTTTACTTTATCGAGAGCAGCGGTAAAACCTTGTTCACCACCAAATGCGTCTTGTACCAGTGCTAAGAATTTCTTATGAATATCAATAATGGTCTCGATGTATATTTTAGGATCCTATATACGAACAAAAACACGGTAGGGATGGTTTTCTCGAGGAATTTCGGCTTACGTTTATCGCTGTCGCATGGACACGTTCGATCGTTTGAAAACCAATTTCATAAACATGATTTTCAACGATTCGTTTCAAATCCAACGTAGCATTCGGCACTCGACTTACTAATTTGAACAGCAGTGCTAAATCTGAACGAAATCAAGTGGGTTTCTTTGTTTGGTCAATTATTCGAATGATATACCTTGGTGGCGTTCGTCACGCAAAAGATTTTTGGCTTCGGTATAAATCGCTTCTAGTTGATCACGAATCATAACCTCTTCGACTTTTTTAACCAACGCTGGTAATGTCGATGAATGAAGATAGGATTGAACACGATGGACTTCTTCGTCAAGTCGTTGCGCGACTTTTCGTAGATATTCTGTGACTGAATTATGAACGAGAAATGTAGCAGCTTCTAGTTGATAGAACTGTTCCGTATCTTGAAGAAATTGTATTTCAAAGAAATCTTTGTAGATATCTAACGAGGGTAATATCATTTGATTGCTGTTCGATGTATCTTCGGTAAATCCGAGAGCAACTAAAGGCAAAGTGTGTAAGACTAATGGAGTTCTCTTCCTAAATCGATTACCATAACTTTGTATGACTCCACTTATTATACGAGTGTTGATAATTTCATTGTTTCGTTCAGATTTGATTAAATCAAGACAAGCCTGTGTTACATGTTTATACAATGGTTGAAAAACAACGTTCCGCCACGTTTCCATAGCCATCTAATCAAAAAGTCAAAAATCAATATTCATTCCTTCTATCAGTGGCAACTTACCGTGTATATATCATAAATATCTTTTCGTCCAGAATTGTACTCTCTGTGTACCCAATGGCGATTGATATACGAACAAAAGTCATTCATCACTTTGCTGGAAAATTGATATTTATCCCAACGTGTTGTATAGAATCGTAGAACATCTTCACCTTGCAAATCACTTCCACTCTAAACGTGAATCCTGTTAGTTGATCAAACGGAATAAGTATGTTCTACAGTTGCATGTCTTATGCAACAACAATTACTTATTCGTGTGTAGAGAAGGTTCAAGGTTGTCTATATCGACATGACCTTCTCATTGACAGTGAGAAGAATAAAACATTATATAGGTTATCCGACGTTCATTCTGTTTAATTTAGGTTCATAGTTGCACATTAATTATATTTATTTACCTGACAAATATCTTCGAGATAATCTGTTAAATAGTTTTTCAGTTTATTGTACAACTCTCCTCCAACAATATGTGCTCCTTGCTGAGTCGAGTTACGATTGAGATCGCCGAGATTTCCTTTCGAAGAGGTTATAGGTGTTTTCACTTGATTTGGACTACTGATACAATAATTGTAAACATGACTGAAAGAAATCATTGAAGAAAATACTGATAAAAAACAAGGTGAATTTACGTGTAAAGTAATATATAAGCTGGTTTTTTCATCGACTGAAATCGATAAACATGGTTAATTCCATCTAATAATTTCTCCCACACCTCATCCAGTTTAACATGACGATTTGCATTAGACATGTTCGTCATTTGAATGAAAAAATATATAAAAAAGTAATCAGCTGGTATAGATTTTTTCTTTTCATTCTCTACTCTCTATGGTTAAGAGACACTATAGAGGACGAAACAAAATCATCCTATTGGTCGACCGACGACCAATCAGACTTTCTCTACAAGAAAAGTCAGCAGAAGAGTTTTTATTTTTCTTAGGATGAGTCTTGTTTTGTACAGTTCATCGGAATCGGACAATGAAGAACGTGCATCGACGGATGAGAGTAAAAACGACCGAGTAAGATTATTTCCACACGAAGAAGGCAATTGGGCATTGTCAATTTATGCGTTTGGTAAAATTTGAGTGATTTACGAAATTCACCGGAAACTTATTTTGTATTTGTAGTCGATTGTTCATCACATATGGATACGATGATTGATGATTTATTGGAGATTTTCAATGAAAAACAGGAGATATGGAAGCGTTTGGGAGAGTTGCATTTAAGCTTATCGAAAACATTTCCTATTCGTTTTCTTCACATTGAGTCGATTCGAAAAAGTCTTCAAGATGAACTGACAACGTCAATGAACAGGTATGACTATTACAGAAATCGAGAATCTAAGTTTTATTGTATGAATAGATTCGCGACACACATCGAGAATGTCACGATATTAAACAACGAGGATAGTTCCACGTAAATATGATCAGAAATATTAACAGAGAAAGTGTAATATCTTCATTGTAGCTCGTTTTTAGTATTTACAGTTGATCAGCATCGGCAAATTTCTCGACTAGTTGAAATTGTTGATAAGATACTCAAAGAACATCGATATCCTTGTTATTACAAAGTAAATTGTCCTTATCTGTCTTTCGATATATACTTTGTTTTTCCTTCAGAACCCATGTTTTCACGTCAGTTTCGCATATTCAACCGCTAATAATCGGCAAGAAAAGCTACCGTTAGATTGGCAGGAAAAATGTCAGGTAAAGTGATATTTATCGAATCCGACACACTCATCATGTTGTTTTAGTCGATTTTTAAACAATATCAATGTCAACCGAGTTCCATGATGATACCTATTGATGATATTTGTTTGAAAGCAGGCAAACGTGTTTATCATTTGACGAAATCTTCATGAAAGAGAGAAAGACTTCGATGATTGTTTTGATTTCAGATAGAATGGCTTTTAGATTTCGTATTCCAAATATTGGCTTTCGGAAACGCATGTCATGGTTTGATTTCACCGTTGCTTGTGTTGTTGGTGTCCTAGCTGGTATTTACACATTCAAGCCCGGCCTTCAACAAGCCAAAGACGAGATTGAAAGACGCGAAGCATTAAAAGAGATTCAAGCACGACGAAAGGCAGAAATGGAACAAGGTAGTTTGTAGTTCGGTGGCTTTTACCGCGTGTATGAAAACTTCGAAGTTCTCAATATTGTTTTCTTTTAGAAAAAAATCTGCAAGCGACGAAATGATTTGTTCTCTTGTTTAATAGTTTGTTAGTTTTCTAGATAAATACTCTAAATGACGATGAGAAGTCATCCGCCGCCGATTATCAACGAACATCAACCGAAAGTTGTTCATCCAGATAGACCAACTCAAACAGCATGGCTGTCATTATTCAAACGTATTGTAAAGAATGCGAACACTCGTTATGGTTTGTTGTGGCTAACTGGTGGATTATTGTTTTGTTTATTTGGTAAATCCGCAATACAGAAACGTGAAAAGGAAATAATGCTTGATGATTTAGAAAACTATATAAGAAATAAAAGAAAGAAAGAATCAGAATAATGATATGTTCCCGTTTCTCTGTCCTTAGTTTTATTTTGTTTTTCTTTTCTTTTGTTCTATATAAGTATAAATCCATCCATTGATTATGGCAGCATCCGATAAAGCAGTGCTGAGTCAGTTCCAACTCGAAAATGGGACTTTATTGGGTGGGCCGGTGGAAATACCTTTGACAGTCAATCTTCGTCAATTGAATAGTATTACCAATGGACTTGCTCAAGTACAAGAAGGAGCAGCAGCTGCTGATACCAATGAACCAGTTCCGTATTCATTCTACATCGATGAAATTGAAATTAAAGAGTCATTGGAAAAATATTTCGAAGAACAAGCAAATAAACAAATTTTCGAGAAAACTTTGAACATTGTTTGTGTACCGAAAGCACGGTTTCAAGTTATTCCAGTTGAACGATGTACGGCAACAATCGAAGGACATCTAGAAGCGATTACCGTGTTACAGTTCAGCCCTAATGGAAAATTATTAGCATCGGGTAGCGGTGATACGACTGTTCGATTTTGGGATTTGAATACACAAACGCCATTTGATGAATACGGCAGAGCACATAGACACTGGATCTTGTGTTTAAGTTGGGCACCGAATGGAAAAATGGTCGCATCGTCATGTAAACAAGGACTCATTGGTTTGTGGATTGGTGCTACTGGCAAACAGCATGGTAAACAGGCGTTTCTTCTCTCGATCGATTCTTTGATATCTGATGTTCTCTAGGGACAAAATTATTATCTGGTCATCGTCAATGGATCAATTCGTTGAGTTGGCAACCTTTGCATTTGAACGGTAGTTGTCGTTTATTAGCATCTGGTAGCAAAGATACAACGATTAAAATTTGGGACACACATTTATTTAAAACAGTTTTTACGCTCAGTGGTCATACAGCGTCAGTGACATGTGTGAAATGGGGTGGACAAAATTTACTTTATTCAGCATCGCAAGATCGTACCATCAAAGTGTGGCGTACAACAGATGGTGTGCTTTGTCGAACGTTAGAAGGACATGCACATTGGGTTAATACACTGGCATTGTCGACTGACTATGTTATACGAACTGGTGCTTATGAACCATCGAAAGAACGTGCTTCAGACGAATATGATCATCTCGATGAATCAACATTGCAAACATTAGCGTCGGAAAGATACGAAAAAGTTTATAAATTATTTGATACAAACGGTGGTGAACGATTGGTTTCCGGTTCGGACGATTTCACACTTTATCTATGGAAGCCCGAAACGGATAAAAAGCCTCTCGCTCGAATGACCGGTCATCAGCAGTTAATCAATGATGTGAAATTTTCTCCGGATACACGTCTGTTAGCATCCGCTAGCTTTGACAAATCCATCAAATTGTGGTCCAGTCGTACCGGTGCTTTTCTTTCCACCTTACGTGGACACGTACAAGCTGTTTATCAAATAGCTTGGTCAGCTGATTCTCGTTTACTCGTGTCTGGTAGTGCTGATAGTACATTAAAAGTTTGGAATATCGAAAAACGGTGTCTACTTTTCGATCTACCTGGACATGCTGATGAAATCTATGCAGTTGATTATAGTCCTGATGGACAAAAGGTTGCAAGCGGAGGAAAAGATAAAGTATTAAAACTCTGGAGAAGATAAATAATAAGGAATATTCTTTGAAAAATATAACAAACGTTTTGTTTTTGTTATTGGTTTTTTTCTAGATAATAATCTATCGCCGGAAGTTTGATCGAACTCGGTACGTTTTCGATTTTCTTTTTGCTTGAGCAGGTTTCTATTGCACGAAAAGCGCAAAAGCGATTTATGACGTATATGCTTCTATTTTTCTTCGTACTCGACATTTCTCTTCTCTCTGTCTCTTCTTTTTTGTTTGATTCATTTGTCTCGATTCTATGCATATGTATACAACTATCATTCATTTCTTCAACAGAACACGAAAGAAAAGGCTTTGCTAAGCAAATAAAGCCCTTCTCTGCAGAAACGAGACTTATTGATTTGTCGTTTTTTCTTCTTCTTAGGCACTTGCTCTAAATGATATTTACTTGAAAGAACAGTTCGAAAATGAAATTTGCCGAACATTTATCAGCACATGTTACACCCGAATGGAACAGTCAGTATATTCGTTACGATGATATGAAAGAATTGCTGGCACAAGCGGTTGCCAAAGCACAACCGTTTGTGGATGACAGTGACAATATTCTACGTGAACAATTTTTCTTTCGTGTTGATGAACATTTTTTTCAGGTAAGAGAGTACTTGAATCAATATTCCGTTCATCTTTCTTCTGTTTTCTTTTCTTGGTTTTAGTATTGCGAAAAAGAAGCGACGAAGATCAATACATTTTTTGCGGAGAAGATTGCTGAGTATGTATAATTCTAAAATGATTTCTATTTGGTTGAAATTATGTTAATGAAATCAGCTTGAAGCAATATGCAAAGTCAAGTACTTCGTAGTTTTGTGCACAATGACAGAGTCGTTTTTCTTCAGAGGACGCCGGTCTATGGACTGGAAACTAATCCTTGTTTTCGGGCAATGCTAATTTGAAATCCAATATGAAATAGTGACGTAGTATCAAATGCGTAGTAGAGACATTTTTGTAACCGCAGTGAAGTTGACGTAAATGTTAAGGTCAGTCTTACACGATCAACTTCACAGCTGAGTCTTTGATCTGCATAGTTACTTCATCGAGTTCTAATTTTTTTTCTTAATGTGAAATAAATTGTTTGGATATTTCTAGAGCTTTACGACGTTGGGAAACGTTGAAAAGTGAAGTTGGCCATATAGAACAGTCTCGTCGTCATGTATCGCATCGTTCAGGTGCATCAGGTGCCGAGCCGTCTGGAAACAATGAAGTACATGATGAAACGAAGTCATCGACGATAAAACGTCGTTCGGAGGATCAAACTGCCATCACACCATTAACACGTGTGTTGCCAGAACGTTTAGTGGAAAAGACACGTGAAAAACAAACACAACGCGTGCAATATCGCAAGCGAAATGATTTGAAACTAGCGTTCAGTGAATTTTATTTGATGTTAGTTTTGTTGCAAAACTATCAAACATTGAATTTTACTGGTTTTCGTAAGATATTGAAAAAGCATGATAAATTATTTCAAACTACACGTGGTGAAGAATGGCGGTAAGGAAACTTTTCCGTTGTATTATCTATCGATAAAACCCATTATTTATTTGTAGAAAGCTGCATATTGATCCAGCTCCTTTCCATACATCGAAACGGGTTGAACAGTTGATTAGTGATGTTGAAACGCTGTACACTGATACATTGGAATCAGGGAATCGAGCGCGTGCAATGAAACGTTTACGTGTGCCACCGTTGGAAGAAAAACAATCACCTGCTGTGACATTCCGTGTTGGAATATTTGTCGGTAAGACTGACGAGCTCAACTTTCTCGTGTATAATTTCATTCTTGAAGGAATGATTTGTCTCCTACTTCCTGCTGTTATCGCTCTTGGAGCCAATCTTCATGATAGTCAATCAACGAAACCACTCGCTTGGCGACAAGCATTGTTTCTTTATCGTTCAACATTTCTTATTGTTCTTCATATAGTTCTAGTCGGCATCAACGTTTACGGTTGGTCATCATCAGGTGTCAATCACGTTCTTATATTTGAAATCGATCCTCGGAATCACCTTACTTATCAACAATTTCTTGAGATTGGTACATTTCTTTTTGTTTTATGGTTTTTAAGTTTTACAGGATTCATTTTATCATCTTATTTTGATTTTCATCCATTTATACAACCGCTTGGTTTTGTTACACTCATACTTTTATTTCTGTTCAATCCAACGCATACGCTTTACCATCATGCACGATTCTGGTTTCTGAAAATTCTAGGTCGCATTATCTGTGCCCCATTCTACCGTGTCGGTTTCGCTGACTTTTGGCTTGGCGATCAGTTGACATCACTCGAATTGATCTTTTTCGATATTGAGTATTTCTTTTGTTTCTATATCTATGATGTCGGATGGTGGCCAGTGTACTCGTCCTCTCCAACACGTGGCGTACTTTGTCAAGGTTGGCCTCAAGTCCTTCTGCAAACCGTTTTGATGATCTTGCCATCATGGTTTCGATTTGCACAATGCTTGAGACGTTACCGAGATACGAAACAGAAATTTCCGCATCTTGTCAACGCCGGCAAATATGCTAGCGGCTTCTTCGTCATGGGAACGAATGCAGCACGACGTGCCACAGCGATACATTATCTCGATAGTCCCACATCGAATCCTTTTTTATACATTTGGATCATTGCTTCGTTCATTGGTGCAACTTACAAAGTTATTTGGGATTTGAAAATGGATTGGGGATTCTTCGATAAAAACGCCGGCGAAAACAAGTTCCTACGCGATCAAATTGTTTATCCATCCAGATTCTATTACTATGCAGCCATTGTCGAAAACGTCCTCTTTCGTTACATATGGGTGGTTAACGTTTTCATGCAGTTTCGGACACGTTCAGCTGAATATGCTGATGTCATTGGCTTCATATTTGGTCTAATTGAAATCTTTCGACGATTTGTTTGGAACTACTTTCGATTGGAAAACGAACATTTGAATAACTGCGGAGAATTTCGAGCTGTACGTGATATATCAATTGCACCGATATCAACCGTCGTTGATCATGGAACATTAGAAGAGATGATGGACAAAGATATGGGAATCAAAAATCGACGGAAAGGCAAACGACACGATTTATCACAAAAGATTAATAAAACATTCATGGATGATAATGAAGTTACAATTGGCCGAACAACTTCGATAAACTCCAATCCAATCATTGAAGAGTTAAATACCACCATTGAAGCTCTCAAGCCACAGACATCTCATGACGAATCTTCAGAAAATCACGCCTTTTTATGAATCTTTATGATCAACCGGTTCCACCGGCTACGATGCATTCCACACATAAACTATGTGCATCTAAGACTCTCTAGTCATACTCATCTGAACAGTTTCCTTATCTGTGTGCGTGTACATGAATGTATCTCAAATAATAATAATAATGATGTATTTGAGGCTTCTTACTGTATTCTGTATTTTGATTTTATCATAAATAAAACAAAATTTTTCTTTGCTTTTTCAAGATGTTTGATAAAGTTGAACTCGCCTATGTTGGCATAGGCCTTCTCGTGCGAGTATTTCTGTTCTTTCAAACAAGAATCAGAAGTTATTTCGAAGATAATGGCGAATTTGTCACCCCATTAAACTCATGGAAACGAGGTAAACTTTCGTGTGACCGATTCATGTCTATTCTGTTGCTTTTTAGTCATCGAAGGAATTTATCTACACAAACTAAATGTTTCACCATTCGTTGGGTCTATCGTACATGAAGTATGTTGAAATGCATGTTCAATATCATCTTTATCCATTCGTTCGTTTAGATGCCATTGTCTCTTTTCTTCTATTCCAAATTACACGCGATTACACAAGGGCATATCGAAGGTTTATTTATCGTGAGGATCTGTCTTAATTTGATATTGACAATACGTATTTTATTCGTTTTCAATAGATTGCAGATATTCTAACTGGTTTATTGACGTACAAAATCGCTCGCCGAATATTGACACAATTGGTGCGTAAAGATTTCCTTCTTCTCTCGATCAACCAACTTGATGTTTTGTTCATAGTCTGAAGAAGATCTCAGAGAAAAAGAAGCTTACAAGCCAGATAGCAAATCGTTATGGTTAACCAAAGAAAACGTTCAAAAGAGTGCTCTCGCTGTTCTCCTATGGTAAAAAGATCTGTCCTTCATTTCTTCCTTCATTCATTTCATGTTAACTAGCACAATGATTAATCCACTGAGTATTGGAACATGCATAGCGAAATCAAGTCTAGTTTTTCATAATCTACTCTTGACAATGACATTTTATTTCTTTATAACATGTAAGATCATTCAACTTTTTAAGTGATAGAATTTTGAACATTGCATCTTTAGATCAACTGATACCATTTGTCGTTCTATTGGCAGTAACTAGCTCGATTTCACTCTATCCAGTTGTTTTAATCGTACCAGCGTTATTGCAATTTTCAAAAACTAAAACTGTACTATCTTTAATTACTACAAGAGCAAAAAATAGTATCATTTCCTTTCATTTAGACATCTTTTTCAATTATGCGTGCATTACCTGTCATTATTCTCTTTGTTCTTGCTGTCGCCGGCATACTCTACCTGAATTTCTTTCTCAATCATCAATCCTGGTCGTTTCTCGAATCAACCTACAGTTTTATGTACGTTATTCTCTGTTTTCAATATGATTCTCACATGATTGACTCGAATAGATTTCATGTACCAGACTACACACCAAATGTTGGCATCTTTTGGTACTTTTTCACGGAAATGTTTGATCATTTTCGTTCACTATTCGTTTGGACCTTTCAAATGCACGTCCTTTTACTCTATCTATTTCCATTCGCCATACGTTTGAGGTATTCTCATTTTGATCAAACTAATCGTTTTGCACATATTGCATTTGTTTTAATTTAGAAAAGATCCGATATTTCTCTTTTGGCTTCTATGCGCAATTTTTTGCACTTTTAAATCATATCCAGCATACGGCGATGCAACATTCTACTTCAACTATTTACCCATTTGGAGTTTTCTTTTTCGATGTGAGTAATAAATCATTTGTTTATGTCATTGAATAATTCGTTTTGCATATGTATAGATGTTCGGCATACTTTGATTATTATTTGTATGATACTAATCGCTATTTTGATGGCGCCAATCACATGGTACTTGTGGATATATACAGGAAGTGCTAATGCAAACTTTTACTTCGCCATGACAATGGTATTCAACGTAGCTCAGGTTCGAAAGCATTTTTTTACAGTTGAGGGGTGAGATAGTCGTTTGTGATTTTTAGACATTCCTTATCTCGGACTTGCTCTATGCGTATGTGAAACGCAAATTTTTACTGCGAAATGGTGTGACCGTTCCTGAAATTGATGGTGCTGAAGGTCAATTGGAATTTCGTTAAATTATGCAAATATATTCATCCATACATTCGTTAATTCTCTGTGAACAAAAACGAAAGTAGATAAAGAATGACATTCTTTTCTTTCATTTGTAATTTCTCTTCTTTGGAATAAACAAATTTTATCAAAAGATCAAGTTAATTGATTGATTATTATTTAATAGTCAATGAAATGTTGAAAGAAAATCCGGATTAATAACATATGAATAAACAGCACATTACAGCGAGTCCATCAACAAAGAATTACGAACTATTGATGTGTACATTTGTTCGATGATAAAACGATGTTAAGGTCTCTCTATACTAATTGTAAAAAGGCCGCGAATGTCAGACAGAAATGTCTGTATAGGAAAAGAAGAATATGCAATTTCTTTTTCTCCCCCTCTGTTACTGGAATGAACTTGGCATTTATTACCGATTGTATTTGGCCCAGAAGAAACACTCGTAAGTGACAATTTGCTAACGAAGTAATGCACGTTTCCTCAATTATACATTGTGACTAATTCAATTTTGCGTACGTAAGACGCATCTTCGCGATCTTCATCGTGATTCAGATGTCGCTGTGTGTTTGCAATCGTCAGATCAAAGATGACTCATCTATCTTCCTTATCGGTCGATCAATAGTAATGTAATTCAATCATAGCAAGAAAATTTTATTATGTTGACAAGATTTCTTTATATGAATTTATTTTCCGCCACGTTGCTTCCATCCATTCTCTCAACAATGAAGACAAGTTCGTCATTAAGTAATAATGCTTGTTCTTCGTCATCCATACATTCCGCATCAATCGACACAACTTACAACATACCCATGAAAGATATAATACGTCCATTACCATCAACACTTGACGAGAAGAAAGTTCAATCATTGATGGAAACTATTCAAGTAGTGATTGACACAGGTTCGATTACGAAAAGATTTATTTCGACTTTGTAGACAACGGAAACTGATCAAGTTCCACCAATTGATGTGCTTTGGTATGAAGCACCTGAGTCTAAAAATAATTACTTTTTTGCCATGGGTGGTTGTCATCGATGGGAGTAAGATTTCAATGCACTTGTTCTTCGAAGGATATTCATACGGTATCTTTTAGAGCGCATAAACGCTTAAATTCGAAAACGATTCGTGCTAAACTTGTTCGTACGACGTTGAATGATTTAAGAATCTATTTTGGCTCATCGTTACCTAATTTCAAATAAATCACGACGTTTTTCTTAATCTATTCTAGATGAATGAAGAAAAATTTCATCGTGATCCCGAAGAATATGCGATATTCAAACGGTTAAACAATAAACAGTTTTCCAAACGTCCAAATGACATTTACGTTACACGAAAAACCAATTTCAAAGCACAATTAGAGCGTTGTATGAAATTGATTTCTTCCAACGGGAACTATCGAGAAATTACAATCTATGGTATGGGTTCCGCTTTGCAACGAACGATCAATTTAGCGTTACAATTTCAATTGAAAACCAATTGTCAACTGCACACGTCAATATCAAGTGTCGAAGTCACAGATCATCTGATGCCTTTGTTAGATGAGCTCGAACCCATGAATGACACGCGTTGGGTATCGACAATCACGATATCGTGTACTTTACCAGCTATTTTAACAACAGAAACGAAATAAATTCGAACTTTTGTTTTGTTATTGCTAATCAGTTTTGAAAGCTTTTCTGTTCTACTTTCTAGATGAGTAGTGAACGAGGATTTCTGTGGCAAAAATTCGTTTCTTTGTAAGTTAACTTCGTTTCTATAGAGAAATTTCTATTGTTTTGTTTGTTCAAGTTTCTTACCATCGAATCGTCTTCAGCGTTATCAACTTTATGCAAGTGAGGATTATCTACAATTACCTGTCGAAGTCATTTCAGCATTAAGTCAGAATACCATTGCTTGTGAATCAGGTCCCGATGTTGGCTTAGTAGACATTGCTCGGCATCAAAGTAATTCTCGTGTTTATTTCTTATACGATAGATTTCTGAATGCAAATTTTATTCAGAAAAAGGAATTTTAAAAGTCAACAATTCGATCAAAGTCGCCGGACAATACGATTGGCAAAAACCTAACGAAGACATTGCTTGTGGATCATCCACATCGCTCTACGATCGTGATCCGTTTACTGGTGAAGTCAATGGTTAGACAATTGTGTTTGTTTGATGTTCTTATGTAATATATGATTGTTTCTCTAGGCGAACCGATTGCTGACTGTTTTGGAATATGTGCTCGAGAGAATAATGCGATCATAATGATTGCTGATGGGGTTAATTGGGGATACAAAGCTCGACTTGCTGCTCGATGTGCGATACACGGCGCCATGGATTGCCTCAATCAACAGCTATTCGAGAAGAGATTATCTACTACAAGAGTAAGAAGAAATTCTGTTCGGATTTGTGAAAAATGTGTGTCTTGCTTTATAGGATATTTTTCAGCATATTAGCATAGCGATTGAAGCCGCTCAACAGTTAATTTATAAAAGTGAAGGTTCATTGACAACATTGACAATCAGTATTGTGTGCCCATCGAACCGTCGATGGTTAGTATGTTCAGTCATTGTCGGTGATTCTAATGCCTACGTATACAGTCAAAGACGAAAAGCTGTCTTTGAATTAACTCAAGGTCAGTTGTATCATATCCAGTCGATTCTTCGTCACGTGATTTTTCTAGGATCTCGAGATTTGAATAATGAACGTGATATGCGTTCACCGGGTGGTGCGTTGGGTACGACAATGAATGAAAAAGCTGATCTGGCCAACTTAACATATTCATTGATGGAAGTTGAACCGGGCGATTTTGTATTTTTGACAACTGATGGAATTAGTGATAATTTCGATCCTTGCGTAAGTGGCAATGGAGCAAGCGTGAAAACACCCTTACTTGCTCGAAAATCGAGTCAGTCAGTATCGACATCACCGCCGGTACTGATGACGGCATATGAGCGGCATTTATTCAGCTTGAATCATATGTATTTATCGATTGCTAATAAGGGAGAAGATATGAATGCTCGAGATTTGTGCAATCGACTGTTGCAATATGTCATTCAATCAACGAACGAGCAGCGACAGATAATAGAACAAGGTGTTCGAGAGAATGAAGGAATTCAAGATTCCGCGCGTCTCAAATTTGAACTTGAAATGCGAAACAAAATTGGTAAAATTCCGGGAAAGTTAGATCATGCAACAATTGTAACATATCACGTCAGATGAACAGTATCTTCTTCGTCTTTTTTCATGAAAATGACAATCATTATTTTATATATGAATGTGATAATATATAGAAATAATTTTTTGTGCACTTATTGTATGTGAATAGTGAGAAAGTCATTTGTAACGATTCGCATTGTATTCGTGTTTTCGTAAATCTCAGAATTTTTTTTAAAATAAATTTGCATTATGTCCGATAAAAATAATTTTACATTTTGTCTTTTAATATCAAAAGTTATTTGCATCTTATCTTGCACGAACAAGAACACTTCCTCTTGTAATCATATCGGATTCGAGATAATCTAAGCTGAGCAGAACCGAATAATTAAACAGAAAAGACTTGCTTATAGACGATACGTTGAGTCACTGTCCGTGTAAAAAGTATCTCCAACGGCGAAGCACGAAGGTGTGAAACAGACATCACAAATGATTGTTTTCTTTTTATCAAGGTATATTATGATAGTTATTGAATGTTTTGTTTTTGCCCTTCGTTTCTATTTTATCAATCACATATAAACACGTTTTCATCATTCTGCGGACTTACTGTACTATTTACCCTCAGATGAAATTATCGTTGCAAAGATCGCAAAGCCATGAATGTAATAAACTGATTAGTGGAAAGATAAGCGCTTACAACAAGAATGATCAACATCATCATGCATCATACTCTCGTCTTCAAACAGCAGAATCGTCATGGACTCATTGGTTACAATTACTATTTTGTTCATGGATGGATCCTACTCTTTCTGTAGGTTACAAACGGTCACTGACAGAAGATGATCTTGATGGTTTGCCACACATAGATAAAGCATCGATTGACTTCGATCGATTCCATTCCTACGATTGGACAACAACATCTACATGGAGATTGATCATTCGAGAATTTTGGAGAGATTATCTTATCGTCGTCGTCTTTTGTTTACCTTACATATTCGTACGTGTGTCACAACCACTATTACTACGTGAAATTGTTCTCAGTACTATGAATGAAAATACCTCTCTCGTCACTATTTGCTTTCTTGTGCTATTATTTTGCTCATGCGGAATTGTTCAAGTTCTACTCGATCATCAAATATATTTTTATTCAATACGTATCGGGGTACGAATTCGTAATGCGCTCATGACTCTTATCTATCGAAAATCACTATCGATGAAAATAACCGTTTCACAAACGACGAACATTGGTCACATAACTAACCTCATTTCCGGCGATGCCTCTCGATTCGAAGAAATATGTACACGATTGCAATATTTATGGGTGGCGCCTATTGAAACTTTGATCATATTTAGTTTACTCTGTTGGATTATCAAACCATTGCCAGCTATTTTGAGTTTTATATTACTTGTCCTGAGTATCATCATACTGTCACTCATTAGTCATTGCCTCAGTGATTATCGACACTGGAAAACAGTCTATAGTGATAAACGTGTTCATGCTTTTAACGAATTCGTTCACGGTTATCACATAATCAAAATGTACAACTGGGAAAAGTCAATGGAAGATCGTATCAGAAAAATACGTCAGGCCGAAGTTAACAATTTAAATCGGTACTTTTCGATACGTACCATCAGTACAATACATTCCTTCATCATAATACCTGCATTGGCATTCGTTACATTTATCACCGCATGGTTATTAGACTATCCACTCAATGCAGCAGATTGTTTTTCAACTCTTGCCCTTTTTGGTTTGATACGAAATCAAATCATGTTTTTCGTTCCAGCAATTACTGACCGACTGACAGACATCATAGTTGCATCGAAAAGAATTGATGCATTCATGTGCTCAGCAGTATCACGATATCATTCTACGTCAACAACACTCTCATCGATCGAATCAATTCGTGGGCAAATTTCGATGTCAGATGCTTCTTTTTCATGGAATACAGAACACTGTTGTCTGTCATCGCTGGATATTATCATTCAACCGCAAACGTTAGTGGGTATCGTTGGACCAGTTGGTTCCGGTAAATCCTCGCTACTCATCGCTATTTTGGGCGAACTCAATCTGTTTCATGGGCAACTCATTTCGAATCACAATTCATTTGCCTATACATCCCAAACACCATGGATCTTTTCAGATACTATTCGAAACAATATCCTTCTCAATCGACCATTCGATGAACGACGCTATCGAAGTGTGATCTATGCCTGTTGTCTTGATGTGGATATTCAGTCATTTGGAGCAAGTGGCGATCTAACGATGATTGGAGAGAGAGGTGTGAATCTGAGTGGAGGACAAAAAGCTCGAGTTTCGTTGGCACGATCTATCTACAGTGATGTTGATGTCTACTTGATTGATGATCCGCTAGCAGCTGTGGATGGAATTGTAGCGAAACAAATCTACGACCGATGTTTTAGTTCACAAGGTTTATTGAAAAATAAAACTCGGCTTTTAGTTACTCATCAAACGCAATTTTTAGTTGATGCAGATCAGATTCTCTTTCTTTCACAGGGCCGCATAGATAACGAAGGTCGTTTAGATGACTATATACATACGCAAGGCATGACGGATACAAAAGAAGTTTCAGAGATGGATTGTTTGCTAGATGAAAGTGAATCGACCGCGGATACTCGATCGATTATCTCGGACGAAAGACCAGTGACTGGAAACGTCAATTGGAATGCATGGTTTTGCTTATTCACTGCTCCACCGTTCGGCATTTGTGGATTGTGTGCGCTAGTTATTCTAATGGTAGTGTGTGAAATTCTCTACGATGGTACAAACTACTGGCTTAGTATTTGGTTGAAAGAGTCGCACGCAGATCAACAGAAACTTCCAACGTTTGCCTACACTTACGTAGAACTAACGCTCGGCATCGTTCTCACTGATATCCTTCGTACAATAGTCTTCTTCTCTATTTTCTTGCATGGTGTCAATCATTTTCACGATCGAATGTTAAAAGCATTGCTGTACACATCAGTCGAGTTCTTCGAGAGTAATCCAAGTGGGCGAATATTGAATCGTGTAAGTAACGATCAGAAAGTGATTGAAGAGCCATTACCTGCCATGATGATCTCCTACATCAAACTGTCTTTGATGTCGATGGGTTCGATTGTGATTATCTGTCTCGTCAAGCCGTATCTACTGTTGGTGGTGATTGTGCTAATACCGATAATTGTACTCGTGTGTCGTTTCTACCTGCGATCAAAGAAACAATTGAAAAAATTGGAAAGCATCACTCGTAGTCCAATATACGACCTACTTTCATCGTCACTCAATGGTCTAGTCACACTTCGTACTTTTAAAACTGAAGATTATTTTATTCAACTGTTCACCGATGCAATCGATAGAAACACACGGGCATTTCTTAATCTGCTTGGGGCCGCACGGTGGCTTGATGTTAGACTCAGTCTTTTACCATTTATCAGTACATTTGTAACGAGTATAGTGCTTGTACTTCTGCGAGATCAGTTAGATCCGTCACTGATTGCCCTTGCTTTAATGTATACGATTTCTATACCAAAATCTATCCAATTGAGCATTTTACTGTTGTTTCAAACTGATATGTTAATGACAAGTGCTGAACGTATTTATGAATACTCATTTTTGCCACCTGAAGAGGATTTTGGCGGTGATGGCCAACGATTAATAAAAACTCCGCCTCGATGGCCTAGTCATGGTACAATTCAATTCCACAATTACTCATTCCGCCATCGAACAGGTCTTGATTCTGTTCTGCACGGACTCAATCTTCACATAAGGTCAAGAGAAAAACTTGGCATCATTGGTCGAACTGGCGCTGGGAAATCTTCGCTCTTCAAAGGCCTTTTTCGTTTCGTTCATCGATCCAACATTGACGGTGCTATCTTCATCGATGATATTGACATAAGTCGAATCACACTTGCTCAACTTCGCTATCATCTCAGTGTTATTCCACAACAGCCAGTCCTGTTCAGTGGAACACTTCGATACAATCTCGATCCATGTCATCTTTACTCTGATGAGCAATGTTGGGCGGCGTTGGAAGATGTTCAACTAAAACAATTTGTACATGAGCAGTCCCATGGTCTCGAGATGATGATTAACGAAGGAGGAAGTAATCTCAGTGCCGGTCAATGTCAATTGATTTGTATTGCTCGGGTGATCATGAAGAAAAGTAAAATTTTACTGATCGATGAAGCAACAGCGAATATTGATTGCAAAACAGATGAGATTATTCAACAAGTCATCGCAAAAACATTCCAGGATCAAACTATTTTGACTATTGCGCATCGACTGAATACAGTTGCTAGAAGCGACCGAATTGTCGTGTTAGACAAAGGTTTGATTGTAAATATCGATAGGCCAGAGCAGATCTTTAAACAATATCAGCACGCGCCAAAGAAATTTTTCTACAATTAAATGTCATCGGCTCATTGAATGCTTGTTCTATCAATTCTTTTGTTATGGGTGTGGGGGATATATTTATTCTGTAATAAATATCAAAAAGAAAATCATGTTAACATTTGATTTCTTGTGTTTTATCTCGAAGATAAGCTAGTTCATTGCTATTTAGTCGATTTGTGCTTTCCAGTTTGCTTCGCACTTGTGTGTGATACCAATTCACCCAATCCTTTTGTGCTTTCGTCAACATTTCACAAATAATTAAATTTCGTTCGAAAGGAACCCATGTTAACATTTCAAAGTGAAGAAATTGCACTGTGGAACCACCATAATTGTTCGATAATGTATAGTTTTTCACCATGATGTCCGTTTCTAGACGAATACCAAACTCTCCCGGAAGGTAAAAGCCAGGTTCATCAGAAAATACTAATCCATCCGTGAGTGGAATATCACTTGAACTGTAACCCATGGAAATAAATGAAGGTCCCTCATGAACTGATAGATAATGACCGATACCATGGCCAGTACCGTGATTATAATCCATGGAATTCTTGTAAAGGGACTGACGGGCTAGAATATCAATACTGCGGCCATAAGTTCCATACGGAAAGACAGCATCGGCTAAGTCAGTTGAACCTATCAAGTAAAATAAGAAATATAGAAAAAAGATCTATCGGGAAGTGGGTCGGTGTAACCTTGAAAAACAAGTGTATAGGCTTTCTTTTGCTCCTGTGTTGGCGTTCCGAACACGTGTGTGCGAGTTACATCAGTTGTACAATCGAGATATTGAGCACCGGCGTCGAGTAAATAGAGCCCGTTTCTGTCGATTTGTTTAGCAGTTTTCGCTTTTGGACTGTAATGAATTATTGCACCATTCGATCCAAATGCTGAGATTGTGTCGAAACTAAGCATTTGAAATAGACTTTCTTCACTTTGAAACCGTTCGAGTTCTTCCGCTGCGCGCGTTTCATTGATAGCAACATTTTGATTCAATTGATCTTCAAGCCAAGCTAAATGCCGTACACGGGCCACGCTATCTCTAACTCCACAGTTTCGCATGCCTTCTTGTTCTACAGGGTTCTTTATTGCCTTCGTGACTTCCACAGGTGAACCTATGTACGTAATTTGTTGCTTACTCTTTTCATCATTCATGTCAGTATCAAAACTTACTTGCAATGATACGCTTTTCAGCGGGTATCCTACTGTAGATAGCTTGGGAAGCGGATGATGAAATCCAAATTTGTGATACATCACTTTGGCTAGCTGTATTTAACAAATCGGATAAGAACGAACCGTACGGATGGAGATTCACTTTCTGTAAATCTGCTTGCGCTGGTGCATCCAATTGGCTTGTATTCATCCAAAGATGTGCCGTTTCATTTGCATATACCATTGCATAAGCCTAAATGAAAAAAGGTTTCCGATCGAACTGATGACAAGAAAGAAAATTCATACTTTAAAAAAGGGATTATATGGAATATCGGATCCACGTAAGCAAAATAGCCATGCAACTTCATCCAGTGCTGTTACAACGTACGCATTCGCTTTCTTCGCTTGCACTAGTTGAGCAATAGTCGAAACTTTCGTCTGCCAAGTGCTACCTGCATATTCGAGCGCGTGATGTGCCACTGGATTAGCTGCAGCTGGTGGTCTTTCAGATGATGACCAGATTAAATCAATGAGCTCAGCAACTTCAACCAATGAAGCATTGTTGGCATTAAGAGCAGTATTTACTTCTGACCACCATCTAGACGATGCAAATTGAGCGGCAACACCAACTCGATTATATGGAGATGTGCCATTCACTTGACTTGCTAACCAATTACTCAGTGAGGGAACATCCGATTGACCTTGACGCATCAGATACCAATTCTTACAATCGAGTTCATCTTCTGCTTGTGTCCAATATCGGCCATCAGTCCACAATGCAGCATTGTTCCGTGTAACTACAGCTGTGCCTGCTGAACCGAGAAAACCCGTGATCCAAGCTCGTCGTTCATCATGCAACTGTACGTATTCACTGTCATGTTCATCTTCGGAAAAGATGACATAAGCAAATAAATTATTACTAATTAAATGTGTGCGTAAATTTTGTAATTTCACTGTTGTATCCGCTTGCGATGGTCGTACTGAACAAGAAAAGTTGCTTGTTTCTTGACTTCCCACCAACTGAAGTCGGCCGATGAATACAATTAGATGAAGGCAAAATAGGCTTATTATCGTCATCGTTATCTTCCCGCGTGCCCTTCAACTTGTTGAAAAGTGAATAATGTTGTAAGGTGCGTATTTTCATTTTTACCTTTTCTATGCTATCAATGTTAAGAAAAAGAAAAGATTATCAAGACTGACATAAAACTTTATGGATTAGAGTCGATCAGCGCTCTTTTCTTTTTGTTTCTCATTACCCGATTCTTTATCATTGATTTATTAGCTTAATTTTCTCTTATGTCATGAAACAAAGTAAATATACTAGGAGCTGAAAAATATCGAGAACTATTACAAGCTTTCATAAACAATAATAGACAAGTGGAAGATGTGACTATAGAAATGATCGATAAGATTAGTAAAATGCTTGCTCATTATGACTTATTTGATCGGGACAGTTTTCAATGCATAGAGTGTCTCACACGTGAAAGCATCGTCGAAGTTCGAAACCTAGTTGATGATCCGCAATCGTCTCTAGTAGTGAGATGCATTGAACAGTTAGAGAATCTTATTGAGTAAGTTAAACATGAAGGACAGATGTTTCTTGAAAATACGGAAAAAATCGTGGACTGACTGATTGATTCGAATGTGATGAATGAGAACAGTGTTGACGCTGAAACACTATTGTGATTGGAAAATGATCTGATTCAAATGCAGAAAGATGCGTCGTCGAATCATTCAGAAATCGTGGATTATTACGGAGATTTGTTTGAACATCCTGAAGCAACCATGGATTAGTGATTATTGAGTAGAATTGATCGACATTGACGAAGATTTTTTTTTCTTTAAATTACGTTCTATACTTTTCAATTTGAGAATACTCGATCTCAAACTACACCGTATTGTCTACGAGTGGATTCATTGTCCAAGAAAGCGCTCACATACATAAAACAATTTGTAGTTTCTTCGAAAGAAGAAAGAAAAATCCACTGTACGAACAATAGTCAGATGTATACTGCATATTACAGAAGCGCAAGTCAAGAAATGACGAATTCAACTGAGGATGATACTATTTTTCTCAGCTACTTAATACGCAACAAATTGACTTTGTTTTCAACATTTCTACTACCGAGACTGCTTTGTAAATAACTAGTTTTGTGTTTTGTGAAAGGGAGATGAAAATCTCGTATTAGAGTGACATCTGTCGGAATCAATACTTATATAAAGTAGAAAAATAAAAAGAAATGCATTGTTGTTTATATTCTGATTCGTTCGTTCGAACGTTTTTACGAACATGTCTGCATCATCTTTTCTGGAACTCACTTTTTGAGAATTTTTCTTGTTTTGATTCTCTTAAATCGTTAACATTAAGTAGTATATTGATCTTTTCGACTTTTATTGAGTTTGAGAAACTTTTTCATTTTAATTCTGATGATTTATCGATATTGGGATCGATTGCTCGGATAGGTTATATAGTGGAATAAATCCATTCTGATATAAGAGATCTATCGAGAATTTCGAGTTGGAATTATTCAGTCGAAAAGTCAGATAATCGAAGTAGATCTCTGTTGTAGATGAACAGTTATAACTAGAACAAAATTAAATGGATCGAGAACCTTGGTAAGATGAAAAAAAGGATGATGAAGTTTCTAATAAAAATAATCTTATTTCATTTAGTCCTTGGCGTATTGTGGATGATTGCGGTGGTGCATTTGCATTAGGTACAATCGGTGGTACACTCTTTCATTCAATAAAAGGATTTCGTCATGCTCCGAGTGTCAGTTTTCTTTTCTGAAGAAAAATTCCACCGATATTCTACTTATTTTAGGGTCAATATCGACGTTTACTAGGCAGTTTGAATGCAGTAAAACAACGAGCGCCCCGTGTGGGAGGTACAGTTCTCATAACATCAAAACAATGATTATTTAGACTGTTTTATTTTTCTTTTGTAGCATCGTTCAGTGCATGGGGATGCATTTTCTCATTGGTTGACTGTAGTTTTGTTTATATGAGAAAGAAAGAAGATCCCTGGAATTCAATTATTAGCGGTGCAGTAACTGGTGCTGTCTTACAAGCGCGACGTAAGTCAAGTGGTTGTTAAACTTATTTTCATTGTCAAATGTCTATCGTGATTGTAGAGGGACCAGGACCAATGTTAGGTTCAGCGGTGATCGGTGGATTTATTCTTGCAATGATCGAAGGAACTAGTATATTAATTAATCGATACAGTCAAATGTTTATGCCACAACCTGGAATGGAAGGTAAAGAGACGAATTCGCTGTCTTAGTCCAGTATCTGTATGTCTGGTTTTGTGTTTTTTAGAAGCCCCACCTGATCTTGATAAAGGCAAAGTTGATCTTTCAATTCCTCAATTTTTCAGTTCTTCTCCTGGACAATCATCAACGCCTAGTAATTTCTCGTGAAATAGATTTTTGTTTGTTTACGTTTTCCCAATTGCCGTTTAAGAATATCATTGTGAAACAGAGATTTTAGATTGTTTCCTCTCGCACTTTTCTTTTTGTACTGCAAACAAAAAATAATTGTCCATCGCGTTTTTTGTACGAAAGAAAAAGAATAAAATTTGGTTACTATTCAACATGAAACTACAAGCTCAGTTGAAACACATGAATCATGCTTACGCTTGTCGATTCTATCGAGCTACTGATAAGAATCTCATGCAATAGAAAAGGTTTGTTAACTTTGAGATAGACGTGCACACAGTTTTGCTGTTTTACATAAACGAGATACAAAGGTGACTGCTGTGAAATAAATTTTCTTTGACAACTGTCTGGGAACATAATGTACAAATCATTTCGTCATCTGTGGATTATTTTGTGTATCATACAACACTTGTTACCATATGCTGAAACCCAAATCACTGATGATTGGTTAGATCCATTGAGTATGGACGAAGCGTACCTAACGATTATCAATAGAAATGTATCTTTTCCAATCCGACTCCAGATCAGATCGATCGTCTGTGAAGAATGTGATTTTACAGTTATACCTGAGTCTAGTACATATTCGCATGTTAATACGACAATCATTGTCAGCACAACCTACGCCCAAGATATCGAAGTAATCTCTGAAATCACAAACGAAACCTTACCATGCCAAATAAAAGCGTACAAGTTCGCTGAACACGCATCGTACACCCTCGAATTATCCGATGACAGTCCGCTGTTGTGTACGATAACTCAAACAAAAGATGGAAGTTACTACTGGCTGCCCGTCATTATCGGTATGGGAAGTATGCTCGCACTGGTTGTAGTCATTCAAATATGGAAGTGTATCACACAACGTTCATGCTGCTCCAGGTTATTACTGAATCGATTTCGAACAACGACAGATAGAGATTATACTATTTCACTTCCAAAAAATCCAACAACAATTGTCAATGACCCGAATGATGATATTATTAGTACGCTGTCAACAGGCAGTGAACTACCATTAGTAGGATCGACTCGATTGTCGAATAATTCTGTTCGAATAACGAAAGTTTTACCTAAAAGATTACGTTCATTAGACACATTTCGCGGATTTTCACTTATGATCATGATCTTTGTCAACTACGGAGGTTAGCTTTTCAGAATATTTCTTTTTCTTCATTGATTTTTTCCCTAGGTGCTGGCTATCCATTTTTCAAACATTCGGGTGAGTCGTTCTGCTAGACATCGATTAGTACTTATTCTTATTTACAGTTTGGAACGGTCTAACCTTAGCTGATATGGTATTTCCATGGTTTACTTGGATGATGGGTGTATCAGTTGTCCTTTCACAACGATCTCTACGAGCAAAAAATGTTCGAAAAGCATCGATTTTCTACAAAATCTGTCGACGAACGTTAATACTATTCGTTTTAGGTAAGAGACTAATCGATTCTCTGCTTTTTATCATCTTGTTTCGTTCTAGGCATAATGTTGCAAGGTGGTAACGATCGATGGGTTAATATTCGTATTTTCGGAGTTCTTCAACGATTAGCTGTATGTTATTTTATTACAGCTATCATAGTACTAATCTTTGATGATACAGAAGATGAACCGTATTCATCTGAATGGCCCATAGGTAGATTTGACTATTGAAATGATAAACTTTCCTGCATTAAAGCGAATTTCTATCAAGGAAATGACGTTCATCAACGATTCCGAGTTGAATTGTCCAATACATTGTTTCATTTTTGGCCACAGTGGCTCTTCGTTCTATTGTTAACCGTTGCATGGATCTTAATCACTTTTTTTGTGAAATTTGAAAATTGTCCTAGTGGTTATTTAGGTCCAGGAGGAAAGCACCATCATGGAGAGAAAAGAAATTGTACAGGAGGTAAATAACCCAGAACAGCGATTCGTGTATGTTTGTTGAAACGATCATTCTTATTAGGCATTGCTGGATACATCGATCGACTAATCCTAGGAGCTTCACATGTATTCAATCATCCCACGTGTAAAGGTGTCTACGAGACTGAAACGCCATTCGATCCCGAAGGTAAAGAGAGAAGTAGCAGAATGAATTGAAGCAAAATCAAAATTGATTAATTATAGGTATTTTGGGTATTTTAACTGGAACACTTCTGTGTTATCTCGGTGTCCAAGCTGGACATAGTTTTGCACATGCCACACGTATAGTTCGTGTTTGTGCACATTGGATTATTTCTGGTCTCGTTTGCGGAGGAATTGGTTTAGCTTTATCTAAAGGTGGTCAATCTGACAGTTGGATACCGATCAATAAAAATCTTTGGTCACTTAGTTTTATACTGGTTCTGGCTAGCTTGGCATTCTTCATTTTAACTTTACTTTATTTACTTGTCGATGTTTACAGTGGGTTCACTGGTGAGCCATTTTTATGGTTGGGAATGAATTCGATTGTTATCTATGTTGGACACGAAGTGTGCGCAAAGCTCTTTCCAGTACAATTTCGAGTCGAAGAAACACGACATTGGCAATTGATGATTATGCATCTATACGGAGTCATCTTCTGGATCATTGTAGCCGGTGTTATGTATCGAAAAAAGACATTTATTGCTATTTAATCGCGTCTATCTTTTCCTATGAGAATGAAAAATAAAATTTATCTAAAGGCAATGCATTGTCATGGTTATTGAAAGTTGAATTGATGTTGCTGGTAGCATACTCCCTCTATGACAACTTTCTATTGCTGGATGTTGCAAACCTATGTCATTCTATGATGTCAAGTTGAAGATCTTTCAAGTTCTTGTTGCAATTACGAATAAAGATGAGTTGTAAGGTGGAATTGATTCCAATTACTGAAGGTAATCATATAACGATAAAAGAAGATGAAAAGATTATTGTTGGACGAGGGTCATCATTAGGTGTATGTATACGTTCATGCTGTAGAAATGTTGAACTGTTCTGCTTGTTTTTAAAATAGTGTACAGATAAAAAGATTTCTCGTCACCATGCTGAATTGTTGTTGAAAAAAGAGGGAATCCTTGTCATCAAGCCAACGCATACAAATCCCGTTTTCTATCGACCATTAAACGGGAAAACAGTTCATTTAACCAAAGATGTCGAACAAGAATTGAAAGATGGTGATCAAATTGGCTTATTACCAACAAGTTACTTCTTTCGTGTTAGCATTACAAAAGATTCGAATAAAACTACGGATGAACATACTGGGAATGGTGCAGATAATCATACTGATATTTTACCTGTACAAAGCAAAGATTCCGTACGTTTTCTCAATACATGTATGTCGGTTTTCCTCGACACATTGCGTTTTAGAATCAATCTGAACCGACGAGTTCAGATCAGCCAGCACGGAAACTGCCTACATGGATGACAGCATCGACTTCTTCGTCTTCTCCGACAAAAACTGCATCAACTAGCCTTAAACGACAATGTGAGTATTTAGTCTGATAAACCAAACAAAGGAAAAAACCATTTTTCATTCAGTGAGCGAAGAGGCTGATCAATCTAAGACGACTGATGACACATCTAGTAAGTCCTACTGGTTTCTACGATCTATGCACTTCATATGATCATAGATCAACAGCCGTCCACGTCAGATACATCGTCCACTGCAAAACCAGTTGACAGTGATAATGGCGAGACATTCGATTCTGTTCCATCAAAAAAACGTACCTTACAAGATTGTTCTCCTTCATCATCGAACGGTTCTATTTTCTATTTAGATAAACCCCAAGGTAAACCTCGTGTACGTTGTCCGTACGGTAAATCATGTTATCGAAAAAATCCCGCTCATCGAGCAGAACAATCTCATCCAGGTGATTCTGATTGTGAAGATGATAAAGAAGCCGAAGATGAAGATAAGAAAAGCGACGATGCTGACAAACCTCCGTGTCCATATGGAAAATCGTGCTATCGACAAAATCCTCAACATAAACGCGAATATAAACATTGAGACCTTCGACTCCATCATATATTCGTTGTTTAAGAATTTAAACTTAATGTTTCACAATGTTTTCTGTTTAGTAATTTTTAACGATAATTTTACTCTGTTAATAAATATAAAACACTCTTTAGATACGACATCGTATCATAAACGCGGTAAATCATCTACTCATTCTAAAATGCTCTCTGATTTTATCGATCGAGGTCAATAGGAACTTTCTCAAAAATCCATACGCTCTTGTTTGTGAATGCGCCGTTAAATCTTCCTTTCCTCAAAAATAGAATGCACTTATTTTAAAACGTATTGTATCGGTCAGAATTTATATCGTACCCGTCATACATTAGTCATCGTAAATTTTCCGGTGACGTAGTTTTTTTTTCTTTCCTTTTTCCATTAGGCAAACCGCCAATCAGAAAGCGACTGTATGCAATAACAGGATTTCATCATTTAGCATTTGTCTTCTCGATCTCAAGCTTGAATTTACAGTTTATCTCTTATCAAGTACTTTCTTATCTCACGTCCAATAACTTTGCAATGACGTCCACTATCGACCATTCATCAGAGAACGTGTCTCATATTAATGTACGTTTCGGTGGTACTTCACAGTACGTATTATTATGAAAACTGATTTATTATTTCGATATCTTCGTCTATTTGAAGTTCACTCGATGTCGAGCCGCCACCTTCGAGTAATCCACTACAGATGGAACATACGCACGATGGTCAAATTCCTGAGGAAACCAGTATCACATCCACTGCAATATCATGCGAAGAACAAAAGCATACCCAACCGCCGGAGGAAACTCATCCAGTAGACGTCGATGTGCCATCTGCGTCCAACGAAATTGAGATAGATAGTCAGGTCTCGCCTGAACCCAGTCTTGATGGCCGTAAGTACTTTTTACAATGAGAAATTGATTAACATATCTTCTGTACGAATTTTAGACCTGCTAGCAAACACATCAGAACAAAACGAAACTGTACAGAACGTAGCAAATGGTAAGAAAATGTTTTACTAATTGCTCGTTTTTCTCCTCGTTTCGGTATGCAAAACGAATAGTAAGTGTAAGTTGTAGATGCCGTTTCGCATCGTCTACACTGAGGTAGTTGAATAATCGAATATACAAGTCGCGAGAATATTACAATGTACGCGACAATTCGCTTCAGCTGATTTAGCTATGATCTAATCTACATTTTTAATGACATCCAGCAAAACATTGATTCCGACGTTATGCTTCATTTAGAGCAAATCAATTGCAACGAGCAAAGTGTGAATATGTATGAAGATGCTCGCTATATCTTAGGACATCTGCATGGTATGATCGAAGATATGAAACCAATTTTAACGTCTCTACCATCTTACATTGAAGACAGAGGTTACTTTTCTAGTCATAATCAATCCTATGAAACTTGTAACTTTATCTATACTAGAACACGCTCTGCAACAACCAGTTTCGTTTCCTACGGATTTCGAAACCAAACTCGAAATACCAGTGCGAACTCTGATGGATGTTTTTCGACACATTGCCGAAATCATGCGTGAGAATAATCAGACGCAAAATGCAACTCTTGACGCGAAACAAACAAACGAAACGGCCGAAAAACGAGTTTCAGGTATGTCTTCGCATCTGCAACTCCGAAGATGATTTCTTTTGTTAAATAGCGCCCAGCGAAGAGAATCATGGCCAGTTGAATGAACAATTTCAAACCACCACAGATGTATCACCATCTACTGTTCCAAAACCAAGTCTTTCAGAATTATTATCAAACTTGCTACCAATTCCATCGGGAAAAATTCTGTCCAAGCTAGAGCTTAAGGAAGAGCCATTGGAATTTTTGAAGGCGCGTTATATCAAGTGCTTAAGCAAGGGAGAACGGACTCCAATTCATTCAGAAAACAACCTTAAAGGATTAACTGTGACAGTAAGTCTTGAAACATTTCATCAGATTATTTCACCCATTTACTTCTATTTCAGTGGTCGGAACTAACCAAACATGATGCGAAGAGTTTATATATTGTTGCTCAATTGTTATCTTATGATGGCAAACCACATCCAACAAAAGTTCTGATACCACCGGAAACGACAATTAAGCCAGAGTGCCTAGAAAATAACACACGGCCATCGCTTTCCGATCTCGTCATTAGCGCAGAGTACGGATACAATCCCAACAATCAAAGCATTCTCTATCGCGTGACAGACGAAGAATATAACAAGTGTGAAAAGACGTAAGATGCACTATTTGACAAACCGATCGAAATTAGAATTCTGTCTCTATTACAGATTGGAAATGTATGTCTTTAATCGTTATCAATGCGATAATACAATAGACAATACAATTGAAAAACAGGTGCACAAACTGTGCAGACTATTAGTTTGCATTTGTTGTCTAACGAAGGAACAAACCTTAGAACAGATATCCGGGGTCATCCATTCGTCTTGGATTGAAGAAAGTAAGTTAAACATACATGGCGTCGTGTAGGCACAGATATAATCAGAATTTCTTTTTTAGGTAAAGGTACGAAACGCTTAGCTGTTTTGGAAGAAGAGATATCTCCGAAAAAGCTTTGCCGATGTGGCAGGGATATAATACAGGTGCCGTTGAATACCGAAAGTGAAAAAAACGGTAATTTTTTGCGTATTTGCTCTTAATCGCTTACAATCATATTCGTTTCAGGTTTGCTCGTGGAAGTTGACGGTCAACCTTTGAAATTCCATGAGTTTCGTGGCGTAACACACAAGAGAATCCAAATACCATCGCGTCCTTATGTCGAAATGAGAAGTCTACACCTGACGGTTTTGAAGGAAAGCGTTTTGGAAACAGTTAAACTAGGCAAAAATCCATATGAATCGACTAGTCTTGAAAAACTCCAACTTCTCGATACGGATATTGATTATGCAGATGCTGGTAAGTATGCCAAGTTGCTCGTGTAAACTAGATTTCAATTGAATATTTCTCATTTTCAGAAACAGCTTGCGGTCACCGACAAAGTTGAATGAGCAATCGTTACCTTCGACGAACTTTACATACTTTTCTTTCTTTTTTTCTTGTATATAGAACAGTAAATATTTCTATTTCTGCAATTTTGTGTTCAAATAAATATTTATTCTATTCGCTGTTACAATTACGATCTATATCTTCTAATTGCTCGAGCCAAAGAATAGCGACATCTAGTCGATTGAAAAAACAAATAGAGGAAATTGCACCGTGTCTATGAGATTTTCGTTCATAACTTATTCTCTATCGGCAATATATTTTATTCTTGTGTTCATTGTTCATTCGTATGTATCGAACAACTCATCGCCACCGGTAGTCATCTTGCCTTCATACTCATTTCTCTTGTTCGTGTTAACTGGACAAACAAACTATCGTCTATATGGTATGTGTGTATGCCTACCTTTTATTCTTCTCTCTCGCTCTCTTGTTCTCATCTCTCTTTTTTTTGTTGCCTTCTTCAATTCTGTGTTGCGAGTACACAAGCATCTCTATTGACATTTTTGCTTCGCATCTAGATAATGTCTTCGACGAATGGTACTAGCAATTTACGAGTTAATGTCGCATTATCCGAACGCGATGCAGTCAAGCTTATTCTCGATTTTCTTCAACGACGTGAACTGTATATTAGTATGCTCGATATCGAACGTGAAACAGGTGAGTTTTAAAAAGCAATTATATCGATTCATATCTGTTTTCACTCACATTGTTTTGTTAAACGATGTCTGGCTTTTTCTTCTAGGTATTATTAATGGTTCATTTTCGGAAGATGTACTTTTCTTACGACAACTTATCTTGGACGGACAATGGGATGATGTCATTGATTTCGTACAGCCATTGAAAACGATCGAGTCATTCGATGCGAAGCAATTTATTTACATTGTTTTGAAATACCAATTTTTAGAGTTATTATGTTTAAAGACTGAAGCACAAATCGAAAATGATCTATCTGTAGAACAGATCGTCAAGTAAATCACACTGTTTTGAGTCTGTCAGACAAAATTGAATTGTTGCTTTCGCATTTTAGATTTCTCAATGATTTAAGACCATTTGCACCAAATGAACAAGAATATAAAAAACTATCTTTTTTATTAACATTGAAACGTCTACAAGATCACACAGACTATGCCAATTGGAATCCAAGTGCGGGCCGAATGCAATGTTTCGAAGAAGTTTTCCCATTAGTGCATCGCTTTTTGCAAGTAGGACTTACTCACACATACATAACAACTGCATTTCGATCTTCGTTCATAGGTGGACAAGCCGACGATTCCAATAGCCCAAGGTGATCGTTTGATTCAACTGCTTATTAAAGGTCTTCTCTACGAATCGTGTGTTGAACATTGCCAAGCACGTGCCACAAATACAGAGGAAACCATTGATATTAGTGACCCCAATTCTCTACTACTCAATACACGTTTATCAGATACTGATGTTTCTCTTCTTTCATGGCTTCATGCTTTACCAACGGAAATCTTTTCGTGTCCATTCGAGCAAAAATCTTTAACCTTAAATGTGGATAAATTTCAAAGACCAGTTCTCGAAGCCACATGGGCTGAGCATGTTTTGAGTACACCGTTTAAACCGCAAACCATGTTTCCATTCAATGCAACCCCTACTGGTAAACCACGCTCCACAGAACTAATGTCACGTTCACTAGCACCGCAATACGATGGGTTATCTTACGGTCTTCTCCGCTCACAAATCTTCGGTGATTATAATCGAAATTTTGTCAATGACATGAGTCGATCACTGGCAATATGTAATCTAAAAGATAATGGTGTTAATAATAATAATAATAATGCGACATCGACGACAGTTAATCTACCAACTGTTGAAGAAGTTCTTTATGAAGAAACACCTCCTCCACCTTCGCCACCTTTACCGCCACCGCCCAGTTCGTTTTCACCTATAGAAAATAAATCTTCTCCGACAAATTCTTATCGATCCCAATCACCGAAACGCAGTGTTACGACACCAACGGTCAAATCACTGAACGGAGTGACAGGCATCATATCGCCCGAAAACGGTAATCGGTCAATAGGTTCAGACGCTCAAGCTGACCGTTTACTCAAAGTAAATCTTCACTACGGAGTATAAAAGAACTAGTATTTCGTTTTATTCTTAATCAGGAATATCAGAAAAGTCGAGCGGAAATCCTGAAACAATTTGATGAACAAGAAATTCGACGAAACGAACTACACAAACAACTTGGTAAGTTCAATAAATCTTTAATCTATTCTAGAAACGATCCTCTCCTTCTTTTTTAGTTAATAGTCCAATGATACGGGAAATCAATGAAGTTACTAAATATGATTCGCTTGAGGTACTTTATTCATCCATTCTCTTTTTATACGTTTTACACAAAATTCTATTCTATTAGGATATCGCTCGTTCACCAGCATTTATTCCATTGGTATCGATTGAAGATGTTCAAGCCATACGTTCAGTCAGTGTTCATCCGACCGGCAAATATTTTGCTGTCGGTTCAAATTCGAAGATGCTCCGCGTTTGTGCCTATCCTGATCTAAAAAATATTCGATCGGATTCCATTCCGAAGCCTGCGAAAGTTCTCTACAAGAGAGGAAAGCATCATTTAGGAAGCATTTATTGTATGGGCTGGTCACCAAGCGGAAAATTGATTGCAACAGGATCGAATGATAAATTGATTAAAATCGTTCGATTGAATATGGATCGACCGGATGATGATTTGAATAGTAAGAGAAATGACGTGAGAGACGGCGATGAGCTTTGTGTTGTTTTAGATACTGAAATCGAACTGACACATCATAATGGCACTGTTCGTGATCTTATATTTATGCATGACAATCTAACGGATGATTCGATTTTATTGAGTGGTGGTGCAGGTGATTGTAAAATTTATGTAACCGATGTTAAGAAGCAAATGCCGATCAAGAGTTTTAATGGCCATCAAGGTAAGAGCCAATAAAAACTGTTGACAGTCATATTACTTAATAAATCAGAGCAGAATGATTGATGACTTGGAAAGGTTATCGATGCAGATGAAACAATGTAGAAAAAACATGGCTTTTGTCTTAATTATGCTATTTACACGAACGAAAGGCATCCGGAGGGGAAGGGGCACGGAATTTGCCTTCGCGAGGTACAAACATTGAACACTAAGCACAAAAGTCGTCGATTTTCGAAATGTATCTATTTATCAATACAGAATTCTGATCAACTTTCATTTTAGGTCATATTTATTCATTGTATACATGGGATGCATGTAGTTTTGTTTCGGCTAGTCAAGATGGTACATCACGTATATGGGATATTCGTCAACCAGATTGTGTTCATGTCATTGCACCACGTTCGTCAAGTAATTCGCGATCAGAAACGAAAAACTTTGAACTACTGATTTTGTTTTCGAATTCAATAGATAGTGCAGTTGCAGCTGTCGCTGTGGATAATTCCGGTCAATTATTAGCCGCCGGATATGAAGATGCGACGTGTTTGCTCTATGATCTTCGTGGAAAACGTGTAGTTCAAGCTTATCAACCGCATTCAAGCGAAATTCGAAGTGTTCGTTTCTCTGTACATTCGTATTACTTATTGACAGCTTCATACGACAAAAAGGTCGTGATGACCAGTCTAAATGGTTCGTTCACTACATTCAGAACGATTCTATTTCGATTTGAAATCGTTGTTTAGGTGATTTAACTAAACCATTAGTTCTATCCAATGTCGCTGCTCATACTGATAAAATTATCCAAGCACGATGGTGAAAGCTGACGAGTTTTCTTCATTTCGAGTCTAACATATCACCTTATTTTCTAGGCATCCAAATGAAATGTCATTCGTGACGTCAAGTGCTGATCGAACATGCATCGTGTGGGCACCATCGCTTTCAGCTCTATCCAATCTTGGACCGACATCATAATCAAAATAGAAATCAATACCTTCATTGTTTTTCTGGATTTTCTTTACTGATCTCATTCACCTTTTTGCTTTCTTTTAGTGCCTTTTTTCTTCTTCTACTCGTGTAATTTCATATCGAACAAAAACACAAAGTTGATTATCAAAATTCTTTGCTCGTTTTCTTCATAGTATTAGATTGTACGATCAAATTTTCTTCGCCAATGTGCTGATAGAGATGTCTGTTTGTTTTTATTCAATTTATGTATATTTTTTGCCTTTTTCCCGTTTAAATAAGAGAAATTTAATAATTATTATTATTTGATTAAATCATGTCTCTTTTCGAAATCTTTCGTCATAGTTTCGATTATTTCCAGATGGCACTAAAGTATTACTACGATTTAATGTCACAGCCGTGCCGGGCTTTGTACATTTTTCTGAAAATGACTGGCATTCCATACGAAGCTAAAGAGGTTGCGTTAAGAAAGCTTGAACATATGACAGATGAATACGGTCAATTGAATCCGTTTCGAAGAGTTCCGGTGATTGATGACTCGGGTTTTGTTCTCACGGAAAGGTAATTGGCCAGAGATGGGAGAACGGATCTCTCATTTGATCTGCTTTAGTGTGGCCATTCTTACTTATCTTTGCGAGAAACATAAAAAATATGATTGGTATCCGAAAGAACTGAAAGACCGAGCACGAGTTGATGAGTACAATCATTGGCAACATACTAATCTACGTATGAATGGTACAGCATTGTTTCGTTCTAAAGTAACAATTATGAAGATCGATTTGAACTCGAAATATTCAATTCTTAGTCTAGGTTATCATCCCGACTATGACTGGTAAACCACCGAATGAGAAAGAGCTAGAGAAATGTCGAAATAAATGGGAAGAATCAACTGGTCATTTGGAAAACGTTTGGCTCAAACGATCGACCTATGTCGCCGGAAGCCATATCACAATCTCTGATCTACTTGGTGAGTTTCTATAGAACATGGGAAGACTAATATCGTTTAAAATGTTCTATAGGTGTCTGTGAAATGATGCAACCGATATCAGCTGGTTATGATTTCGACGCAAAAAAATTTCCTCGTGTTCAAGAATGGATGGAACGCGTGAAGAAAGAAACTCAACCGCACTTTGATCAAGCACATGTTTTCTCCATGCGTTTAAAGAAAAGCATGTCGAAATAACAGAAAAGAAAACTTCTACGGAACATTTTTAGTAGTTAGCTAAATGCAACTCACTTTTTAACCCCAAACTTTTTTCCTGAATAAACTAACGCTATAACTTCCGATCAACAATTAAAGACATTTAATGATATATACGCTGCTTTTGCATTCATTACTTTCAACGTTTTCTCTCTCTCTCTCTCCGTTTGACATATCTTCTCCTTTCTCATTTGCCTTGTTTATATATGAGAAAAAACGACGAGTGACGGACATAATTGCAATTTGATTCGTTTGGTAGATGAGACCATTTATTTTATGCATCCTACGCTAGAGAAAGACATATATGCATCGATTAATTATTCCCGAATGTACGTAAAATGGAAAAACTTTTTCGAAAAAGAGAAAGTTTTGATCGATAGTTTGGAATATTTAATTAGAAATCGATATTTACACAATCTGAATAGTCTCGTTGGGATGCACACATTCTCTCTTCTTTTTTTACGGAACGAATGGAAATAGTCGCTGAAATGAGCCAATCAGGAATTGATCCGTTCTGTGTGAAGCAAAAGCGATTGATGCAAAGTAGAGAAGAGAAAAAAATCGACGACGAGTAAGACGAGAAAGAGAAAGAGAAAGGAACAAATAAAAATATCTATCGAAAAGCGATTCACACATATACACTCAAGCAGTCCAAAGAAACGCGACGACAAGTAATACTTGATTAATTGTTCGAACGGAAATCTAATCATATAGATATTTTTCCTTCAACATATATTGTCTCGTTCTCTTTTATCCCATCCGTATTAAAAACAAATAACATCCATTACTTGAAAAAAAAAACCTCGAGATAATATATTTAAGTTTATATCATAGTTGATTTGTAGTAGTAAGTCATTAATATGATATGCATATAATGAAAGCAATATTTCATTTGCTTTTAGTATGTTATTACCACCTTGTTGGACAATATCATCAAGTGCAATTGAAAATTCATCATCGATTGATGAGATGATGTTATCAACGGCAACGGCATCGAATCAGCATCAACCAAACTTTTGGTTTTCGGGTAATCCTATTCCGTCCTTCTTCACTCCGTCATCGTCGGGAAGTGCGACGAATGGATCGGACCGACATCCTTACATTCAATCAACAATGCCAAATAAAATCCTTTTCGATACAAATCCATGTAGTTCAAGTTCGGCAAGTTCACCCCCATTATCCAATGATTTCCTCTTGACACGTTCGAATGCTCCGGCAACATTAAACTTAACACAATTCAATTACATCCAACAGAATCATCATCATCATCCATCAACAAATAGTTTTCTTCCACGAGATGATTGGTCACAAATACCAATCGGACAAGCCAACATCTCGCCTCCGTCTGCTGCGGCATGGACAAAAGGTAAATAATAACAAAAAAAGAAACGTTACTGTTTTTTTTTACATCAGACGCATTTATGGCATCCTATTGTATAGAAAATAAGATGGAGGAGGAGGAGGAATAGGTTGCTCAATACCTCATATACATAATCATCGATCTATTCATATGCGATGCCTTAATGACTATTCAATGATTGGAAGGATGATTTATAATATTTGTCGCCGGCACATTACATCTGCATAAGCTCGTTTTTTATGCAATACAGCAGAATTATGACAAGATATTTCCGTTTTTTCATCAAGTGTCACATTTAGTTTCATCGAGTCATGTAATCATTAAGAAAAGGAGAATGTCTTCGATTGGCACTCGACGAACGATAGCTGTTTTTGTTAAGTGTGATGAATAGACATATCGATATCGTGTTGTTCAATTGATTTGTTGACACGTTCGTCGAGCCTTCATTTCATATCCCTATTAAACACCTTTGAGATATAATACAAGCATGCGACTATCTTTTTTTAATGAGATCAACACGTATTTAATGAGCAGCAAATGACACCTTTTTTTTTCTTACGAAGAAATAACACATAATATTCGTGATCGAAGAGAGAGAAAAACAAAAAATAAGATTAATTGATTGAAAGAGTCCAGAAGGTAAAATCAATGAGCCGGAACATTATCTGAGAAAGTACAACGAGCAAAATAAGAGTCGAGATATATGAGAGTGTGTCGTATGCCGCTTCCGTTCTCAACACAATCTCTATCCTCCCATACATTTTCTCAATGAACCATATGAAATCTCGCAGAAAAAGTCACCAATATATATATATATATATATATATATATATATTACAAACACGCTTCATTGCATGTCTACATTGTTTGCGAGAGAAAAATTAATATTATTGAAGGTAAATGATCATTACGTATTGACATGTACACCATTAAAATAGAAGGAAGAAATGTATATGACATCATTTTAATGGTAAGGTAGATGGGCACTAAATGAATAAAAACGAATGACCTATGATCAAGAACTTTCTCCTCTGCACTGTCATTATTTAATTGATAATCAGATCTATGATGATGATGATCGATGGACATGTGATTTCTCTCGCGGTATACCGTGAAATTGTCATCAAACGCAGTCAAAAGTGCAGCCACTCGAACATAAGATCGATGTTTAGAAAATGTATGACAGACAATGGCATCATCAATGTACGAACCGACATGCGTCCGTACACATCGACGTCATTCGTTTGAATAATTTATTTTGATTTTTTTCTCGTGCTCGGACGAGTCAGTCTGAAGTGTGTTTATATTTTCTTCTTTTTACCAAAGGTTATCAATAAAGCGTTGCTTCTAATTGCTTTTTCTTATAAACAAATCTCTATTTAGGTGTTCCGATTGAGAATTCGCAAGTAACACATTATTCCGGAGTGGCTAATGGAAATGAATCAATCAAAGATATGAAACGGAAAAGTAGTCGGCCGACATTTACTGGCCATCAAATTTTCGCGTTGGAAAAAATGTTCGAAAGTTCGAAATATCTAGCCGGAACTGAACGGTCACGACTGGCATCGCAATTGTCTATGAGTGAAGCGCAAGTTAAAGTAAGAAAGATATTCCTCGAAGTCGAATCGGTTAACTCTCTTTTTATTGTTTTTTTTCTGTAGGTTTGGTTTCAAAATCGGTATGTTGTTGAAGTAAAATTGAAATTTTAGACTATTCCTTTGCTTTCTTTTAGACGTACTAAATGGCGAAAGAAACACGCAGCTGAGGTTCATAGTGGAAGCGGTAGTAAACGCACGAAAAAACGCGATGAAGACTCAATTCCTAATATCGAATCGGATTCAAATTCAGATTAGATTGTCTTCCGATTTATTTTAGTGTTTCAATTTTTTTGTGAACGACAAAAAAACGAAGTTTCTTCTCTGTACATTTCTCGATATTAAGATAATTCAAATTGTTCTTTTTTTTGTACATGTGTGTTCAATATCATCACATATATACTTCTAGAAATCAGATCAGATCTATGCTACAAGTTACTTTCAATGAGATTGTTTATTTGATGAACAAGTTTTGGCGTCTATCGATCTATGAGATACAAAGAGAAGTATGAGTGCGATTTTAATCGGTTTTTTTCCATGTTTCCAGTCGTAGTGTTGCTTGTCTCATTCGTTCGACTTTTTGTTCTTTGGTTAAAATGGGCATCGCTCGACTATTGCGGATAATTGTGATGATCGATAGTATAATTTCGATGACAATCAAGGCTAAACCAATTGCTGAGAGAAGGATTTCGACGCGTTGTGCGTACGATTGCAAAACGAGAAAGAAAACAAAACCAACGCTGGAGAAGAGTCCGTAGATAATAAATAGAATAAGTAACGGTGCTTCAAGTACTAAATTTCCCTTCAAACCAAAGAATTGTCGAATAAATTCGTTGAAACATAACATAAATATAATTGCCATTTCTAAGCCAAAGGCATTGGCAGCATAAGTCAGCTGATAGTATTTGAAAATGAACAGAAGGATTTCGAGAACGAACCAAAAGAATGTATAGATTATATTGATACGTAAAAGCACATGAAGAGCAGTACTTGATTGATCAGACACGGTAAGAAACATCTCTTTTTTTGCTGAATGATTATGGAGAGAACGATTACTGCTACTATCGATTCCACCATTGCGTAAATTGTTGTCAAGTTTTTGCCTTCTCGTGTAGCAAAATAGTAGCGCCATCTGTTCCGCTCTACTTTAATTCGTTCTGTCACCTGATCGTGATTTTCAAGAAAACTTATAGATAGACGTTCTGCACTACGGGTTCTATGTATACATAGGAAAAGAAGAGTTCTTAACGTCTTTTCATCGATAATTATGTTCGAGAAAACGGTTATTTGCGATAAATCTTCTTTCGTTGAAATACTTTTTGTTATGATTAACGTAAGTAGCCGAAGGATTCGTTTTACGAAGCTGGCTATTAATTTTCCTTGATTCAAACAACTTCCAGAATCAATCGCTTATGCTTTGTTACATCCTAGAGGCGAACGCTGCTTGTGATTCTATTTGTATATGATTTTCGGTAATTTCCTGTGTTGTATTACAGATTTGTTTCAGTTCACAACTTTCTACCATGTTGGCTATAAAAAGAGTTGGTTTATTAGTATCTGAACGTGGCTATGCAACAGCATCGACATTTCGAGCTGCTGATACGATCGTAAAGAAAACTGAACGTGGAAATCCGAAACCCGATCCAAACAAGTTAGTTTTCGGTGCAACTTATTCTGACCATATGTTAACGATCAAACATACAAATAAGGCTGGTTGGGGAAAGCCTGTGATTGAACCGTTGACGGATCTGAAAATTCATCCTGGTGCCAAAGTTCTACACTATGCAACTGAAGTAAAATGAATTCGATTCGTTTTTCACAACAAGAATCGTCTGTTCCATTCAGCTTTTTGAGGGCATGAAAGCTTATCGTGGCGATGATGGCAAAATTCGACTTTTTCGACCAGATTTGAATATGAAACGAATGCTTTCCACTGCTGAACGAAGTGTTTTACCCGTAAGAGCGTATATACAATCCTATTCGTTGACACCATTGACTCTGCGTAGACTTTCGATGGTAATGAGTTATTGGAATGTATTAAAAAACTGGTACAAGTTGATGCTGAATGGGTACCGAGATCGAAGTCAAGTACACTTTACATTCGGCCAACATTAATCGGCACTGAAGTATGTTTTATTCGATGTTTGAAGAAGTTTACGTAAATGAATTGTTGTAGCCAACATTGGGCGTCGCTGCTCCATCTGAATCATTGTTGTTCGTCGTCACTGGCCCGGTCGGTCCGTACTTTCCAACTGGCTTCAAACCTGTTTCATTATTAGCAGACACATTCCACTGCCGAGCATTTCCCGGTGGTATGGGTGCGTTCAAAGCCGGATCGTAAGACTGATCAATGCTTTACTTTCGAGTTTATCCATTGCTCTCTTCATGTAGAAATTATGGTCCAACGATTTATGTTAACAAACTTGCTCAAGAACAAGGTTGTCAACAAGTCTTGTGGTTATACGGCGAAAAACGATATATCACAGAAGTTGGTACGATGAATGTGTTCATGTGCATCAAGAATAAAAAAGGCGGTGTCGAGTTGGTGACTCCACCCTTAAATGGTCTCATTCTACCTGGTGTTACGCGCCAGAGTATTATCGATCTTGGTCGCACATGGGTAAACTGCTGATAAAGTGATTTTCTTGTAATAAATTTCCTACTTTACAGAAGGATATCACTGTTTCCGAACGTGATATAACAATAGATGAACTCTTGGAAGCACAACAAGACAATCGAGTATGGATTGACTGAAGTTCAATATTCATCCTCTCTTTGATCTATATTCAGCTCTTGGAAATGTTTGGTGCGGGCACAGCAGCCATCGTCTGTCCCGTAGAACGCATCGTATACGAAGGAAAATCGTACGATTTAGCCACTATGGACAAAGGTATGTTATTTCGAATTCGATTAGGTTACTTGATGTATTTATCTAGGCGCTCCAATAACAAGCCGATTCCATGATGAAATCGTTGATATTCAAGTAGGAAACTTTTAATTCTCGTCATTATAGTAATGCTTATCGTATTTGCAATCTAGTTTGGTCGAAAGCCAAGTAAATGGACAGTTGATGTTGCGTAAAACCTTTGACATGCATTTCATAACAATTTACTCTTTAATCTCGGTGTTTCCGATCGTCAAAGAATCTCAACTATAATTTCGATCATGACTTTGTTCTCAATGCTCACGATATGATTGTAGTGTCACCGGTGTTCCACTGTTTTTGTTCATTTTCTAATGAAATAAAAAACAGAACTATCCTTCTATCGAAGTTTGACTTCACATTAAACCTAACTAGAAAGAAGTTTACGAGTTTTCGAGAAGTTCAAATCTAATCGGCATTCCTTCGTGCTGTGCCTTGTATAAAGCTCGCGATAATGCTGATTAGTGCGGACATCTATATGAGAAAAAATGAATGGACTTTTGACGATCTTATTTTCGGTAAAAGCATCGAGATTTTGAAATCTGGAATCAAAATATTCGACAGATCCTCGTATTCGGAAACAATTATTCTACTGGTTTGTCTAGGGAAACCAACGGTTGAGCTTGATGATAAAGCTGTCTGCTGTCAACAGTTGAACTCTTTTTTTTTAAGAGAAGAGAAAGAATTATTAGTTGACTTATTCATTCTAACAAGTTTTCTTGTCTCTTTAGATCATGATGTATTCTTTATTTTTCGCAATAAGCCTCTTTTACTCCCTTATATTCATCTCCGGTTCGCAATCAAAGCGTGTTGGTGATGAAATGTATGTATCATTCGATCGCGCACGCTACTGTGTTCGCCGTCTGAATGCAACACACGAAATTGGCTGTCAATCGACTACAAGAGGCAATTCCGGTCGAATGTATATGATTGAGAATGACGAAGAATTCAAAACTTATCTTCAAGGCGATAAAATGATCGATTCAGTTACTTCGTTTATCATTGTCATGAATGTCAGATTATTCGATTCAAGTCATGTCGATCAGTTAATGAATCGTCTTCAATCAAAACTAAATGGTCTTTTATTATATCTCAAATCAAACTCATCTCGTCCCGAATACTTTTCATCCGATGATCAATGTCCGAATCATCGTTATTCGTATTATTTAAATCAAACAGAAACAGTCAATTGGAATTCAAAGGGCACTGGTTTATTTTTTCGTTCATTTCCATTTCCGATCATGTTAATCGATGAAAAAGATGATTATGAACAACTAGTACGATTCTATCGACAATTCAACAGCAGCCATTCGTCACCGGCTTGTGGTCTAGAATTGAAAACCTTTCAAAATGCCGCACATACATCGAAAACATGTATGAGACGAAACGATATCACACACTCACTGATAGATCTACCAGAAATGTTCTGCGATCCAATCGGTGGCTTGAATATTTACAGCAAATTACCACAAATGATTACAAGTATCCCTCAAGAACGTCAACCCAAATCAGTTGTTCTGATTCTAGCAGCGACAGATAGTTTTCAAATGTTTACGAAAATACAGGGATCAACTGGTGGTGCTCAGCAACCGGCGGTAGCGCTCATTTCACTTCTCACACTTGCACATCTAGTCGGACAAGTACAAGATGAAGTTCGAAAACAAAACAAAGAACTTGTTTTTCTGACAATCGATGGTGACACATTGGATTACTCCGGTTCTATCAAATTTCTCTACGATATGAACAGAGGTTCGTTTCCAGGGGGTAACAAAAACGAACAACGCATTAAACCGGAACATATACATTCAATTATCGAACTTCAAGCTTTGAGTATGACTGATCAACTTTGGGTAAGTTTAACTAAAGAACGGCTTTCATCTAAATGTATATTCAATTCTGTTTTAGCTTCATTCATATCCGTCATCGTTAACCAATCAAACATTTATCAATACTCTTGTTAGTAATCAGCCAATGATCAAACCTATCTCACCTGATTCTCCTCTACCACCAGCATCTTCGCAAATCTTTCTTCGAGAAACATCCTCTTCATTATTTCCTGCTTACATCTTATCATCAGCCGATGCAACTCAATTGAACAATCCTTACTACCATTCATTTTTCGATGATCCATCAACACTATCAATCGATTTATCAACATTAGAATATAATTCTACGACTAAACTTAGTCTATGGGTAAAACGTGTAGTTGAACCATTAGCTCAAACTTTGGTTGAATCCTTTGTTGGTGCCAGAGTCAATGTTAACATCCAACAAGAGATTATCAATAATTTGGTTTACTGTATTTTGAAAAATATCAACTGTCCTCTTATTCATAATGTTTCCAATCAATCTGTTGGAAATACATTCGTTCCATTCGATGAAACGCCCATGCCATTTACAATCAATAGCTATCCCACAGCAAAAACACCGACCTTTCCTTTCATACAGTATGTTCTCAGTTATTTCCTGCGCGATCGCTCGTATGATTTCCTGAATTTTACACGACTCTCATGTAAAGAACGTGCTAGTAATGATAGCTTTCGTTCGTATCGATTCGTTGGTGGATATTTGCCTTCACTAAGTGAAAATTCATCTCTTCCTGGCTATTGCGTTCGATCATATCTACGATCTGTACAATCCATATCTCCCGCATTTGTTATCGATGGTTATGATCTCTCTCAAACAACTTATCCAGCATGGACTGAAAGTCGTTGGACGACAATTAGTCTAAGAGTCTTTATAATTCCAACGGGTACACATGAAGTAGTGACACTCATTATTGGAATTCTACTATTTTCTGTCTCATTTTTCGTTCTACTTGCTCTACGTCATTTCACTAAGTTGAGTCTCTTGCAACCGTCATGTTCGTGAATAAAGCTTGGTGTTTCTAACTATTATTTTGTTGTCATGTCTATGTAAACTATTTTCTCATGCTGATCTCAATCTGTTATTGTTTCTTTGTTGTGTATAATAAGAAGAGTATAAAACTCAAAACTTTCACCCATTCACACTTTTCTTCTCACGATTCGTATCGAATTCCAGTTTGATGATCATTTCGATCTTGTGTTACATTAGCAATACAATTATTAGTTAATTTTAGAAAGAACGTATGTCGTGAATACAAATAGAACAAGAAATAAGTTACACACTGTCTATACAATATGAGAAAAGTAGAAGCAATTTGATTGAAAATAAAAAAAAGAGGAATTTCGATGTCGTTCAATCGCTATCATCCCAACGTGATGATTCATCATCGTTCTCTGATTCGGATTGTGGTCGAATTTTATCACGACGATATTTAGCAGCCTGTTCCATAATTGCCATAACGTTGAGAGAACTTGTTTTTGTCGTTACAGCCGCTTTCTTCTCTTCTTCTTTCTTACGATTATTTAATTGAATACCTAGAGACAAATAGTTTATTAATTCAAATAAAACACAGTCGCATGCTTTACCTTTTTTAATTTCCTCCAATAAATCAGAATGGAGATCGCGCATGATGTAGGGTCGTTGATCCTGAATGGAGGTTTCCGAAGTAACGGAAACATCATCACGATGAGATGTTGTTGGTGTAGTACTATTCGTATTCGCTTTACTGCTGGATGCGGCATTGGTTGTGAAAGGTCGCATAACTAGAGATTGAATTGCAGAACTTGGCGGCAGTGGTGGAGCCGGAGGAATATTCGATGGAACGGAAGAAAGTTGAGAAGGAAGCGGCGGTGGTGCTGGCGGTAGTGGGAGAGACTGCGGAGATGGTGAACGTTCAATGAAGTCAGCCGGGGGTGGAGGTAGATTGTCGAATTCGGATATAGTTGCAAGCGTTGCAAGACCTGTACTTGGTGGTAAAGGTGGAGGAGGGGGAGGAGGACTTGTTGATGGTCTAGCAATCATCTGGTTCACCTGTGGATAATGTGTCATAGGATAGTTTGGTTCAAATTGTGTTAGTAGTGGTGGAAGTGGAGGCAGTGCTGGAGCTTGTCGAGTAACTATTGGAGAATGAACATTGAGTCTGGGCGATTGTTCGACATTATGTCCGTTTTGTGGTGATAATGGGGTGCCAGCACTGCTGAAATTCATGGTCATCGATTGTTGTTCACGACAAGATGATACGGAGGATAATGTTGGACTGCCATACTGTACGAGATCTGAATTTTGTTGAAAATTATTATTATTATTAGGATACTGTAAAAGAGGTCGATGACTCGGTGGTGAATAGATCGGCTGTTGTTGTTGTGGTGGTGGTCGATTACCAGCACGAGCAACGGACTCGTAATCTCCACGATGACGCATCAATTCTTGTGGACTACGATACTGTTGTTGTTCTTCCGATGATTGTTGAATGAGACGAGCCTGTGATGATGACGTAGGATTAGAAGCATAGATTGATTCTTGATGCTGTAATTTTGAACCTTTCTAAAAATTGACAGCGTAATTAATTCCTCATCAAACGAAGAATTATTGCTTGATTTTCTCATACCGGTGATCGAAATCGTTCATGTTTACCGGATCGATGTGCATGATGGTGATGTTGTGGAAATTGAATCATAGATTGCATCCATAGGTTAAAGAAGAATGATGGATCCGTATAAAATTTCATTGAATCTCGACCATCGTCGCTGAACAAAGAAAGCTCACAATTGCCTGCTTTTGTTAAAACAAAACGAATACTAACCGATAGGGATTAAGTAAATGTAGGGCAGGTGCTGGTTCAGCTTGATCATAAAGTGATCGAAGTGAATGAGGCATTGTTGCACGATTAACCACTTGTTGATCGATACGAGTGACACTGACAAATGGCTTCCGATTGTGTACATCTTGAATACTGACTAGATACAAAAACGGCAGTATGAAATTGTAGTTTGGATGACATATTCAAAAAAAACCCTTACCTTCTTCAACATTAGAGTCCAACTGTGTTACTTGAAATTTCAGTCTTTCGATTCGGCCATGCAATGCTTCGGTACGTTGGAAAATATGTCCAGCATCACCAATTAACTCATCAAAGAGATCTTGCGCATGTGCGCTTAATGAACTCAATTGTCGAATGATATTCGCGAGAGTGTGATTAGCTACACATTCAAGTTCATTAGGAACGTCCTTTGGAACTTGCACTTCGCTCAATTTAATAGGTTCAATTGTTCGTTTATTGAACGGCATGACAGTTAATCTAATAACTAAACTGTCGACAAACACTATAAAACGCGCCTGCGTGACGTCAATCGAAGAATATGTTCATAGTCGATGTTTACTTGTCTCTGTTATTCATTCGTTTATGATTTGTTCGTTTCTCTCGAATCGATAGAAAGAAAAAGATAAGAAATAGTTCTAGTTCCAATACAGAAAATTTTCAGTCATAGCATTTGGCAGGAAAGGGAGAGAATACGATTAGAACGTTCTCTTCTTCTCGGTACCATTGACAGAATAAATATGAATTATCAATACTACTCTCCGAAAAGCCAAAGATTATTTTTATATTCACCAATTTATCATTGAAGGCGCAAAATATATTCGTTTTGCTTTTATAACTTTAAATCATACTATAACGTGTTCTAGAGTAAAAATTTGTCATTTTTCTTTTACCCAGCATATCTCGCCTTCTTCGGCATCAGTTCTGATCAGATAATTTATTAGTTGCGGACAACGATTATATAGTCATGATGAACAATTGACTAAATCCTATCTCTTGTCATTGCATTATTATGTCGTTTTGGATTTCTGTGAAAAACATCATTCCTTTGCAGAACGGGATGGCGTATAATGTGATAATAAGAATGTTTATATAGTATTTGACCGATCGATGCCAATGGCAGAAGGAAGGAGAGAAATAGAAGAAGAAGAAGAAGAAGAAGAAGAATGTTTCATTGTCGATGTTTATTTGTCTCTAATGTCTACTCACTTACGATTAGTCCGTTTCTCGCGAATGAATAGAAAGCGAAAGCAAAGAAAGGGTCACAGGTGACGCAGTCGTCGTAGTAGTGAAACAAATAGAACATCTGTTTGATCGATCGATTGATTGATTTGAAACTAGTTTTGAATAAAGTCTCTTTTTAGATGTTATCTTGCCAATTATTAACATGCAACGTCTAGCTGATTATTTCCTTGTGGTCGGTTATGATCACGACGAAGAACGAGGTGGCCGTTCATGTGGTAAAATTATTCAACGTTTTCCTGATAAAGATTGGCCGGATTGTCCATTTAATCCACGCATCATACACTTCTGTCAACCACAAGGTTGGGTTCTAACACCCAAACATGAATTGCCCACGTTTTTCATATCGATTCTAACTGATCTTGATGGTTTGAGACATTATTGCGCTTGTTTAACATTTCATCAAACTCTTCTACCAACAACGCCAACTACAACAATCAATACTTTGTTGAATAAGAACAACATCTGTAGTGATGAAGCGGATGATACAGCTTTTCTTCTACCGAAAACACAAATGTACGCACCAAAATGTCTGTTGCTTACGTCAAAACTGGATTGTTTCGAAGCATTTCGCGTAAGTATGATCTTTTTGCTTTTAGAAAAGCAAATTGATTCGTTCTATTTAGAACTGTTTGGGAATCATCTATACCGCATATGTCGAGCCTTCGTCAGATATTCGAATCGAAACGCTTGTTGGTAATATTCTCGGAAGTGTCAATGTTCCACCACCAGGTACGTCGAACAAATCAAATGAAAACAGAATAGAATTCCAATACTTTAAAAACCATTCTAGGTGGACACGCTCTTCGCTTTTCAATCGGTGCTGATGACCGGCAAGTGATACAACCGCCAGCTAGTCCTACCGTACCTTGTACTGGTCTATCTGTATATAACCTTTTTAAAGAACTAGGTAAGTTTCGAACATAATTTTGACTTCGCAAGAGAAAAACGATTGATTTTAGGAATTGATCATGTTGTCACAATATTTTGTGCTGCATTGTCAGATATTAAAATTTTATTCTTTTCGAAAAGTTATTGGAAATTAACTGAAGCTTGTAAAGCCGTGGAATCTCTTCTCTTTCCACTAAAATACTGGTATGAAAATTTTTTTCGTTCTTCAACTCTCATCATCGGTTGTCTTTCGCTAGTTATACTTTCATCCCAGTGCTTCCATTTGATCTAATCGAAGTACTCGATGCACCAACTCCTTTCATAATCGGTGTTCACTCAGATCAAAAACTTCAAGCATTAATTAATGTAAATAGTTTTCCTCAACGCATTCGATCTGAAAACTTCTGTTTTAGTTCGATGGCTTATGGATCGATTTGGATGGTGCTAGTGTCCACTTAACAGAGAATGTGAAACTTGCACCGATGCCTGAAACACCTTACAATCGTGTGCTCAGTTCATTGTTTCAGGTAAATCAACACTCGATATTTTGTTGTTTTATTGGTTTACAAGAATTATTTCAGATTCTGAAACCTGATATTCATGCAGCTGATTTAGCCTTTCCATTAAATGGTCGAATGAATATGAAAACTGATAGTGGAAGTCAATTAGTAGCTGATTATCCGAAATATAAAGATGAAACAAACAGAGATAAACAGATTCGCTCGATATTCATTCGTCTGTTTGCAGAATTATTTGCTGGTTATCGTTCGTGTTTATTAATAATTCGTATTAATCCTAAACCAGTGATTTCATTTCATAAAGTAATCGCATTTCACTTTCTTCTATCGAACTAAATCTTTGTTTTCAAGGCAAGTTTTCTCGGTCATCATCGTTTAGTTAATGATGAGTTTATGTTACGTGTACTCGATTCGATGTCATTTCATAAATTTATTGAAGAACGCGGTCCACCATTTCGATCACATGATATTTTTGACGATGTCTATGCAGTGATCTACGAGCAATTAAAACGTGAGAAAGATCCAATTACAACACAAAATTACTCGGCTGTTTTCGAGCACATCAAAGAATTAGCCAATCAACTTCTTTTGAATGTAAAACCGCGTTAATTACGTTTGTTGTCTGTATTTTGCCTTAAAATAATATTATTTCTAGGAAAATCCTTCGCCACAACAAACATATACGCAAAAAGTTCCTCAGCCATCTCAAGCGAGTTGTATTCGAGATAATTTACCCGAATTTCCGCATCTAAACAAAGAATTAGTCAATGCAGCGATCAAAGAAGGACTTAAAAAGCAGCAAAACAGCAGGTATGAACGCTAGTTCGTTTTTCCATCGATTGACATTTCCGTTATAGGCCATATTCTGCACGAGTTAGTCAACCGTGTATCGTTAAATTGGGTACGCCCATCCAAGCGCTCAATGGCCGAACTGATATATCTCAATCGGCGCGACGATTAGAAGTATTAAAACAATGCGTCAGTTTCATTTTCAGTGATAAAATAGCCGAAGCGAGAAAGGTAGGCTTGCATTGACATTTCCATGTAAATCAGTTGTTTTTTTTTCTTTGTAGACAAGTGGTGCAGTATTCTATTCAATTAAAAGTCATGAAGATGCACGTATTGCTTTGTGTAATGAATTAGCATCGTATAAAAAACAGAATAAACCAAGATTGAACAATCAACAATTCGAAATGATTGCTAATCTACTGAATTGTGCTCTTGAAGTAAGCTTTCATCTTATTCTCCTTGTTCTATGCAAAAATTTTCCTCCTATTAGGCAAGTTCGTCGATTGATGAACATGGTATTGCTTATATGATATTAACTCTAGCGACCACATTTCATCGTGTATGTATAGATCTCTGAGTGAATATCATAGCTAAATGCATATATTTTCGTAGAAATTGAGTGAAGAAGCGACACAGTTCATCTATACAGATATTCAACGTCATGCGGTATGGGCGAATATGCAATTTTGGGAAATGTCGTTCTATTCGGATGTTCAGCTACAAATACGAAATCTATATTTGTCACACGAAGATCATAATTCGAATAATAATAATAATGATAATTCAGCTGTGACAGACACATTGTCCATTTCATCAGCCGAAACGGTTACACAACATGGATCTGTAAGTTAAGAGCACTGTTCTTTCATCCTTCTATTCTTTCGTCTTCGTTTTTCAAGACAACGTTAACGAATACCATAGATTCGTCATTTGAGAATTCTATTCATCAGAATGGCACGACAATACACGATAAAACAGCATTGGAAATAGCTGCTGAACAAATGCGTCTTTACTCACAAAAAACGCCGGAAGAACAACGAAGTATCGAAGATCTTGAAGAACAAACACTCTACGCACTTGCAATTCACTACATTCAATTGATGGTTTATATGAAACTTCCACTGGATATCTCGTCATCGTCAAATATTCGCCATTCAATCTATAATCCTGTTCCGCATAGTACAGGTGGTGATGCCGACAGTTTGACAAGCGATTTCTACCATAGTTCAAATGATCCGTTCAAGTTTGTTGTTTCGAGGAGGATTTGTTTGAAATTAATGTTCTTTTTTTTCTAGTGTCAGAGATCCAGATGAAACATCTACAGTTGGTTCACACGATAGCGGTCATGGTTTTGATTTGAATAATGATGATCAAGTCACCGATCTCGTTCTTAGTTTTGTTCGCAAATTTGTCGATAAAGTTTGTGATGAAAGCGGTGTCAATGCTACACATAAAAATAGTCTTCATACAAAACTCTATCGTATGTGTTTTCCGTTGGCGTGGATTTCGATGAAATATATTTTCGTTTTTCTTCTCTCGTTTAAAGAAACTGTTCAAATTCAAATTGAAGTTTTGGAAAAAGTCTATCGCGAAACTCGACGAGTGGCACCAATGCCAAAACCATTATTGCCGCGTTTCGTCACAATTCCAGAACTGTTTGAACATGAAGAATCCATTGCATTGCGCTCATATCTTTTACCTGATGGTCGCGATGAATTTTTCATTGGACAACATTCATTATTACCAGCAGAAGGCGCTTTAATCATGACGAATTATCGATTAATATTCAAAGGTCGTCCAGTCAATCCGGCAAGTATGTTGTCTCGCGAAAAAAGAAAGAAATTTCGAGAAACTTGTCATCGTTTTATTCTTCTAGTCGCTAATGATTATCTGATTGTTCGATCGTTTCCGATTTCATCATTAATTCGCGAAAAGAAACTGTCCGGTCAGTTTCGATTGGATAATTCCAATATTTGTCTACACAATGGTATTCAATTACGATCAGCAACATTTCAAGTATGCTCTTCTGATCGAAAATGAAATGAGTCTTATGCGCTTTTGCCTTCTAGTTAATAAAAGTTTTCTTCGATGATGAAGTACTCGTTGAGGATGTTGAAAGATTTCGCGCCAAACTTGTCGAAAAACGCTATCCCGAATCCGTTTTTCAAACATTTTGTTTTTCGATCTACAGCGATTACAATCCTGTGATTAGTAAACAGAAAGATGGAACACTCAAGTACGTATGCCATTCTATTTTTCCATTTGTAAGCAAATTTTCGTCTGCTTTAGAAAATATGGTCGATATGCGCGGAATGTTCTACGTAAGAAAGGTCTTATACCACCGAAAGAATTAACATCACACCAAAATATTACACTCAAATCAAATGGTTCAAGTAATACAGGTGGTTTGAAAACATTGAATGGTTCAACACGACATCAACAGAATCTACTGATTCGTACACCTGAACCAGCAAGACGAAGTTTAACTTTAGCAAACGCTCGTTCGCCGAAATCGTTAACTTTACAAAATAGTAACGATCGATCACTTGGCGGAATATCAACATTGACAACACCATCGACCATTCATGAATGTGATGAAGGCGTCATGGGAAATAATAGTGATGATGAAGATGAGGATCGACTATCGTCTGCAATCGATGATACTAATAATTATGCAACGATATCAAATGAAACGAAGAGTCTCGAACGCTTTACTGATAGTTTTGTATATAAAGATTTCGTTCGACAAGGTTTAATTGTTACGACATTTGGAGCGTCACGTTCGACTATTCGCACATCAACTGTCACATCATTAACATCGAACATATCATCGCCTGCTTTGTCGAGTGTCAATGAGAATAACACCAATGGTAACGGACAATCGATCGGAAACCCAAGCAACGGTAATAATAATAATGGCATGAATATGACAATCGCAGGAGGAACAAATACAACGCCAACGATGAGTGCATTCATGGGCACAAGCGATGATGTTTTCCGAATTTCACATATTAATCGAAATTTTGGTTTTTGTCGAAGGTAGTCTAACTTAATTGAGGAAGTGTAATTTTCATTCGAGTTTTTGTTTAGTTATCCATTGGTCTTGGTTTTACCAAAAGACATTCTTGATGAAAGTTTGAAAAAAGTTGCTCGATGTCATAAACTTCAACGGTATGTTGGCTGGATTCAATTTTGGCAATTTTTCATTCATTCTCTATAGAGTACCTGTCATTGTTTGGCGTAATCCACGTACAAAATCTCTTCTATTACGTGGCTCTGCTTTCTGTAACAAAGGCTTTATCAATCTTCTTGTTAAAGGCCCACAAACTAATACAAGTAAAGCTTAATCTTTGAAATAGAAATATTTGTTTCATCTTGATTATACCTAGGTTCATCGAGCGACACAAACGCAAGCATCGAACAAGAACGTTATTTTGATGCTATTGTCAAATTAACCCCAACGAAAATGCCATTCTCAGCCGATTTAGGTGATGGTGATGAACCAGAATCCATCGACATCACACCCTTATCAGTTCGTAAGACCACACATCATTCAGCGACAAATCGTTTGCAGAATCTACTCCCCAGTCGCGTTCTTTACGATCGTCCACGAACAAGTAAGCTTATCGCATATTCAGCACATTAACATATGCATCTGTAGAGAAACCTTTGAATCTTCGAACTGAAAATACTTCCACTAGTCGGATGATATCTAAAGGTCGTATATCGGCTATTTTCAAAAGTTCGAGTAGTGCAACATTGACAGATACTATGCGGCAGACGATGGGTAAACCTGCGAAAGATTGTTGACCCCATAACTCGCATCCGCTTCTATTTTATGTTTATCTTATATCACAATTCATTCGCTTACTGCTTTGAATGAATTTTGACAGTGTTTTCTAATCTTTTTTTCGTATCCAAAATAACATTTCTTTTGTGTTTATAGCGAGCGTGAACATTCATTCAAATATGGATACGCTACCTCGAAGTGACACGGCTAGTTATACATCAATGAATTCACCAACACCATCAGCAACAGCAGCAAATGGCGGAACAGGTGGCACAAATGGTTTATCAAGTTTTGATATTGATTTCAATGAATCTATTTTACAAGTACATAAACGATCGCCGCTTTATATCATCGGTGATCGAGCCCAGCATCGTGTAAGTTGAATCTCCCCACAAAATCAATTTCGTTCTTCATTATTTAATTCATTTTAGACTGGTCGACTAGAACAATTTCAAAATTATTGTTTTCTTCCATTAGAATTTCATGATGTTAGTCAAATAAAGACCAGTTTCAAGAAGATGACACGAGCATGCGTGCCTAGTATGTCCGCTCAAACATCCAATGGTCATGCTAATCACAATGGCACAGATATTTCATCGGTTACATTACCGAATTCAATGTCATTCTATAAACTGATCGAAGAGTCACGATGGCTCTATCAAGTAAAATATCTTTCTTTATTCGTTGTCCTCGAATAAGCCCTATTCTTCCTAGTTACAAAAAATCTTAATGATCAGTGTATATATTGTTCAATTTATCGAAGATCATGCATCGTCCGTCATGATTTGTGTGGAAGATGGTTGGGACACTGCTTCTCAACTTGTTTCTATTAGTGAATTGTTACTTGATCCATACTATCGAACATTTGAAGGCTTTCAAACCTTGATTGAACGAGAATGGTTTGCATTCGGACATCGCTTTTCACATCGATCAAATCAAACAGCAGCGAATAAGACTGGCTTTGCACCTGTATTTCTTCAGTTTCTCGATCTTGTTCATCAAGTAAGAATTCGATTTATTAATAGAATCAGAAACTGAACCAATGTCGCTTTAGATCTGGAGTCAGTTTCCAACCGAGTTTGAATTTAATGAATACTATCTTCGTTTCCTTGCTTATCATCATTTATCCAATCGTTTCAAAAATTTCATGTTGGATTGTGACTGCGAACGTAAAAAAGATCGCAACTGGTATGTGGACACGACTCGTGATCCTCTCGCCGAAGAGATCAGTGGTAAATTGAATGAATATTCTATCGAAAACGTCGTTCTCCTTCTTGTAGGTTTATATCGATGTAATACAATCAATATTTGGGATTATGTCAGTAAAATTAATCGAGAATGCTCAAGATTCTATAATTTTCTATATTCGCCAAGCACTGAAAGTTGTGTTCTTCGTCCATCGTACAAAATGTATTCATTGGATATATGGGATTTTTATCTAAGTGAAACATTGGAGACAGGCTGTCCGTATGATCTCGATATCGCCTTAGCTGAACATGATGAACACTTGAATGATGCAGAACTTCGACAACGTAGTAAATGCCTATCCGCTGTATATGATGATATCAGTATTTGTTTACCAGACTTCTTCAATGAAATTGTTTCGGTATGACGAAACAAAGCAGTGAATAGTCCGAGAAAAAACATCTTTTGTTTTCATAGGAAATGTCCAATACATTAGCACATACGAATGGAGATTCATGGAAAACCTACTGGGATAAAATCGAAAAGCCTGAACGTGAAAAAGTACAAGTATGTAGACGAATAAAAACCATTTCAATTTGTGGAGAACATATTTCTTTTTCAGCGTCTATCCATGCAAGATGAAGCTTACAAACGAATGAATTCTACACCACATTATCTTCACCCACAACGTTCGCTTTCCTCATCGATTTCATCATCACGTACATCATCTATGTATGGCTCGCATACATATGAGCTAACACAATTTTCATCGCCACAAATCTGCGATACTTGTGACGAGATTATTGATTCGAAGAAGTCGACTTTAGGTTTGTTTCTGCTTTTACGAAAGTTTTCTTTACGAAATCTCTTCTTTATAAGACGGAATACGTGCATTACAATGCCGTGAATGCTCAAACGTTTGTCACGAAAAATGCCGATCGATTGCCTCATGTCGACCATGTCGACGAATCGGTACAAGCGGCCCATCTGATTCTCAAATTGTTGTTAACTCAACTCGTTTTGAAACAGGCAGTGTTACAGGTAATTTCTTGGATGATATTCTTATGACTGTTATTGCTTTTTTTTTGTTACCAAAATCATTTCCAGATATTACAGATGTTCTGCTGGAGAGGGCGGGTAAACTATCGCTATACCTCGTATTTATACATAGTCTACTAAGCAATAGAATCTAATTCTCTACACGTAGAATTCCTAGATCTTCTCTTGATTACCAGCTCATTGTCACTTGTGACAAGATTAATCCTTGAATGTGTTTTGTAGGTGTCTACGATCATCATGGTTTATCACATTCGTTTACATCATCGGGTGTCACGGGAAATAATTCTGGTCCACAACATCGAACGCATGAGGGTTATTTACGAAAACGAGGCCATCTATTAAAACAATGGAAAGAACGTTGGTTTGTTCTGGATTCTGTACGGCATGAGGTAAATATTGAAATAGACATGAACTGATTATCATCATTGCGGTTTTATTTAGCTTCGATATTATGATAGCAGCGATGATCAAACCGCCAAAGGTGTTATTCTTCTAGCTGACGCGGTTGAAATACTTCCTTATACAGGTCCATTTCCTAATGCATTGAGACGATTCGATAGTCGAGCAGCTTTCGAGGTAAACTCACATTGCATCTTGATGTGAATGATAGTGTAACAGTTTCTCTTTATATTTTAGTTACATACGAATCGTCGCATCTATAATTTTATTGCTGCTACCCCTCAAGATGCTCAAACATGGACCGACAAAATCAAATCATGTCTTCTGGATTCTTAGGAACAAAATAGAATCTCATCAGTATTATGGTCATTTTTGTGTGCAATATGCTTTTTCTTTTCACTTTGCATGAAACGAAAAATTTCATATCTATTTTTTTCTCTCCTTATTTCTTCATTTCTCATTAAGTATTTGTTAGTCTAGGCAGATCATCATTTTTATTCTCGAGAACAACGATCGAAGAGCAATTTTGTGTATATACATATATACGTTCGAGTGCGTGTGTGTTTGCTTGTGTGGTTTTTTTTCTGTTGTTCTCTCGAAAGAATGTCATTTATTTATAACTGTGTGCGCGTGTGTGTCGAGTGAAAAACATTGAAAAATTTTTTTCAACTGCTTCTGAACAAATAAGAACTTATCTTTATCACAGCAAATACTGGACTTCATTGATTGTATGTAAATCGAATCAGTTCACACAGATCACATCGATATAAAACGAAATTGAATTTTAATCGAAGAAGGAACGAATAATATTTGAACATCAATCCCTGGATATCATGTCTGCACATGCTCCTCTATCCTTCACTTCACTTCACTTCACATTCAGTTACATCTTCTTCACTCCACATTCGACACGTTTCGTCTCTCTCCCTCTCTCTCTCTTTCACGACATGTTACGCTACAATTTTCTTGCACTTCAGCTCACTGCACTCACTCTTGCCATCATCGCCATCACAACTAGGTAACTTTCTTCTTCATCAAACGCTTCTCCATCTTTCTTCACACTAGCTCATGGGAAAAAGTCATTCTCAAAGATGACGATGCTCTTCAAACTATCTATCATTCACCACTCTTAACTACACTTACCACGCCTATTCCACCTCCATCCACTCAACCTCACAATGTCACTGGCTATATTCTGACCATCAACTCAGGATTGATGGATATTTGTGCACATCTACAACATCCCGCCCATCTCTACCGGTCACCACAACGATGTAAACAAACTGTGGCACGACCTTCTATCGGTACTCATTCATCTACTTTACACTCAAAAATATGATTGGTTTGACTTTGTGTTAGGTCTAGCCATCATCGGAGTGATCTTTGTTGTCATTGGCATTGCTTGTACTGGTTCGTTCACTTTCATTCGTCATTGATTTGTAGCGAAAGTGTATTTTTGGTAGGATTCGCCGATGAAGAGGTGTATGGCGATCGACATATTCGTTGGTTATGCTACGGGTCAGCACTAAGTGTTGCATTGGGTGGTCTTCTACTGTTCACATGTCATTGGACATATTCGCTAAGTTCTGAGCTACAACTACCGACGGCGTTTGTTCGATATGGATATTCGACATATATGATAGTGACGTCAGCCGTATTGAGTTTACTTTCGATGGGTCTTGTATTATGGAGAATCGTGAGTATAGCTGATGGAATGATGATGGAGACTGATGAATGTCTATGTTGTTAGTATCTTTGTAGGGATCGTTACAATCATCATCATCGTCGTGGGCGAGTGAGAAGTGCTAGACAAAGACGACGACAGCAAAGTGTTTTTCGATGAGGTGGATGAAAATCTATCGAGTATGATATTGACTGTAATGGATATTTTCGATTTTTTTGAACAGATATTTCTTATTGTTAATCCGGAAAAATGAACTTAAACATTGTTATATCAGTTTATTGAAAGTAAATAAAAAAATACTGTATCAAAGAAAACAAGCTCACCAGCAATATTGTATATTGAGAGTGTATGCTACTTGTAGAAAAGATTTGATCAATTTAAATCAGTATTCAATGGACTTTTGAAGAAATAATGATGGACAAATACTTATAGAAGAGATAAAATATTGAGATAAGAAAGACGTATTTGAGGCTGAAATAAATAATTTTGAACATATGCTTATTTTCTTTGAGATATTGAATGAAAGGATGCAAGCCTTCTTTCGTATTGGTTTGAAAGGGATCATAATTGTTACCAAAATACCATCTCATGACGCAATAGTACACACGAATAGGTGTGAAGAAGCGTTGAAGAGTGTCTGGCGATACTCCATAGCTAAATAGATAAAGAAAACACATCAGCATGTTACTATCTTTCCCTTTGGCTAAGAAATCAATCTGATGAACTTTTCCACTCTATGAAAGAAACTATACCTGTCAGAAAAAACAGATGTTGATATATTGTTGACATATAAATATCCACTCAAAGTTAATGGTGAGTAATAACCCAGACGAGAAGTAGTGGTGATGTTTCTGATTGCTAATCTTCTATTGAACAGAATCAGGTGATGCTTGGTCGTTACTTTCGATGCACGTAGATATCTGATTTGATCCATTTCTGCATCATAAACTGGAATATTATGAGTTGTTGTCAAACTAATAGTGTTATCATCGACGGTTTCCATTGTATAGAAAAGTTCTAGATTAGTACGAAGAAGAAGCTAGATGGCATTCACTCATCGGGCTAATATGCAAACCTGCTTTGGACGGTTCATTATGCATCATTAAGACAATTTCGTCCTCAATGAATGAGTTTCCATCTGTACTAAGCGACCAAACTCGATCTCCAACTTTTAAATTTTCTATGTAGCGTTGTCCACCGTCGACAAGATTGACTCTATCTTTACCAAAATAACAACCATTATTCTCTGAAATAGAAGAGTAGAATCTTTTCTAAGATGTTCACTGCAACAATATGATCATACCAACTCGTTTTCGGCATTCTGGTCCACTCCATTCTTGTGGACAATAGCATTTTTCTGGGCTAACACAATAGCCACCATTGTCACAGCCTCGAGAACAGATAGCTAGAATATTAAGGTTAACCATTATACAAAAATACTATTGCCGTGAAAAGCATTACGTACGCGTTGTACAATCTGCTCCTTGCCATCCTGTTACACATGCACACGTCCTAGAAGATGAACACGTGCCCCCGTTTGAACACACAGGGGTGCACATAGCTGCAATATCGAAAGATAAAAGTATGTTTCTGATTTTCTACATAAAATCCATGCATACGCGTTTGACAGTTTGAACCCGTCCATCCAGATGTACAGGAACAAACATTAGGAGTTTGACAGACGCCTCCATTCAGACATGAACTGGAGCAAATAGCTAAAACATTAATCATATTTGCATCGATGTATTTCATGTGCGTATCACTTACCTGTTCCACAAGTAGAGCCAGACCATCCCGTTGAACACGTACAGATCCCGGGAGAAGAACACACACCACCATTCAAACATTGGGAAGTGCAAACAGCTGAAGTTACATCCAAAGAGATTTTATCTTCATGTAAAATGATCACTTACGCGATTGACAATTTGATCCGCTCCAACTATTTGTGCATTGACATGTACCTGGGCTAACGCATATGCCATTGTTTAAACATCCCGGCAGGCAAATCGCTATATTATTAAGATATCGTTCGCCTTGGGTTCAAGTAGTCATATGACGTTTTTTTCTATACCTGTGGTGCAGTTCGATCCTGTCCAGCCGGACGCACATGTACATACTCCGGGTGATCCACACGTGGCATCGTTGAAACAACCTTGAGAGCAGATAGCTGAAAAGAAGTACGATATAGGATTACTTCTGATCCATCTCCAGCAAGTTTAAAGGGCTAAATTTCGATTACGACTGAACAGCTACGTACGAGTTTTACAATCAGATCCTTGCCATCCTGTCACGCATGAACAAACGCCAGGACTCGAACAAACACCATTGGAGCATGGTGTTAAGCATATTGCTGGAACGAATCAAATTATGTCATGTTCAAATACGCACAATAACATTCTCAAGATACTGAACATACGTGTTCCACAATCTGAGCCTGTCCAACCGGACGAGCAGTTGCAAAAACCAGGACTTACGCATGTACCATTGTTTTGACATTGAGGCAAGCAAACAGCTAAGTAATGGAAAGGCACATTTCAAGCGAGTGTTCTGAATTCCAGAACTTTGCAATTACTTACCAACCGAGCAATCGGACGCAGACCATCCTGCCACGCAAGAGCATTTATTGGGTGCTATACACGTGCCATTGTTTTTACATTGTGTAGAACATATCGCTTAATGCAAAAGTAACAATGAGTATACTCAAGTTAAAGCTTTTACTTACGATTCTCACAAGTCGAACCGTCCCATCCTGTTGCACAAGTGCAGGTATTCGGTGAAGAACAAGTACCATTGTTCAGGCAAACTTTTGAGCACACAGCTAAATTGTAATAAATGTGTGAAAACGTCGAGATTTCTAAGTATGGTTGCTTACGATTCGCACAAGTTGAACCGTCCCATCCCGATATGCAAGTGCAAGTATTGGGTGAAGAACAAGTGCCATTATTCAGGCATGGTTTCGAACAGACAGCTATAATAGAAACAAATACCAATAAATATACTGTGATAAGCTGTGCCTGCCACGTGAGATGACTACATACGAGTTGTACATTCGGATCCTTGCCATCCCGCTGCACACGAACAAACTCCAGGTTTGGAACAGACACCATTTGAACATGGAATGGAACAGATTGCTAGAGTGAAGAAAAGAATATTGCAATCATCTACAGTTCACGCCAGTGCAGAAAAGATTGCACACGTACGTGTTGTACAATCTGAGTCTGTCCAGTCTGCTGTACAGTTGCACACGCCAGGGCCTGTACATGTACCATTGTTTTGACATTGAGGCAAGCAAACAGCTAAACATGATGAAAATAGTAAATAATATCGTTCAAATCATATATTTGTTGCTTTCATTTGTTTGAGATAAATACGTACGAGCTGAACAGTCTGAGCCACTCCATCCTGTTGTACAAGAACATTTATTAGGCGCTATGCATGTGCCATTGTTTTTACATTGTGTAGAACAGATCGCTTAATGCAGAAATAATAGTGAGTATACTCAACGAAGAGATTTCACTTACGATTCTCACAAGTCGAACCGTCCCATCCTGTTGCACAAGTACAGGTATTCGGTGAAGAACAAGTACCATTGTTCAGGCAAACTTTTGAGCACACAGCTAAATTGTAATAAATGTGTGAAAACGTCGAGATTTCTAAGTATGGTTGCTTACGATTTGCACAAGTTGAACTGTCCCATCCCGATATGCAAGTGCAAGTATTAGGTGAAGAACAAGTGCCATTATTCAGGCATGGTTTCGAGCAGACGGCTACAACAGAAAGAATAGAATTGAAATTTGCTGAAGTTTCACACATACGTATTGTACAATCTGAACCATTCCAACCAGTTCGACACAAGCATGTTCCATCAGAGGAACATGTACCACTATTTGAACAAGCCGGCCAACAACTCGCTAACATTGTAACGCATCAGTAAATCTCTACATGTTATGAATTCATTGAAATAGAGCGAACTACCTGTGGAGAGCGATTCGATGAAACAGAAACTCAGCTCTACTTGTGGCACTTGACCGTTGGCAAACATGATATCAAAACTTAGCTTAGCGTGCAAACTATTAAACAGATTTCGAATTTTGTTATCATATGCTTTTCGACAGTCGGTGTCAACACAATCGCCTGGGTAATTCACTGATATTGTCAAAACTAACAGATCACCTGTTGTACCAGGATCTTTCTGACACTGAATTGTATCCGTTCTAGAATACGAGTATCAAGCTTGTACGAATTATCTTTAAACGTCGAAAGCATATACATACACTACTTGTCGTTTTCTAGGAGCAGTGTCTATCGGTGCTGGAATCAACTTAGCATTTACAACAGTAATACTGGTAAGATCGGTTAATTTCATTAACTAAACAAAGCTATCAATAAGAGATCTTGTAGAATACTCAAATGTGATATACATTATTCCCGATGCTCGCCAAATCGGTAGCATTTGTGGTTTGCCCGAGCTTTGTATTGGTCCCATAGATAAGCACATATGACACCGAAACTATCAGTTGATATTAAAAAAAGAAGCAAGAATAGAGCAAAGGATATCTATACTTATGTGAACATTTGTCACGTGCTGTTGTCTATTCGGAAGATATATTAGCATGAAAACGAAGAAGACAAGCATTGCTACTAGGCCAAGAGTAACCAACGGGCAGCATACAGATACTTTTACTCGGTAATTATGCATTGCATTCCACCATTTTCTAAGAAAAAATAGCTATTTGATGAACCAGTCCATTTTTGAGAGATATGTCTTTGAAAATATATTAAATAACTTACCGAAAAAATGGTTGCTCATTACCATTGTTATTAGTTTCGATTTCAAGAAGATTCGACGTTGATATTGACTGCATGTACAATATCTGAAATTCTGTGTAAAACATAGTATCATTAAATACTCATACTTAACATATAACGATTATGTTTCGATGAATCTAGGTAATGGGAAGATGCGAAAACTCATGACTTTTTTCGTTTACGAACTCGGTAGAGGCAAGTACGAATAAAAAGTACATAATAACAACATTCCATAGGTAGCTTTATCTCAGTGATTATTCATCCAGAACACGTCGTCGAGCAAGAAATATATCATTGACCATGATTGTACTGACATGTGACGACAATCAACAAATAAGAAATAGAAACATCATATGAAGCTTCGTATATTATGCAAAAAAATTGATTAATAACATGCATATTAGTCACCGAGCACAAGTACGTGAAAAAACGAGAAAAAGTAGAGATAGGTCGTGGTGACAATAGACACAAGATTCGGTTTTAAGACCTAGATCATATTTCATACAACTAGTAATTGTTTCTCAATCTATACAGCAAGACAAACAGCTTGTTGATTATGTTCTATTGTTTAAGAAAATGATTTGCATTTGTTTACTCCTTTATAAAGCGAATTGTTCATAGTTGGATAAAGGACGGATAATATTTGAACATCAATCCCTGGATATCATGTCTGCACATGCTCCTCTATCCTTCACTTCACTTCACATTCGACACGTTTCGTCTCTCTCCCTCTCTCTCTCTTTCACGACATGTTACGCTACAATTTTCTTGTACTTCAGCTCACTGCACTCACTCTTGCCATCATCGCCATCACAACTAGGTAACTTTCTTCTTCATCAAACGCTTCTCCATCTTTCTTCACACTAGCTCATGGGAAAAAGTCATTCTCAAAGATGACGATGCTCTTCAAACTATCTATCATTCACCACTCTTAACTACACTTACCACGCCTATTCCACCTCCATCCACTCAACCTCACAATGTCACTGGCTATATTCTGACCATCAACTCAGGATTGATGGATATTTGTGCACATCTACAACATCCCGCCCATCTCTACCGGTCACCACAACGATGTAAACAAACTGTGGCACGACCTTCTATCGGTACTCATTCATCTACTTTACACTCAAAAATATGATTGGTTTGACTTTGTGTTAGGTCTAGCCATCATCGGAGTGATCTTTGTTGTCATTGGCATTGCTTGTACTGGTTCGTTCACTTTCATTCGTCATTGATTTGTAGCGAAAGTGTATTTTTGGTAGGATTCGCCGATGAAGAGGTGTATGGCGATCGACATATTCGTTGGTTATGCTACGGGTCAGCACTAAGTGTTGCATTGGGTGGTCTTCTACTGTTCACATGTCATTGGACATATTCGCTAAGTTCTGAGCTACAACTACCGACGGCGTTTGTTCGATATGGATATTCGACATATATGATAGTGACGTCAGCCGTATTGAGTTTACTTTCGATGGGTCTTGTATTATGGAGAATCGTGAGTATAGCTGATGGAATGATGATGGAGACTGATGAATGTCTATGTTGTTAGTATCTTTGTAGGGATCGTTACAATCATCATCATCGTCGTGGGCGAGTGAGAAGTGCTAGACAAAGACGACGGCAGCAGAGTGTTTTTCGATGAGGTGAATGAAAATTTATCGAGTATGATATTGACTGTAATGGATATTTTCAATATTTTTGAGTGCTTAGTTGGTAGTATTAATCTGGGAGGATAAAATAAAGTACGATATTGATTGCACGTATGGACTGGATACTTTCTCAAGAAACTAAGTTAACAGAGCCAACTCTGTTGTAGGAACTAGTTTTACTGACATTGGAATGATGATTCAACTTGGCTAGAAGAACTTCTCACCTACATCCTGTTTCTCATAGATTAAACATTTCGTCGAATTCTACATTTAAGAGTTAGAGATAGAGATAACAAACATATTGTAGCATTATCATTTTGAATGACCTATGACTGTACTGTATCACAGCACACTGATTAACAAAGAAAATTACAGTTTCATGATTTAGTGGTAAAAAATTGTTCTTGTGATCCATATAACTTTGTCATTACAAAGAAAATAAATGCGATCGCTTGGTATTTTAATTCTTCTATCAATAATGAAATTACGTTCTTTGTAATCAATTGCATATTAGAGTTTCTTATCAGTATCGAATTACTGGCATTAAATTATCACTATATATAATGGAATTTGAATCGTCGATAGAAATGTTTTTACATTAACTTTATTCTCAAAATATGATATTCAACTAAAAATGTCACCTCGATTCTCCATTTTCCTTATCTTCACACTCTTGAAATACTCGACCGGTGCTCCAGTGACTGAGGAATGTACAAATAATCCAACAATTTGCGTTCCCAATGGTTATTGTTTCCAAAACTCAGGAAACTATTCTGGCTGTCAGAAAACATGTCCATCGAATTGGGCATGCAGTCATGGAAGTAAGAAAAGCGAAAGAATCGTACGAAACGCATCTTAATTGTCTTTATTAGATGTTTTATGTAGTATTCCAGTTGAACAGATGGTTAAAGATGTTGCTGCATTCAAACATAATGATGTCGCCAGTGGTTTTGCAATCAATCAATTATGCATTGCAAAACATGGCTGTGAAAACAAAAATTCGTTAGACAATCCATCGTGGTTCGACAATATTCTCACCGCCTTCATCACGCCGTATGTAGAAAGAAACGGCAATTGGAATGCTGTTATTGAACACTGTCACTCAACATTAGCAAAGATTCCTATTTTGGGTAAATACTTTTGTCAACAAACGATGGCGAAATACCACATAACTGTCGATTTGAAGAATGCGGTGACTAACAATGGATGTGGAACACAACACGATTGGAACGCTGTGGGAAATATCATTGTTAATTGTGTGAAAGAAGCTCAGATTGGTATTCCATTTGGCGAAAGTTATGCTATATCGGAAGTTTTTCAGCAACGTAATTTAGTGCGAGAGAATTGTATTAAGACACGAAGAGAAAAAGGACTACAAGTTGAATTTTAAGTTATTTTTCTCTTGATGACTTCGGTAAAACTGGAACCGTTGAAAATAAATTAAATCATATAGATTTTTATTATATATTCTGAACAAGGTGAGATACAGACAAGTTTCTTGAATAGTTATGTGAAAATCATAGACAATTTAGCAAATACAAGAAAAAAGTGTCTCTTTTAATCACATCAAATCAAGACGAGATAAAACTACCATTTTCGGTCAATGTTGTCTTACAGGAAGATCCTGTGACGAGTTGACAAATCTCATCTGCTGTTAATTCACGAGAAAAGATCTTCAATTCATCAATCTTTCCTTGATATTGATTAGATGGAGCCATGTTGTCTTCGCCATTACTGTATGTCGTTGATAAATCGCAGGTTCCTAGAGTGATCGAATTTATCTGATTACTAGCTGCATAATCTGTGTACGCAAGATTTTCACTCTTCAGTTCGCCATTGATATAGAGACGAATGCCATTATTGACCGAATAAGTCATACTAATATGCACCCATGTGTTTAACAGATCGCTTTTGAAGGGAGTTGAAGCGATGTAAGTTCCTTCGACACTCAAGGACTGAATCACTAAATATCCTGAATCAAAATTGATCATCGGCACGCACCAAGCTTTTGGAGAGTTGACCTAAATCGAGAGAAAGTATACGCAAGTTGATTATCTGTCTGAATACTACCTGAAGAATAAGGCCAGCGGCTGCATAGGGAAAAATCCACAATGAAAATGAAAAACTATAGTTCGTTTGTCCCAAATAATAGAAACCCTCTGTTCGAAAACATGCTGTAGATGAACCATTCATCTGTAATGCTTGATTTATTTTACCGTCGGAATCAAATTTTGTCGACTGGCTGTAGACATTCTGAATGTTATTCGGACCCATATCATTATATGAACCATCGAATGGATAATAGGAAACAAGGGTTGCCTCGTCAAGAAGTTCGCTCTCAGTCATCAGACGTGACACAAATGTTAATTTATCGACACGGCCATTACGAAATGTGTACAAAGTGTCTTGAGGTGTGGAACCGAACAGTATTGGTGGGGTGTTTTCAGAATATGATCCCACGGTTTCTCTGCTACCTTCAAATACTCCATTTAAGTAAATCACTTGTTTCGAGTTAGATCGATCATATTGAAAAGCAACATGATACCATTGATTGACTTGTAGTGGGTTGTTGCCACTTAAATCATCGAAAAAGAAACTCATGGTAACAAAACCATTTTTCACTGACAAAGATAAACACCGGTCTGCAGCAGCTTGGGCACAATGCAAAAATAACAAAAAATAAATATCTATGTCACTCGACGCGTTGTAAGCATCGGTAATCCAAATCCATGCAGTAACTGTAAAACTAGTTGTTGTTAAATCGAGATTCCTACTCACAACTCCATATGAATTCGAAAATTTCACAGTACTGCTATATCCAGCATAACCAGGTGATGACCACAATTCAGTTTTATCAGCGTCTGTAGCGTCCTTTTTCCACTCCACAAAACCATTATATAATCCATATACATCGTTCAGATTTCCATCGAATAACCACTGAATAATAACTGGCGGATTAAGTGGCTCTTTTCCTACAAAACATTCTAGAAAACCCAAAACAGTGAACTTTCTTCACATACCAGTCTCCGTCGTCGTCGTCGTCGTCATATTCAGAAAGGTAAATACCACTGCCGGAGTATCAATCATTATTGTTAATTGTCCTTGCGAAAGATTTGCATTATACAGATCACACTGCTGCCGAATAGTAAAATAATTGCCAGTAATACATTGACTATTACTATAACACTGACATTCACATATACTCAACGATGTTATAGGCGATAGACTGTTCAGTGTACTAGTAGCGATGTTTGGAATAAATATAGCATTGGAATAAACTTGCATAGGTATGGCTTGTATCGATTCGAGAGCGACCAGAAGGGCAACAATTAGTTTGAAAAACATTTTACGAATGAACGATGTATTTGCTTTTTGTGAAGTCATTTCTTTGTTTTTAATCAGTAAAATTTACTGCATGAACAGATGTTCAACGCCAGTAGACGCCTCGAATGTTAATAAAAAAATATGCTTGCGACGTGCTTTCTTTTTTTAAATACTTTCCGTGAAAAATATCTTTCTGAAAAAAAAAAAGTTTTGCTTGATGACAGTAGAAGTATGATTTGAAAATAACTGCACACAAACGCGTAATTGATCGAGAGTTCAAATGAGCATTTCTCTTTAAAAGACTTTTATATAAACCTTCGAGAAACTGGTCATTCATTAATTGCTAAACAGAACTGCAGTCTACCCACAAACACTTTTGAAATATTCTCTTCAGTCTTAGCATAATATACATAATATATTGCAGCTAGACTGAACAAACCAAGCATTCATCAGTTGATATCTGTGGTTGATTTTATAGATTTGAAGCCGATGTGAAATTACAAATCATATCCGTTTGACCGTTATTCAACTAGGCATACAAGATAAGGTCCATATACGACTATACGTGAGTATACATAGGGGTTCTTGAGCTGAATTTGATCAAACAGTCTCCATTGTTTTTTGTTTTATTTTGCTATATGTAAAGAACGATAATAGAAAACAAAAAACAATAGCTGATCTACTAGAAAAAGAATTGCTTATAATACGGAGGTTTACCGCTGGGTGGTAAATCTTCCTTTCGGCGTTTCATTTTTTCATTCAGTGGAACATAATCTACTAGATCATATTTCCAATTTTCGGCGAGATATTTGTACGGTGGCCAGTCGCGTACATCGCTCATTTCGTCATCGCGTAATTTCTTATCTAAATGTAAAGACCGACGTGGCTCCATTCGATCCCAATGGTAATGTTGACGAGCTAATTCGAAATACTCATGTTCACCCGGTGCTCGAACATCTTCGAAATTTTCATCGGCAAATTCTTTTTCATGCGAATGCATGACAATACGTGATTCATTCTCGAAGAAGTTCAACAATTCATCACGTTCTTCTAGCAGACGGAGACGTTCCATAAGGTTCGCTTTTTTCTCATCGATGACGAAACGATGAATTTGGTCATCAAGTTGTTCTTGTCGTTCGCGTGTCCAAATTGCTATCTGTTGTTCGTGTTTCGTTGTATCACGTTTATCGGCAAGAGCTGCTTGCTCGATTAGATTTGTTTCCACGAATTGTTTGAGATCCATTGCAACGATCTTATTCTGCTCGCGAAGTTTCGGTAACAATTTCTCCTAAAGGACAAACGGATAGTATCGTTCGTTTTTCTCATTAATATTTACTTTGATTATAACGCGAGCAGCTTCGGGAATGAGTTCTAATCGTCGATATGGACTTTGTGGTAGATTTCCCTTAAATTCAGCTGGATTATAAACATATTCATCCAATTCTTTTTCCAGAATGTTTATCTAGCGAAATACGAAATAGTCCATCGAATTCTTCCAACAAGCGTTCCTTACAATTCCTTCATCTAATTGTAATTTGCCATTGTCTAACACAGTTTGAAGTGTGTCACAAACACGTCCGAATTTTTTGTAAAGAGTATAACCTAGAATCTAAAACAATCCTCATGTACTTCTTCTCTTCTGTTCAAGAAATGCTCAATCTTACTTGCAAAGAAACTATATGACTGTTATTTGCATCTCGACTAAAATATGCCAATGTTTTTCCCAGCAATTTGCGTTTATCGGCCAGATCGAAATGATCGTCATTGGTAATATTTCGAACGAATTGAACTTTTACTTTAACAATATCTTCGTCCTCTTCTTCGATGACGTTACTCTTGAAATCTTCTTCCGTCGCGATCAGATAATAATTATAACAAGCGTTCACAGCGAGCGCACGAGTTAATTGATCATCGTCTTGGTCTTGTAACATCAAATCAGTACAGATCTGTGCGGCATCTGAAAAGACAAGGTCTTGTTCGAAAATACTCGAAGTAGTTGTTTTACCTTGGTACTTCTTTTCTAATAAGAATGCATTGAGCAGAAGATTCGCAGAGAATCGATCTAGGAATATACCGTATTTAACCTGAAATAATAAAGATTTCATATTGGTATTCATTGTCAGATTTGTAATACGAACTTTATCTCCTAAAATTGGTAATAAACGTTCTTTTTGTCCAAGATCGAGATAATTTCGAACCAGTGAATATGCTAATGATGGTTGAAATTCCAATGCTTCGGGTGTATGGCGAAATCTAAACGAACAGAGACGATCAACAAAACATCGTGATCAAAGAATATTGAATGTACTTTTCTAGAATTCCTTCGGCTAGTTTGAGATCTTCTGTTGTTTCGACATGAGTTAATTTCGCAGCAAGCTAAACAAAATGGAATGCATGGCTTGTCGCGTTGATCGTCCGATACTTACAATTTCCATATCTAATGAACTGACATATTTCTTTCGAATTAATTTATCTTCCACATCGATCAAAAGTTCACCTAGGAAGGAGAAAAGCAATCGTTTTCATCGAATTCGAAATGACGATCACTTTCGACATACTGATATTAGTTTTTTTCAGAATGTCATTTGTCAACGCTTCATCCCATTTATCGAATGCTTGATAAGCATCGGTTAGATACGTTCGAGTACCTTGAGCAAGAAGTAATGAAGAGATATCGAATGTGATATGGAAATCTCACTTAAACATAGAAACGGTCTTTTAAGAGCATAATTTGACGCGCGAAATGCGTGTTGAACTAATCGGAACATCATTTATCTATTATTAAAGATCATCTGAAGAAAAGCAAAGCAAAAGTGAATAAATTTATTGTTAAATGCGAATCAATTTTTCATGTTGGTCGTGTAATTTCAAAACTTTCCACATCAATTCAAGCGATAGTTCCTCGATTTTCGATTGTGTCTTTTCATTTAATATAAGCATCTTTGTTCCTTCATCAATTGATCCCTAAAACAAACATTAGAATTCAATATGTTTACGCAGAACTCTCACGTACCATCAATTCTCGACAAAAAATTAATTTTCCGACAATGCAAGACACTTTTGTAACGGATATGTCAAACATATCGGCTAATATTATCATCGAAATATCACTAAAAGCCGTTGCACAAGTTCTCAAATAGTATTGCAACGAAACTTCTTTGATTCTATCTCTCAACATCGAATACACATCTGTATTCTGTAGTAGTAACTTCCAAACCTAAGCAAATCGAACAATCATCATGTATTCGACGGAAATGACACTTACTTGTCGATTCATCTTCTCATTCACTATCAAATCGATAGAGCATTTCCAATCACCTACTTTCAATGCATGAAAAGCCGCAACAATATGTTCACGCATCGATTCCGGTGGTCCAGTCACAGCTTGTTTTTCTGCTTGAGACATTAACTTATAAAAATGTTTACTAACTCGATGTCTTTTCGTCGATAGAGCTTCGATCAACATTGCTGATACGCAATAAACACATTCGATCAATTGTAAATTGATGTGCATATGATACGGATACAAATATATTTGATGATTATTATCTTGTCCCAAGAGTTCTCGTATATGATGTCCGCATTGGAAATCAACTAATATTTGATGTGCTTCAGATATCTGGCCACGACGGAAAGCAGCTAATCCGAGTTGAACCATCGTTCGATTGTATAAAATTTGAATGAAGATATCCAATGAATCAATTGTATCTTGTAAATGACTGATGAACATAAGATCCCGTGCTTGATGGTAGTGATCATGCAATGCAAGATGATAAATTTGACAAAGAATTGCTTGATTCGAGTAAAACTTTGCTTCATCGTGTGCATTGATAAATTTGCACGATTGCTCGATTGATAAAATTGTTGATTGTTCGGAGCGTTTGTTATACTTATAGTAAATATGTTTAATGATACGTAAGTAAATGACACAGCGATTTTCCGACTGGTTCTCATCATTCAATTCTAAATACGTTTGAAATCGATCGAGAATGGAACTAATACGATGTTCGTCCATTAAACATTCAAGATATTCTTGAGTATCAGCATTCGCATCGCGTAGAATTCGTGTATATGTATCATCCATTTGAATCATGATTGGCATAAGAATGTCAGTGTTTAATTTATTATTTTCAAATGCATGGTGTAATAGTTCATCGATTCGATCCAATGTACTGAAAAAGGAGAATGGAAAGGGATGAGAATGGTGTATAAGGTAACACTCTACCGTTTCCATGCGTCAGTCCCAGAAGATTCGTTTCGTTGACGCTGAGAATCTAACTCGAATGTAATTTCTGCCATTGAAATTTCGATAAGAATATCAGAATCTAGATTTTGTTTGATAACAAGCTCTCGAAGTTGCTCTAAGTTTTCAAATTCATCTTGATAATTCATGGTACCCTTGCCACGTTTGAAACGAATTTCATTCAATTTCTTCAGAACAAAATCATCATTGATTTCTTCAGTCTTCGGCTCATCGTTGACCTTTTGGACATCAGGTACTTCTTGGTTTTTCGATGGTTTCTTGGTAGGAACTGTTGCTTCTTCGTTAATTGCCAGACTTTTACTAAGATAGAAAGTTTACGATTGCTAAACGTATCAATTGATAATACATACACTAAGAATTGCTCGATCGATGGATTTACTGATGATTTCTTCTTGTCCTTTTTGGATCTACAGAATCTGAATCAAATACGAACGATTCGGAAGTCTATTTTACCTATTTCTTTCTTTAGCACTACCAATACCGGTCGCATATTGGTTCGCAAATCTACAAACGAATATCTCATATTTTAAAGAATCGTCTTTTTATTTTTATGATACGTACGCGTTGGACTCTTGAACATCATTTTGTGGCGCATCATCGTCACTATCTTCACTTGTGGAAGAATTTTCACCTGCAAAAAAACGATTTCGAAACATGGTTAGATTATATTCAACATTAATTTTCTCATACGTTCGTTTTTATATTCAAACCTTGTTAATTATGAAATTCACTCGCAAATAAATTGTTAATATTGCTGCTCATAATTTCGCAAATCTTCGCATCAAGTAATCACCGGTTTCGTAATTTTTTATTTATTCATAGGAGGACAATATGGACAAATCTCCTTTCACAAACTTTTACTAGTATTATCAACACAGAACGATAGGTGTCAGTGTTATTTGTCAACGAAAAATCCGTTATGTTGATGATCAGAAATCTTCAATAATGAGTAGAATCGCATATTTTTAATTTTGAAGATTCACCATATCTTCACTATGCTTTTCGCATCCATTAAAATGTAATGACATCTATGCAGCGCTTTAGTTTCATTGGCTATGAAAATTCATCGAATGAAAATAGCTGGAAGGAAAGAGAAGAAACAGACAGATGCACTTGGCTTGAGACTCTTAATGGTATCGATTGAAAAAACGTAGATGAGTACTAAATATAGCATGTTTTGTTTATATTGCATATGTAATCATTTTGTTTCCGTTTGTAATGCGTAATTGCCGTACATCTGCCGATCGTACTTTTATACTGTTAATTAATATCTACCTAACCAAATTTAGTGATGTAGTTCTAATCGTCAAGCAAGACTGTCGTTCGCGTGAGAATCGGTGCGTCATCTGTTTCAATTTTTTTTCTTTGTTATATCCGAAATGTTCATTTATTGGAAGAAAATCTTGTTGAAATCATTAGTTACGAATGTAAGGGCGAGTGTTATCTAGATTTTCATTCGTATATTGAAATCAGCGTTCTTTAAGTAGATTATCCATGTGCTCCTTTGTGTATGTGTAATCTTCAGACATTTCGGAACAGAATTGATGCATACAATCCGATTCAATTAAATAGAATGAATTCGTAAGGACGTGTAATCGAATTGTGCTCGAGAAATCTAATGCGCACAGTGCTTCTTTTCGATCACCATTGATTCCAAAAAAACATTCTGCCAAAAGCATCGAGCAATTACGATGATGAATGATCTTTTTCTTTATATTCGAAAGCTAAGATTTCTCTATAGACTACGACTCGAATAATTGATAGTATCCCATGTTGTGTATTAATCAAATATTTGCACAGTCGGAAGTAGAGAAGAACTATTTTTTCCTGAATAAGCTTTTTTATTGATAAAAAAAATCTGATCCAACAATCGTCTGTTGATAGTGGTTGAATACTAAGGTCGCGTATCTTACCTGTAACATATTTGTTAGCATAACACTTACGAGAGTAGATAAATATGTTGATAACAGACCAGAGGAGCAGTTGTTTTGTAAAAATCATCAAAATTTTAGATGGAATCTTATGTGGATCCAAAGAAATGTTCAATATGTCGTCAAAATCCAATCAAGTATACCTGTCCACGATGTTCCTTACGCACATGTTCGTTATCATGTTGTATTGAACATAAGAAAACACTGAATTGCAACGGTCAACGTGATAAAACATTGTTCAAATCGTTGAATACAATGACCGATCTGGATCTTTTGTCAGATTATCGTTTTCTCGAGGAAGTCAATCGTCAAGTTGAAACAAGCAAACGTGATGAACTGGCTAATCGAATGAAATCATTAAACGAATCAACACGTTTTCAGAAATTAATTCAAAGCAAATTAAAATCATTGTGGTCTATTCAGATTCTTTATCTGCCTCGATTCTCTACTCGACATAAACAAAATCAAATGTGGTTCGATAGAAAAACCGATGACATTTTTTGGCACGTCGAATGTCGCGTCTTTCTGGACACGTTTCATACATGGACGATCACTCGTATGCCAACCAAAGACACAACATTGGCGAATCTGTTAGGAAAATTTCGTGAGGCAAATCAATCCGTATCTCCAAAAGTCAACAACTTCTCATCAGAAGAACAAGTTTGTGTTTATATCGAGAATTTCGGTCAGAAACGAACACAATTTGGTAAATACGAAAAGCGTTCGTTCAATACAGTTATTGATCTCTTTCGTGAAAGAGTCTTCATTGAATTTCCAATACTATACATATCGCTGTTAGCAGATGAAAATTCTATGCTCGAATCTTTGTTAAATAAGAAGACTTAATTCTGTGTTATTTGTTTCAGATCATGCGTATTTATGATGAATTCAAATCATCATTCATCAGTATTTGCTTCTTAGCCTATATCTTCTTCGTTAGTGGATTAATTATCAATTTTTTACAGTTATGTTCTTGCATTATATGGCCGTTTAACAAAGAATTATATAGAAAGATTAATTGCTATTTGGCATTAGGTATTTGGAGTCGTAAGTAGTACTGTCAATAGAGAAGGATGTGTTTGTTGAGATTTTCTCGTAGAATTTACATTTCTGGCACAATGGTGGTCGAAGAGTGATTGTGTACTCTATATCGACCCGGTGGATATGGAACGAGTTCGTAAGGAACATGCTATTGTCATGTAAGTCTAATAGTTGTCTAGATCAACAGGAAAAGACTGGATAGTTTAGAATGAATCATAAATACGACATTGATTGGCTTGCTGGTTGGATAATATGCCAACGTTTAGGAATCATGCATGGTTCGAAAATAGTCGGTAAACAATCTCTTCGCTTAGTACCAATTGTCGGATGGTGTTGGATATTTACGGAGTCGATCTTCTTACGTCGAGTGTGGGAGAGTGATCGAGAAACACTAGTCAAAGATTTACGGAAAGTTTTAGCAAATTATCCGCAGAATTATTTTTTTAATGTAGGATTTCTCGAACTGAATGCTTCATTATCTACTCTCTTGTTCATAGTTTTTACTCTTTTGTGAAGGAACACGATTTACAGAGAAGAAACGCTTAGCAAGTATGAAAATCGCTCAAGAAAAGGGCTTACCAGAATTGAAGCATCATATCTTACCACGTACGAAAGGTTTCACACTTTTACTGCAAGGTGCAGAAAACCGAAGTACGTTATTCTTTTCGAATATCAATTTATTGTGTTCATCGACGTATTATTTAGTTACGGGCATATATGATTTAAATGTTGGCTTCAAGAAGTCCGGTGCTGAGCCAACATTTCTTAGTATAATAAAAGGTCATGCATGCCAAGCGGAGATTTATGTTCGACGCACACCGATAGCTGACATTCCTACAGATACCGATGGATGCAGTGATTGGGTGCATAAATTATACCAGGAAAAAGATCAGATTTATGATTATTTCCTTCGTCATGATACATTCGAAGGAAATGGCTTAGTTCGTGTTGAAATTCCTCGAAATTATAAAGATCTACTGATTGAATTGACCTGGATGATCATTATCGGTATACCTTCCGTTATTTACCTATGCAAATTCCTCTGGACAAGCACATTTCTTGCCCAGTTCATCTTCGTCATCCTCGTCATACTCGGTAAGTGCCGTTTCGACTCTGTTTGCTATTATGATCTCTCTTCCGGTTCTTAGCAACTATCGGTGTTCGAGCAATGATTGCGGTGACGGAAACTGAACGTGGTTCACATTATGGTGAAAATCAAAAAGACAAATGAGACATGATATTAATGATACAGTATTAGAAATTTCATTTTTGGGAATGACATTGAAAGTTTTGATTAGAAATATTTTTATCCAAGCTTATACGTATATTTGCTTTCCTTTTTTTAATCCATGAGAATGAGTTTGGATTAGTATCCGTCCGTTGCATAAATTTTGTCTTTCTACAATAAAATAATTACCATTCGACAAGAACTAATTTGACCGTTTTACTTTCTCTCGTAGAAATAAATCTGTGGCAAGCATAAATGAAGTTCGATCGAAGCCTTCTCCGAACCATCCAATCATTATTACCCGTGCAAATTTTTATCGGCTATGTATTTGTGATATCTGGCTTAATTGTAAATGCTGCTCAACTGCTTTCAGCTATTTTGATTTGGCCGTTTAGTAAGCAACTTTATCGTCGTGTGAACTATTATCTCGGAACATTACTGTGGAGTCGTAAGTTACAAACGATAGTTTCTATCGCACGAAAAGAATCATCTTTTGTCTTCTAGAATTGACTTTTCTATATTCATGGTGGGCCGATTCCAATGTGACTTTCTATGTTGATCCAAAGGATATTAAAGAATTGCCCAAAGAATATGCGATTATCCTTGTTAATCATCGCTTTGAAATCGATTGGTTAATCGGAATGGTTGCTGCACAAAAGCTAGGTATACTTGGAGTAAGTGTCAGATTGAATTGAAAGGATATGATGTGTTGAGTTTGACGAATTAGGGATTGAAAATAGTTGGAAAACGTTCGTTGAGTTTAATACCACTTCTTGGTTGGTCATGGTTTTTTACGGAATCGATCTTCTTACGGCGTGTTTGGGAAACTGATAAGAAAGTGTTAGAAAATGATATCCATCAACTTTTACATGGTTATCCTGATAATTATTATTTTAGCGTATGTGATTTATTATTTCGATTGGAACGTCTTTTATCCGAAGATTCCTTTTGTTGTAGTTTTTGATGGCTTGTGAAGGTACTCGATATACGGAAAGAAAACGTGAGGAGAGCATGAAATATGCACGTGAGAAGAACCTACCTGAACTAAAATATCACATCTTACCACGTACACGAGGCTTCACTATGATCATGCAAGGTGCAAAAGGGAAAAGTAAACTGACAAATGTGATTCTAAAGATAGGAATTGACTGGAATATTTTCTAGTACCTGCCGTTTACGATTTTATGCTTGCGTTTTCGAAAGACAGTGCTTCACCAACATTTCGCACCTTGCTCAAGGGAGAGTCGTGTAAAGCTCAGCTTTACATCAAGTAAGCTGTCATTGTTCTAAAGTTTGTCAATAAGAAATACTTTGTAGACGATACCCGATCGCAGGAATCCCATATGAAGATGAATCGAAATGCGCCGATTGGTTGCATCATCTTTTCCAAGAAAAAGTATTTCGAAAATTTACTTGTCAAACAATTCCATCTTGAAATTTCTAGGATCGTGTTTATGAACATTTTGTTCAATATGATAACTTCGTTGGCCTCGGTGTTCCGCAAATACCTGTTGTTCGGAATTATTCTGATCTACTGATTCAATTATTTTGGCTTCTAATCATCGGTTTTCCATCTTTAATCTGGTTTGTTCAGTTTATTTTCCATAGTACGTTCCTCGCGAAAATCATCTTCTCAATCATTATTTTTCTTGCTTATGTGACTCTACAATTAATGATAAACATGTCCGTCATTAAAAGTGATACAAAAACAAGCAAAACGAAATAGTTATGAATCGATACTCAATTGAAATTCTACTAACCGTCCTTCACTTTTTCTCTCTACCCACATCTATTTGTTAACAATGAAACAAGACGTTTCGTTTTCTTTTTGTGAATAGTATAACTATTTTTAGTTTTTAGTTTCGAACAAATTTTAACAATAATACCGACTTCATTTTTAGATCAAGTTTTGTTTCTTTGTCTTCACAATGTTCTCGCCCGACGAAGATTTCGTCCAAGCGGGTGATACGCCAGGTCCTTTCTATCTAATCATGATGTTCATTCTGACTCCACTTGTCGTCAGTCGACGTGTTAAACGAAGTGCAGCTTTTGTCAAACAAAAACTCGGCACTGGTGTTAAACGAACCATGTCGAAATCCATACGTAGTATATCATCGACGGCACGACGTGTGGCACGAATGAGAAACTTCGTTAAAAGACCTCGAAATCTTATTCGAAAACCCAAAACACCTTCGAAAATTTCGATTTATAAAATGTTACCATTGAAATTAATCTCGCGCATCATGGGCTGGGTGGCTCGGCTTTATCTACCTGTCTGGTTACGACCATTTATCTTTCGTTTTTATATTACAGTTTTTCATTGCCATGCTCATGAAATGTACAACGAAGATCTTAAATCTTATCGAACAATATCTGAATTTTTTCGTCGCAAAATTAAAATGGAGCTACGTCCGATCGACAAAGAATCTCCAATCGTCTCGCCTTGTGATGGCCGTGTTTTAACATGTGGCAAAGTGTCTCGTGGTTTGATTGAACAAGTCAAAGGCATCACTTACACAGCATCTTCATTTCTTGGTGTACCATTAACGGCTGGTCTCTTAAAGTTACAACAACAGCAAAATCGAATGAAACAGAATGCTTCGGGTGATCATGATGATGCACATTCATACGCTGAAAGTTTACTCAAATATCGTGGTCATGCACTCTACTATGCTGTAAGAATTTTCCATCAAAGCAACATATTCGAAAATAGATTATTTACCCTTTATATAGGTCATCTACCTTGCTCCGGGAGATTATCATCGATTTCATTCCCCAACCGAATGGTAAGATGAACTTTGTTGTCATTTGAACTCGTTTACAATCCGTATCGAATTCACTAAACGATTACTTTGCTTTGGTAGTTCTTGTAGTCAGTACTGTCGGTGATCGTCGGAATATTGTCGAAATCATTTTTATGAAAAAATATTTCGCCAAAGGCCTACCTTCAGTATAGTCCTTTTTTGTACACGTCGTTTTTCTTAAGTTGTAGTCATCGTCTCTGACATCGCTATTGCCGTCGAAATCTTCTTCAAGAACAAGTGAATCGAATTATGTTTGCGCTCATGTTTCTCAGTACTTTGTCTATTGTTGTTATGAGAATCTATCGATTATGTACTGATTGGCAGAAGAAGTCTGCATTACGAACAGTACAAGAAACGCTCATATTGAATTTAGCTACAACAGTTGACTATGCTTCACCTATTGAATTCAACAGTTTTCAGACAGAATGTTCGAACCGTTCTTTGTAGGCAAATAAGTTGGCGTCGGCATTATATTGGACATCTATTCTCTGTGAATCCCAAGGTTGCCAGTTGGCTTCAAAATCTCTTTTGTTTAAACGAACGAGCAGCTTATTATGGATCATGGAAATATGGATTTTTCTCCATGACGCCCGTCGGAGCCACTATTGTTGGAAGTATCAATGTTCATTTTGATCCTGTAAGCGTCAAGATGCAATTTCGTTCGAAACTAGCTACATTATGTTTGAGTTATTTAGGAATTGAAGACGAACAATCGCCTTCGACCCAGATTAGAAAAAACATTTCAAACAACTCGAAATACGAATGGAATCTTGCTCAAACGTGGCGATAATTTTGGTGATTTCAATTTTGGTTCGACTATTGTTCTTGTCTTCGAAGCACCTGATAATCTCGCATTTAATGTTAAATCTGGTGATGCGATTCGACTCGGTCAATCTCTATGCTATTTCGATACACAAAAGAACATCGATATTAAACCTAGGAAACAAGACAATGAATCAACCAGTCTCGATAGTGATGATAGTGAAAGTTCACACGAAGATAATGACGATGATGCTACTGTTAATATCAATCAAGATATGGAAAATGATGATCAAAGCTTACTTATCGACACTGTCGCTCTGGATGCAGCTATTGCGGACGCCGATGCTATTGCTGATCAAGAAGTTATATCGAATAATAATAGCAATGAACAAATGTCATCTTCTTCTTCCTTCTCCTAAAATGACAAATTTTTACTCAGATTATTTTTTGAGAAAAAATATGCCTAGATATTGTGCCAGACTTTCTCTCGATTATATGTGTTTATGATATTGCTCGGCTGAGGTCATTGTTTTAATGATATAAAAAATAAACGATTTCATTTGATAAATAAACCGCGATATCAGATAAGGTTCTTTCGAAGAGAACTTGTATTTTGATATCCGTTTCAAACGATGCAAGAAAGAAGTTATTGGTGTATTTTGTTCCTTGATATTTCCCCTACATTCTTCCATCAATGTTGAACTCTCGGAATCGAAAATTGAAAGAATGCACAAGTTTCTACGCGTTCGGTTGGATAGTAATATTGATGCTGTTATAGTGAGCAGTGTCGCACTACGATACTGCCAATACAAGCGCTAATATCTACGAGAGTGTTCACTATGTAAATAATCTAGTCATAAAAAGACCACCATAAGCATCTTAAAGAAAAACAATTATTACATCATTTAATAAATATCATCATATTTCAATACTGTAGACAAACGCTACCTGCACAACGATGTCTAAATCCGCCGCTACTGTGCAGAAAAAGACTTGAGTCGAGTAGAAATACTACAGACGACGGTATATTCTTTCTGTAAAATGAATTCTCTTTGAACATCGATATTGATGATGAAAGAGCAATCGATATAGACACTCTAATTTTGTCAATCATCAACTAATTGATCATCTGAAACAATTGTCGAAAAACAAAAACAATAACATTCAATCAACTCTTTTTTTTGCGTTCTTCCGATTCAATATCGAAATCATTGCTTTACCTTTCTTCTCTTTCGTTTGATTGACGAATCATTCGTCATTCGAATTTCTCATCGCCAATTACAAACATCCAAGAAACACAATATTTCGTTTTTCCTCTCTCTCTCTCTCCCCCTCCCTCTTTTGCTCGTTAATGACTTCACGCTTTCTGTCATTACCTATCATTTCCAACAATTGGTATCTCGATGGATAAGAAGAGCAATAGATCTAATCAACAGCGACAAATTCGAAAAACATCTCCCCAGGTTTGACTTAATGATTTACATAATGTCTGACAAGATTAATTCGAAATATTACGCAGACGAGTCTGATCGTGTCTACTTAGACGTTATTTCTACTGACATTATTTAATGGATTAAGTTCATTGCTGAGTAAGAGCAATTAAGGCATCCATTACGAATCTTATGTCATTCATTATCGAGCGTGCGAAACACGCGTGTTGATGACATCATACACTATGTCGTCTGACTACCTGAATTCGAAAGTATCTGTTCATTTGTCTTGTTTAGAGCGTGACGATGCGGAAGCATTTGATAGCAAAACGACGTTATTCTCAGCAATCAACAAAAATTCTCTGTGCACATCATGACTCCTCGTTTCTTCTGTTTCAACATGCTAATACGACAACACGTTTAAAACATCGAACGACGGCATCGTTTCGGCCACTAGCAACTTCCACTCCCTACGAAGTTCCACCAACACATTCATTGAATAACGATTCTCCACGTTCGTTTCTCATTGTGCCTTTATCGATCGAATATTCTTTTTTGTATTTAGATGCCACTTTGCGACAAAGACAACAGCCTCTATTAACACCTCCAGCCTTTTGCAGTACTCCGAAACAGACTCGTCGTCGATCGTCCACAATCAAACGTAAATTACCCATTGTTATATCACAGCGACGCTTGCAGTTTACTACACATTCGCAATCAACGGATGAAAGTAAACGCTTGATAATAAACAATGTCAAGATTTGGCTTTTGTAAATTGAAAGAATAAAAGTTTCCATCATCACAAATTATATCAGTTACTGTCTCTTTTTCATCCAGATTCAAAATAGCGAACATAATCACCGCACAGTTGGATATCTGTTGAAATCAAGCAGAAGATAGAAGAGATGAGATGTATTGGCGTCGGAGTTGATTGATTTTGGCAAAGAGATGACGACGATGTTTGAAGTGGACATAACTATCTAGTAGGGATAAGTGTGTTGGGATCATGCCGGTTGAAATAGTGCGGAAATAATCGAGCTATTATTCGTGTTTTTGTCAATGATGAACTCTTTATCATCAAGTACTGTTTATTGAAATCGAAATTGATTTTTCGACTGTCATAGTTACAAGAAAATAAAAAGAAATTAAATACGAAGCGGTCTAAGACGAAATTTCTATCTTCCAATTTTTCCCCCCTTGGAAGGAGTGAGTGAACTGTACCAATCAAACAACAAGCTCTCTCCCGAAATTCATCACTTCTTTCTCGTACACCGTACACTATTTATGTTAATCACCTTTGTTCTTTTTTCGATAACCACTACTCGATTGTCTTCTTTTCCATGAAACTTCTCTACGAAACAGATATGGATATTCTACCATGGACGTTCATGTCTCGACATGTTCATCAAGCTTGTGCAGATGGTCGTACTAATGACATCGAACAAATGATTCGTGAAGGTGCTGATTTGAATGATGCTGACGAAGTGGGCAATACACCGTTATGGCTAGCTTATATAAGTGGACATTTGGATACTGTCTTTGCGCTCTTGGAATTCAATGTGGATATCAATCGACGAACAGGATCAATCTTAGCGTCAGACTTCCATCGAGCATGCGGATGGGCCGATGAGGTTTTCATCGATATCCTATGCAATTACAATGCAAATCTAAATCTTACCGATCGTATAGACGACATTCTTTCCATTCGAATCGATTCTCTTTTTAATCAATAGGATATGGTAAAACACCGTTGATCTATGCGATTGAGTACCGTGCATCATTATTTGATTCGAACGAAGAAGATCTCATTCGTCTATTGATTACTAAAGGTGCGAATATTAATCATGTCGATATGTCCGGATTGACTCCGATATTCTACGCTATATATCGTGGTATACCTGCCATCGTCAAGCTTTTGTTAACTTACGGAGCAGATTATACATTTGAAAATCTTCTGGGTTATTCACCCTTTCGCTATGCACTGGGTTGTTTGTCATATACTAGCCCGCATGAGAGCGAAATTTACCGAGGGCGTTTAGATGTCGTCGAAATTCTTCTCAAACAATTTTCGACGAATGAAAATGATTTGAGACAGACAATTATCGGGCGTACACCGAACATTCCCTATTTGTTTCCCTTATTTGATTTTATTTTCTATTGTCGCATGAAGGCACTTGATAGTTTAGAGAAAATTGGTTGGAAAATTTATGAAGAAACCAATTGGCCTTGTCCAATTCTTTACGGAAACCTGTTGATCAGTCAAAATTTGATCGTTTTCAATCACAATCTTGAACATATTATATATTTTCTTCAACGAATGTATATAGAAAACTATCGAGAGTTAATTCTATTCTATTTACAACGAATTATCAAAGACAAAGAGTCCACGAATCGATTCGGATTGTTACTCTACTGCGCATTAGTCGAAATGGGTGGTACTCGGTATGCGAGAGAGAGAGAAATCTCTCTAGATATTACCTTTTCGTTCTCGCTTTAGTTCGTATGTTGATATGTTAAAATATTTGCTTGAAAATCAACGAATTTATCTGTTTAAACAACGTCGAGAAATGATCAAAACTATTTTGATCCTATGTCAACAAGCACCATTACGTCTTTCGGCATTGTGTCGACGTAAAATTCGTCAAGGTGTTCAGTCGTCGATCGATCGACGAATCTCTCCGAATGAAATTTTACCAAAAAATCTTCAATGTTATTTAATTCTCGATGAATTAACTTTATTTTCATCGTCACCATCGAATAAACGATTACTTTCATTAATTGAACAATCTATTTCCATATCGAATCAAACGTCGTAATCATTTGCAGCACTTCATGCATTCTGTTCGTAGTCAAATCAATTCTCGAGTTTCTTTTCGAAATAAATTTTTTTATTAAGAATAAAAAAAGCATATTTTCAATAGAAATATTTACATCATTCATGCATAACAGTAAATATATTCGATGATTGCGGTGGATTAGTAACCTATTAGAACAAAAAAAACAAGACGCCGAAATGAAATCTGTATCAATAGTGAAAGGTGAAATTTCAATATGGAATAATAAAACGTTCCACTAGATGCTCAATCACCTATATGTATGTTTTTAGAATAGTAAGTTAAAGCAACCTAGTGTATAATTGTCATAGAACGTGCAACAACAGTTAGAAAAGTATAAAAGCAAACCCAACCTACTGATTTATCTCTAAAAGACATGTATATGTATGTTTCATGCTATCTAAACGATATCGTAATCGATCTAAGACTTACGATTGTATCGAGAATATGATCCGTTTGTTCAACATCTTGAAATGATTGTCGCCAAGCTTCGCGTTCCTACGCGATTCAAAAAATTTCCTCAATTTACCTAAAATCAAATATATGAAAAACATACTTCTTCATCCATGCGTTCGTATTCTTGAAGTTCTGCGTAATATTTCGGTTTGGTAATGCCAAAAAACCAAGCGAGCTTCTCACCAGCCGCATCACATGCTTCATAACCTTTCTTAGCTGATAGTTTTGTATAGTACCATACCCACGGAATCCATTGTAATTGTGTCTAAGCAACATTCAACATCATTCGTTTAGAGAGATATACTGAAACAGAAGCTCACTGGATCAATTTGTTCTTCAACTGCTGGCATTGCTTGTGGTTCATTTAATTCATCATCTTGATCGTTCTGATCAGGACCATCTAATTGAGACAGAGGTACATCGATTCTATTCGATTGATGATTATCATTCATCTAAAAATAATTCCATCTATCAAATCTTCCACATCTCTCCGTTTTTCTATCCTTTTATTATTTACAAAAGAAAAAACAACGCGACGAACGATGATAATCTTTCGGGTTTTTTCTATTGATCTCGTTGTTCAAGTTCGACAACAACTGCACTAGCAGCCATGTCATAACTTGTCTGTCGATTTTGTGATGTTAAAAGAGCAACGACCACTGCCGGAAATAAAAATGTTGACATGAGCGTTTTGAATGATGAACGTGTTAATGCTCTGAAATACAATTCGATTTCAATCATCTATTTCAATTGAAAATCTTACGCTCCACTGTTCAAGATAGTGCCAGGTTCGATTGTTACATCTCCATTTTCTTGTATTTGTAAATGATCACATTTGAGAACACGCAGTCGAAGTAAACGTTTGCCCGGTGTAGCACCATAACGTGTAAGACAAAAGCTCTGCAACGAAAGTTACCAATTGAATCGAATACAAACAAGTGATCGTTTACCTCAAAAGCAATGCATGCAATTAAATATCCAAATTCAACAAGAATAAGTTCGAGTGGAAATGATAGTGTATCTTCGTATAGTAGACTCGACAGCATATAGTTCACTGTAAGCCGGGTTTCGTCGATCAGATGTAAATGAGTGGAAAGAAGATAGATGAGAAAAATTCTTTTCAAAGAGAAAATGTCGAAATAAGAAAGAAAGAAAGAAAGAAGTCAAAGCGGATTACTTTAATGCATGTAAAAGAACAAAATCAATTGCTTCAGCTAGAAAACGACGCCAAACTGATGCCACTTTCAAACGTGCTAAAAGCAATGAACACTGTTTCCATTCGCAGAGCTATTCAGTTGAACTTACCATTGCGAATTTCCGTTAAAGGATCAAAAGGTTGAAAACGACTCGCATTGACAGTCATGGTAATCATTGGTGCTTGTTGAGCAAATGCATTGAACATCATCATACTTAACATGTGAAAATCAAACCTATCGAGCAGATGAAGAATTCGATGTCATCTTACTTGTGATATGTTACACAACTGTTATTCCATGCATAGTATGCTTCTTGCCATTTGGCAATCAATTGTGAGTATTCATCAACTGTCATTTGACGTGGTTTTGTCTCCACAGAGGATGCTGAAGTATCACTACTCATATCGTATTATTGCACGAACTGTTTCAGAAAGGATTTTTTGAAAAAGACGTAAAAGTGCGTGGTACATATCAATCTACGGCCTTTACTACCAGTGGATTCTTTTCCGTACAATCGCATATTAGTGAAATTGACTGTAAGATGGACATCAACGACATCTATAGAATTTCTTCAAACTAGTCATTTTTATTTACAAGTTTCAATTGTAATTTTCTAATTTCAATCTTCAACTGTTCATTTTCTTGTTGACATTGTTGTAGAACTCGTTTAGTTTGAACGAAATCTTTAAAATTACTATTCAGTTGTCGTTCACGATTAAATTCTTGTTCTTGAAGAACTTTATCTTGTAGTTGAATTTGTAGATATTTGATATTTTCTTTCAAAACTTCATTCTCATCATTTAACTGTTGATTTTTGTCGAATTGTTCGTCAAGTTTCTGTTTTAGTGAGGCAATTTCCTGTTCAGATATTTGCACTTGTTGTTCATGATGTTGACATTCAACTTGGATCTCAAACAACTTTTGTTTATCTTCTTGGAAGATACGTCGAAGTTCTCGCACTTGACTTTCCAGATCCAATCGAATAATTTCGGATTGATTGAATGATTGTGTTAACCGTTCGTTAGTCTGATCGAGATTGTTCACACGGATAGTTAAAGCTTCATTTGTTAATCGTTCGTCAGCAAGTGAAGTTGTGAGTTTGTGAATTTCGGCTTGCTTCTCTTGATTTCGTCGTTGAGTAATAATCAACTGTTGCTGGGTCGATTTGAGATCTTTTTCAAACTGAGTATTTTGAGCATCGACACGATCAAGTTCACGTCGAAATTCTTCACGATTGATATTGTGTTGTTTTTTTAAATTCGTCAATTCCTCGTTCAAGAGATTATACTGAGATTCAGAATCATCTTTCTCAGTGTTTGTCTCTTGATCGACAAGTTCGATATTAACGAATGGTTTCTAGGAAAAAGACAAACAACAATATATAATTAGACAAACGAGTCAAATACTTCTAGTATCTCTTGAGTGAGATTCTCATTGAATTCAATAATATTTTCTTCTTGCTGTTCAGAAATCGGTTCAGTTTCAGTTGATGTCTCTTCAGTATCAACTTTATTAGCTTGTACTGGCACTGTTGGCGGCGGCGGCGGTGGTAGCAAACGTTCATCTTGATATCGTTTCAATCGATCGATATGCAGTCTCAATTGGCGATTTTCGTCGATAACATGTCGTAAATACTTCAATGTTTGCACATGCCGAGATTGAACAAATTTCTCGATTGTATCAGTGACCTCTTGTTTGACACTTTGTTCGTTGTCATCGTCATCATCATCATCATCACCATCGTCGTCGTCGATAGTTACTCTCTCGTGTCGATGCATGCTGTTAATAAAAATTATGAGTATGACATTACTATACGCTTTCTATCGCAAGATGTAAGAATGAGAGAAGTTTATTCTTGTCTAGAAAAAGAAAATGTGTGAGAACATGAGAGTTAACATTGCCGAGAAATATCGAGATGATTATTTGTATTCGAATACGAAGTTCTCGCTGAATTTTTTTTTCAAATGAATAATTGAAATGTTGTCAATTATTAACAGCAAAAATATTTTCATTCGTAATTAATTGATGAACAATCGAAACTTTCAAATAACAACCTATGCTCGACTTGCTGCAACGGAGGACGAATCGCGTCATTTATTGACTCTGTTATTACGAAATCGAATAGGAATTCTAACACTCCTCGTATTGAATTACATCTTAATCTAAATCACGTTTCGAATATCTCGCTCATTTTTAATAAAACTTAATCTGAAATAAGAAATATCCATAAGTGAGACGAATGACTAAGGTTCTTCGAGTTCATGAGAAACTGCCGTGATCCGTTTTCTTTTGTTGTTCATTGATTGAGGGTGAGGACAAGAAATAAACACTTGGCATTAAAATAACTTATCCATTTGATTGTTCACAATGGCTTTCTAAAGAATGATCGAATCTGAATCAACAGTTGTTTTATTCTTTTGTTGAAAGATGGTTCTATTGAATATTCGTCGAGCATTTGTTTTCTTTTTCCTCAAGAGCTTTCTTTCGAATTGCCTGATTTCATTTTGAAAACGAAGTAAGAATAAAATTGACATTCTTCAATGGATGATTTTGTTTCTGTGTCATTGACAACGGCGTAGAGACACACTCTCTCAGTTCACTTTGTTTACATAGTTCAAGTCTATTTAAGAAGAGAAAGAAAACTTAAGAACTATTGTTATGGCATTTTCCGTGCGGCAGAAAAATCAATCTTTCTTTCTTCCTTTGTTTGATTATGAAGTGAGAGAGAGAGAGGGAGAACGAGAAAAGTACTCGAATGTGACAATCTTTTCTCAGAGGTAGTCAAAGTTTTTTTTTCAAAGTCTTCTCATTACCTGCCCGCTACAGTTGAAGTACTGTGTCTGTTTGTGCATACATAGGACATACAGAGAAGGGGAGAGAAAAAGAGAAGGAGTTCGTATAATTAGAAGAAGAAGAAGAAAGAGAGAAAGAGAGTGATGAAATATATTTCATTTTAACATACACACATATATAAAAGCTCAGTCATTCGTTTGGAAGGTATGCGAAAGACAGTTGGACATAGATGTATATATATTCATATAGGTAATTATTATCGGACTTCGTTGTCGTCTCTAATTGAGATGAGACAATAGCATTGATGAATATATATGTCTATCTCAACATGTATATAGCGTTAGTTATTGTAATCGTTCCCTCTGTATTATCTATCCTTTTTTTTTCTTTTTCTACACCTTGAGCAAAATATGGATGTCATAAATACCACGAGCTCGCGAAAGAATTATGTACGAACGAGAAATCTATGCATAGATATATAGACATATGTCGATATTTTCTTTTCTCTCTCTCTCTCTAGCCGATGCACAGTAGCAAAGGAAGAAGAAGAAGGATGAAGACGAGTTCTCGTGTATTTTTTTTCTTTATTATGCGTAAGACGAAGAAGAGTTTTGCATTTAGACCTTGTATAGCCGTTGTTATTGTCGTCGCTACGACGATGTGTATGAGTATGTATGTATGTATATATATTTTTTTTTTCATTTCAATTGTTGCTCTTGTCTGTGCCCTGATGGTGTGTACAGGTATGCTATTCTCTGTTGTTGTCGTTCTCTTTCTTTCTTTTTTTCGATTCGATTGACGCTCGCAATGGTGAATACTTTACGGTCTCCTTCTCTCCTTCCTTTTTACTCTGTTACAATCTACTTTACTCATACATTCTGTTTCGATGTGTGCCATATGCATTTCTGTTTCGAAGGAATGATTTGTCATATCATTCAGCTATGATTGCTGGTAAGTAAAATTCTTTCCTAAATAAATATCGGTTATTATTCATTAATATGAAGATAGAACGAGAAAGACAAGCAAAACAAAATGTTCTGACATCAAGTTAGAAAAAGGGCATTTCTACCACACGAGTGAATCGTAATCATTATCGATGATGTAATTAGCCTTTTATATTCTTCTTCGGAATCGAGATGTGTTCGTTTTGATTTCATTTTGTCCTCTTTCTTCTCCTTCTTTACCAATCAAAGGGCAGAGAACCAAGGCGACTAGGTCGGTGTCACTGCAATTTGTTGATAAACTATAATCATATTGCACTACATTCGATCTCGTAGTCATTGTGTTATACGACGTCCAAAATCACATGTACAAAAATCACATTATTATTTATCTGTTTACGTACAAATGAACAAAAAAGAGCGACAGACAGAGAGAGAGAAAAATCGAACAGCTGATAGGAAGACAAACATCGTATATTAGACAAGTTCTTTTCACATGACTAGTCATCAAGAAACAAGAAAAATAAAGTTGATCATAAAAAATAATCAATAAATGGACAATTCTTTAACTACAATCACCAAATGTTGAATTCCATGTTACATACTTTTCCAACGTGGTGGGAGAAACACTGGCTCGAATTTTTCGTAGTGCTTGAGCAAAATCTGCGTATGATAGTGGACGAATTCGACTGATAGATAACTGTTTGAGTTCTTCAACACGTAATTCACGTACCGGACCCATAGCTGCATCTTTTGCCAGAGCGGTTAGGTCACTACCTGAGTATCCATCTGTCTCACTGGAAAGACAAGATTCAAATACATTCTCTATTCATAAAACCAATAAAATTGTTCGATTTACTTAGCAATAAGTTCGAAATCTTTTCCTGTTAGATTATGTTCTTGTTTCAGAAGTAAATGCTTTAAAAGTTGTATTCGTGTACTTCGATCGGGTAGTTGAATATAAATCCGTCGAGGGAAACGTCTAGATAAGATATACATAAATGGCATATATCTCGAGAAGATATTGTTATCTAACCTTAGTGCTGCATCATCTAATTCAAATGGACGGTTGGTTGCAGCGAGAACGAGAATACGATCATCATTATTTGTTTGCACCTAAATCCAAGCATTAGTATTTGTTTATTTCTAAATATGTCAGCCCCTTACGCCGTCAAATTGAACGAGAAATTCCGTTTTCAGTCGGCGCATTGCATCATGCTCAGATTCTTTACGTGCAGTTAGCAGTGAATCGACTTCATCTAGAATTATCAATTGATGAAATCGAAAGAAACACTGTTTGAACAAACCGATAAATATAATCGACGGTTGTAATTCACGTGCGGCAGCAAACAAAGCGCGAACTAATTTTTCACCTTCACCAACCTATTGAAAAGTCCGTGAAAGAAAGCATTCCGATTGATCGTGGAAAAAAAACGTCTCTATTCATACATATTTCGACGTTAAACTCGATGCACTAATGTTGAAAAAACGAGCTTTGGCTTCCGATGCCACTGCTTTCGCCTATGGACAACAGATAAACTCAAGAGTTGACTCGATATTCGTAATTACCAGCATGGTTTTTCCATTTCCAGGTGGTCCAAATAACAGAATACCACGCACTGGTGCACGTAAACCAGTGAACATCTATTAAAATAAAAAGCTAGACTTGGTTTTTCTCGTTGAGTATTTTCTATATCGAATGATTTACTTCCGGTCGGAGTACAGGTAAAATAACCGCTTCTTCCAGTGCTCGTTTTGCACCTTCTTGACCACCTTGAAATACAAATCTTTAATTAACCTGGTAATATATTAGATAACACTTCGCGATATTGAAGTCCTCATCTGATCGAACTGATCGTTTCGGAAGAGCAATTATAACAGAAACATTCACATGCTTGAAAGACTTTCTTTCTTTATCTTTCTCACAGATCTAATATATAACTAATAGTTCTAATTTATCATTTTCCGATGGCATGTTGTGAGATCTGATATCATCGAAGCTATCTTTTATCTCTCTCTCTCTCTTTTCTGTGCTTATAGAATAGAATAGGAAAAACTTTTTTGTCATCTTACCAATATCATCGAACTTAACGTGTGGTCGATTTTCGATCACCTCGTCGAGAATATATGAAACAAGTTTAGGTTCTACATTCGGCAATTTCAATGTCGGTCGTTGATTAGAATTTTGTGTTGAGACTTTTCTCTGATTGATTACGGCTGACGCCTCTTTTTTTGCAGTCTAAAAGTAATCTTAATGAGTTTGTTAGATAAAGACGGCGATGAAGTAATCAAACATTGGTTAATCGTGTAGGTGCTTGTTTTAATTTAGGAGTTAAACGTGTTGTTGTCGTCAAAGGAGAAGCAGGTGATAAAACACGCGAGCGAGTATTAGCTGAAGCAGACTGGAAATATATGCAGTATTTACTAAGCATTTCGCAGCATTCTTGATTTTTCAAGGCGAAATTCTATTTGTTACTTACCGAGGACGCTGAGGTGACACGACGTGGAGGCGTTGGTCGATGAATCTTCGACGAAGGCGGTTGCTCTTTGCGATTCAATTTATCTTCAGAAAGTAGAGTTTTCATTGTAGGATAATACGGATCAATAAACATACTTAATACATCGATTCGTTCTCGAGCCATGGTCAAGTTTCGTCGCATTTTACCATGTAACTCTACAGTACGAGTGTCTATCAAAGAAACCAATCAGATCGAATATGAAATATTCATAATAATCACCCGTGGAATCAACAGGTAAACTCAAAGCCTTTTCTAACTCTTGAATACCCTGTTTGTACAACGAAATAGCCAATTCATGATTGTCTACATAATCAAATTGGTTGAATGTGTTTTGCAATCAAAGAAATCTTCCTACTTGATTGTTCATCACATTCTAAAGCTTGTCGTAGATATTCCGCTGCTTTTTGATGATGATCATTTTGAATTTTATATGGTTCACCTTCCATGCTAAAAAACTGACCAACCCAACTAGTCAAACTCGAAAACATGCAAGGATTGTTTAATTTTCAATGTTATCCGAAGAAAAATATGACTTCATTCATCTAAGAATGTCTTGCAAAAGTTCTCAGCAAAAGAATTCTTCCTTCCTTTGCAACACAAACGTGATCATATGTACAATGACTCATCGTTTCGTTTTCGAATCAAATCATCCAACATAGCTATGCACTTTGACATTCGCTTGCAAGAAGATGACAGATATCTACTTTCGAATTCGAATGTACTGAGCAATAGAATCAATGGAAATTGTATCGCATTATTTCATAATATACGACAACGCGACGAGTAGCATCAGACATTAGAATGATCGATTTATTTTAAATGTTCACGGATAGGATGTTACTACATATCACAAAGCAACTTTTAGCAAATTGATAAAACGGCGGCATTGACAACATTGAGAGTATGATGTGCATTTAGATGTCGGTCATGGCGAATACTGAAAAGACAAAACGAAGATATTTATAACGCATGAAATGTTATTAACTTACAATTGCTAAAATTTCGTAGTTTTCAAAAGCGATTCGAAATACATCGGATGGTCGAGATTCGATTATACAATCATCCGAAATCGTAGCTAAACGAATAAGAAAAACACATGATTATACGAAAACTGAAATAAAAGAAAATCTGATGAACAACCGAGACTTCGACGAGTATGTTGAAACCTAGAGATGTTAACAGACAATGAAAATGAAACGATATCATCACGAATTCCTACTTTGGTCGAATTTTTAACAAATGATCATCATTATTCGTTCGCTTCATTGCCATAAACAGCTGAACGACAAATTCGCATGGATAATCGAGCAGGAACAGCCAATCACCCTTGAAAATATCGAAATAGAAAGAGATAATTATGGATCTACCAGATATCGAATGATCTTACTCGATCTTCACGTGTTTCTCGAGTATGAATACAAACAAGACCATCTTTACGTGGTGTCATACCAATACCAAGAATATCAGCGAAAAGAACAGCCTCTTTCGGATATGGATCCTTCTTCGTTATATTATAAAGTCGTTCATTTGTAATACATAAGATTCGAACATGTTGCTTGTAACCTCGACGATCGATTTTAGTCATTTTGGTTACATACTATAAATAGATGGAAAAAATTTTTGGACGAATCATGTCTGACTTGTGCTACAATCGATTTCAAAAACTAAATAAAGATGAAAATCACGCATCCGGCGGAACGATTTCAGTCAAGCGCAGGTTCACAACTACTCAATTGTCATGAATCGCTGTCTATGCAACAAGACTAACAAACTAATGGATAAAACTTCCGCAAAATATATTTGAACATTTGCTTATACTTACCAAAATCGTCTCGGACGGAAAAAAGCATTTTTTCTTGGCGAGTTCAAACGTAGTTTTTAATTCATCAGCTACAAAGATATTGTTTTATACGAACAACAAAAAAATCGTGCATTGAAATGACAAACTTAATCGCATGGTTTCCATTTCAAGATTCTCTGGTGTATATATCGATTTTTTGCCTTCAAATAAACGTTGCATCAATGGTGTTTCCTTCTTCTGTAACTAAATTCATAGAATATGATAGGCGGAAAGAGGATTTCTCGATTTCATCTTACTTTTGGCTCATTAACCACAGGAGAGTTCACGACAATGACATTAATCTCACCATTAGCTGTGATGGGTACTTCTTTCTTGTCTTCTGTGTTGATTAGAACATTATCCAGTTGTTGTAGAATTTCTTTTGTTTCGTCTACCACACTTGCATCAACAGTTGAATCGACCTTTTGAACCATTTCGGTTAAATCTGTTTGCGATGCAGCATGAACAGTATTTAATCGTTGCGGTTCGTTCGACAATGATTTTCCTGCTGATGGCGGCAAGCGCAGATCGTTCATGACAAAATCCGTGAATGTTCGACCAGCATTTCTCGCCAACGATTGTGTTTGTCGACTTTGCATGGATGACTTTCTCGTTGAATCCTGTTGAAGGTCTACTTCGACTCTGCTTATGCGTTTCTCCAAGTCAGTAAATGAATGTTCCAGAGGCACAGATGTTGAGGTAGGATATGTTGACATAAATTTATCATAGTTTTTCAAGTGACGCATTAACGTTTCATATTGAGAAATTGTCTCGTTTAATCTATTTCGTTCGATGCAACCGGTTGAATCTGATATTGTTCGTTTGATGAATATCTTCTTCTGAGCTTTAGGTTTCTGTGTAGAAATCTTGCTATCCGATGCGAAGTAATCAACCAGACTTTCCAATGGTGTTGTCATGTAGATGCTGTCGAGACTATCACTTCGAGGACGTTGTTGAGCAATATGTGTACGGATTAGTATGGGTATAATACTGTCCGATGCACGTCTTGATCGAGCAAAAATAAGACCACTACGAACAACATGTCTGGTAATGTGCCAGTGATGGATACCGGTACTTTTCCCATGCGAAAAAGGACTAGTCTTCGTATTGAAATCAAACATTTTTGCAACACATTGTTTTAATGTGATCATTGATTGAATTTGATCTTTCATTACAATAGACGCAGGTGGAGGTGGAAGTTGTTCGGAATCGTCGAAGATTGTAGATTCTTCAACAAAATTTTCATTGATTGGATCTAAAGAGGTAAAAAAGCAAAGAAGATCATCGATATGGTACTTTCTATTCTTCTACTTAGTTGTTCTGGAGTTACTACTGTTTGTTTCGAATTGAAGATGTCATCCATACTTGGCAAAGATTGCAGAATCACCTGTGGCGCCGATTCTTTCTCTATAATTGAAGGTGGTCTTCGAACTGTTCCTGGTTTCGGTTTCGATAAGTTTTGCTCTTCTTGAACTTTTGTTTTCCACATATTGTGTAACGATTGAAAATCACTTCGAACAGTGGGTAGCGTGTCCATTTCCATTATGATTACGTTAGTTTTCGTTTTCTTTCCAGGAAATTTGTTTTTTTTTGAAAAAAAGAAACGAGACGAATGAAACAACGATCCGTATCACACAGATGGAACTTGTTCACATCTTGTTTTGTTGTCGGAGATAGATCTCGTTTGTTATAACAGAAAAATCAATATAACTCAACGGAAAGAAAACATATCGTGCTGTTACCGAATAGATTTTAACCTTCCTCTCTCGCACTTTTCAAATATCTGCGCGTGATCTTTCAGTTTTTTTTATTATTCTTGAATCGCAATGCACTGAAACAGAGTATATTGACACCAGTGATCGACAATTAGAGAACGAGAGAAAGTTATTTTAAACACAGATGTTTCAGAGTTTTGCCTGAGCATAGTCAAATAGAATGTAACAAGGAGATGATTTTGTGCTATTTTATCGCATAAATAATATTATTAACTTTTTTCCCTTTATTATTGGCTTGTTTGAACACTACAAGAGATTTCTTCTAATCAAATTTTACGCAAAAAAAAAGAAAACTAGAACTTTGTTGATCATACACGTGGTAGTTGATTATTAATTGCTCGATAGATATCATCTAAATAGAAAGATCAAGAACTGATGTTGTAACGGAAATTATGTTTACCTAAAAGATGTGGTGGAGCTGCTGACGTGATGCCATTACTTGAAACGACTTCGGTAACCCATCCAGCTTGTTGTTGATCTCCGAATGAATTGATTTCGTGGTTAAATCGATTTCCATTTTGAATTCCATTGAATTGCTCATAATTGACTGTTCCGGCATCAAATGAATCAAAATTTTGAAATTGTGGCGGCGCTTGTTGGAATTGCTGTTGTTGTTGTTGTTGTTGTTGTTGCTGTTGCTGTTGCTGTTGCCGTTGGGGAGGAGATGAGAATGGTGGATCATTGTTACGGACAACACGTGTAACATATTTTGGATGAGAATCGATTTGAGGTACGAGGGGTGGTGCTTCGCGAATGATAATTGGCGGTGGAGTCTTCTCTCGTGGTGCTCGAGTGCGAATCACAAGAGGTGGTGCAGCAGCTGCTTGAGGTTCTCGAACTTCTTTGATAATCAATGGACCTGGTGAAGGCGGAGTCGGAGGTCGAACTAAACAGAATAGAGAAGAGAGAAAGAGATAGTATAGTTGTTGTTTGATTGTCTCTTCTTACGATATCGAACGATGACCTGTTGTTTGTACGTGGGCATTTCCATAGGAATTTGTTTTCGAATGATAATTGGATTAGGATCGTAATTGATTTTGTATTGTTCTAATGGGAGTTGACGCCCAGTTGACAATAGAGATGGATGTAATCCTGTTTCTTTCAATTCTTGTTCACTTAAACCTAATGTTCGAATATCGAAACCAAGTTGACCAGCCGTTCCTGCTGTTACAAATGCGCCTGAATCATTAGCTTCATTATTCAGCAAATTTGGGTCTATTCCATTGTCTGTATGTGCTGGTACTGAGTGTGGTCCAGCATGAATCTGCCCATGAACTGAATGCAATGATGTATCACCTGTTGCAGCAGCATACTGTCCACTATCTTGTGGATTCCAATCTAATGAAATGAAAGTAGAAAGTTATGAGAGACTAGTTATAATATGTCAATACTGTAATCAAAGTTGGTTGACATTTGTGCTTCGACTTATTTCGTGGATGAGTTCGAACTGAATTGTATGTTGTAAATGAACATGTTCGATGCACAAGAAAAAAAAATACCGAACGAGAACGAAACATGATTTATTTCATCTCTATATTAATGTAATGTTCGGTCATCTGTGACAATCAAATGTTCTTCGCGGTCGGTAGTATATTATTCAATACGATGCATCTGTTACATAAATGAGCAAAATATATGTTTCACGAACGTATCGCATAAACACGTAATATGAACTAAGGAGATAGTCTATCAAAAGACTTCAAGTTTTGATGGTGAAAGAATTTCGATGACATGATTTAACAATGATTTCTAATTCAATTGATCGTTATCAAGATAATAGTCAAGTAATTGAAGGTTTATGTACTATACAATTAAACTCAACGATAGAGATTTTATCACTTATTTACAGGGATGTCAAACTGAGTAATATCGCTTAGTTGACTTCGGGAACGAGACAGAAAGGACATTTATATCTGTTTATTGTTGTCTGCAAGCACAATCTTTACACCCACACTTGAATTTCAATGATCGTGCAATTGCTGCGCGATAATTTTTATTGTCATTGAGCTCTTCATAGATGTCCGTAAAAAGAAAGAGAGCAATAGTCATTTATAACTGTATGTTTTGTGTCAGATGTAGTCTTAAAACGAAAGTATAAACTCATTCACCATTGTTCGTGGATGGAAAGTCTCGAAATTTGATCGCTTTCGAATATCGAGATTCGATCGGAAGTAATCATGAAAAAAGGTCGCGTCAAGCCGAATAAGTAGACCTTATTTTGTTTCAAACAAATTAAATGATTCAATCTTCATCGGTTCGATTAGAATCAACACGGTGAACCAAGGACCACTCGGCGCCCAAAACCTTCTTCATCTCAAATGTGTGCGTCGCGTCAGTTTCCTTGATCGAATGCTGTTCCTCTAACAGGTTCGAAATCGATTTTACACTCTGATACAAATAGTAGTGACTTTCAATGTACTGATCTTTACTATCATCACAATATAGAATACAAAAGAAAAAAAGAAAACATCTGTTTTAATCATTGGCGCGACGATGAGCTTTGGCGGTTGACTTTACTCTCCGGCGATGATGATGATGATTTACCACCCATCTACAAATAAAAGAGGAAAATAGTTTAATGGGAAAAAAGTTCGTGCGCTTACGTGTTTTCGCTTTGATTCGATCATTCGAGTATTTTTAGCGAAGTAATCCGGCTCTTGTTCTCGTCTTGTTTGTCGTTTTTTTAGCGTTAACCATTCTTCATAGAACATACTTTCAAATATCGGAACGAGTTCACACGCTCGTGGCAAATCTGATAAATGAACACGCATGAAGTCAAAGGAGATACAAACATTCTCTGGTCGTGTTGCTTGTTTTTTCTCTTTTTGTTCAGCATCGTCCTCATCAGCTCTTTCCGAAAGGAATGGAATTTTTGCGTAGCGTTGAGAAAAATGCCACAATATTGTGTATTTTGCATTCATTCGACGACCTACATCAATGGCTTGGGCCATTGTGCAATGACGCATTTGGGATGCATAAACTTCCAAACCAGTTTCATACGTCGATTCATGAATCAACAAATCAACATTTTGACCTAAGGCAAATCGATTTCTTATGTCAATGAAAACATCTAATTTCTAACCAGCTTGAATGAAATCACTTGATTGTTTGCAATCACCGCTAAAAGCCAATGACCATCCATCAATGTGTCTTAATACTAGAGCATGTGCATCATAGATGTGCTCGACTAAAACTGTTTGTACACCATGTATTCCAATGGTTTTGAACTTTTCGAAGAGAAACTTTTCTTCTTCGGTATTTTCTCCGCCAACATTAGTCATGGAAGGTAAACCGTTGGTTAACGATCGATTGAAAATGATGTGTACATCATCATCAAACGAATATTCACACGAAAAGAAGCCCCACTGTTTCCGTCCGACATCAACATATTTGTTCGGACAGAGTAAGATGAGTTTTTCATATTGATGACCCAATTTTTCAAAAGCACGTCGACGTTGACGAATCAAACCGAACAAACCACCGAGATGATCGGCGTGCATGTGTGAGATGTATACAAAACGAATACGAAAGAGAACGTCATCGGATTGATCACCATAGAAGTGACGAATCTGACCAGTCGTGCCTTCTGCACATTCAAGAAGAAAAATAGTTGTATCACTAAAGATAGAGGACGAGTGGTTCAAAGAAGTGGATTCTAGAGCGAATTACTTGACATGAATCAAAATACCACTGGTATTTCGTGGTTTACTTGGACAGGCAGAACCAGTGCCGAGAAAAATGATTTCCGGATACCTGGAAAAGAGAGAAGTGTGAAAGATTTCGAATTCTTAACATTATCGTCATTACGAATGTCCTGTTTTTGCAATTTCATGCATGGCTTGCAATTGTTGTTTAGCAGCTGTGAACGTCTGCTTGAATTCTTCATTGGCAAGAAGAAGATCAATGTAACTTTGTGGTTGTATTGCGACCACCTTTGAATTATCTGGCGCCAGCATTGGACGAATAGGTATACGACTACTAGTTAATCCATAAGTGATATTATCTACTGGTTCTGGAATTTTCAAATCCTATAAAGTAGATAATAGCAATATTACTACAAGGATTTTCGAACAATTTAGTTCGTACTGTCAAAGTGTTGTGATAGCTAAGTAGAGGGAAAATTCCGTCATCGATATAGTTCAATTGAGTTTGGTAACGATAAATGGCTTCCATGTGCACATTTACTTGTGTTTCGTCCAATAGGAGATGATGTGTTGTATTCATACTGAAAAGATCATAGAGATTTATTTTTATGGAAAGCTCGTCTGAACCAACCAAAAACCTTTTCATCCACGAGCGATATGTTTCATTATTCAGGATTGAACTCGGTGCAAGATGAACAATTGTATGATACGAATGGGAGTTTAGTTCATTGCTTTTAATTGAATCAAGATAAGCCAACGATGGACAATCCAATACTAAATAGAACGTAACCAATGAATTCAATCAATGTGTTCAATTTAACGTACTTAAAACTTTCACAGGTGGTTCACCAGGCAGAGTCACGTCTTTTGAACGAATCTAAAGCTAAAAATGCATCACCAATATTCGTGTATTTCGTTTCTGCATACAAGTCGTCCATCGGGCAATGTCACATCTTCACCATTCTTCAACCGAGATCGAAGTTCATTCCTAGAAAAATAGCGAGTTGACTGTTGGTAGTTTAACGTGAAAAGACTTACGGTGGTACACGATGAAAAGCACATAATTCAGCCGATAAACTACCAGGAAATGGATGTGTCTGAAATCGAATGATATGAATTGGATCATGGCTGAATGGATACATACTTCGCATAGATAAGCGTAGACGAGATCATCGGGATATTTCTTCATTTGAGATAAATCATTCGATGCTGATGCACATTGTCTTTTCGAATCTTTCAAAATATGACAAATGTTATCAAACAATTTGACTGTTAAGGAGTTCTCTTACTAGGACTCAAAATTAAGTTATTTGCTCGTAGTGGAATTGCTTTGATTTTGAAACAGTCGTCTTGAAATTCACCTTTGTCATAATCATGTTGTTCTAAATAAATAATCAATCCAACGAATGAGTTGTTTTCAGAATCGAAATCATTACCAAGGTTAATATTTGAAAATGCTTCTAAACCTTTCCAATGTTTCAAAAGATCAATCTAAACTCACATCCATTCATTACGACTCTTTTTCGATTTATCTCAACTTACGACATCGCATGGTGCATGAAACGTGATCTCATTCAGATATGCTTCTTTCAAACTAATGCATAGACCTAATATTCCACCCATTGTATCCCAAGATTTTTGCGTCATAAACAAATGTTTTGTTTTGGAGAACTTAATTTCCCAAATCGTATTCTTTTCTTGTAATGTCCGCTGTGTGCCTTCACCACAATTGAACAAATAATTGGTTTGATCATTGTTCAGCACCAATGATTTGCTAGTGCCAGCGTAACCGTTGGAAATTACTTGGAGATTTATTCGAGATGTTAAACCTGGATCTCGACCGCGTTCTTTCATTCGAACGTGTCGTGGTTTGTTCGTCACGGAAGATGTGGAATCACTTTTGAGTTTCTTCGTTTGTGACATTCCGCGAATGAAATCCGCAATATCAATCGACGATGATGAAAAACGAATTTGAGTTCGAATTTGAAAAGCTCTTCTTGCTAAAGAAATTAATAACATGAGGTAATTCGTATTGAATTCATCTTCGCAATCATATATCAATCATTTCATCAGCGAGGGGTAAACTATGGTCGAGTTTATGTGGTTTACGATAGATGTCAGCTCATGGAGGTACTTTATAGAAGTTCAGATTCTTTCACTAAGAGTTACACAACAGTACCTTTGATCTCGATTTGTGCGTGTTGTTTTCAATACTCTATCTATCCTCTATGAGTTTGTGATGGCCAATCCTATTATTTTTCTCAGGTCAACTTGCCGATAATTGCAGAGTACTCTATTTTCCATTAGAGTTCGCTTTTTCGTCGAAAATCTATTTCTCGTTGAACGGAAAAGAACTTTATGAATGATAAATGTGACATTGGCGTAATCACAGTACTAGCTGAAAATTGTGTGCTTACTGGTGGTGGTGAATATTGTTCTCATTCTGTGGTTCTTCACAGATTTGATTGTTTTCAGCCGGTCTGATCGATAAATGGTTACGTGCTAATTGGATTTGTGAAAATGGTGTTAGCGTTAGCAATGATAAGCTAATTGTTCGATTTAATTGATCCAAATAACTGTTGTTAGTATTACTTAATATTGCATTGGGTAGACAAGTAATGATGACCTCCACTTATTGCTGAAACTCCCCATGAAAGGCTACTACTACGTCCTATTTCGTTTATCTATTGCCACGACATAGTCGTTTAATATATTTATATTTGTCGTTATAGCATGAATATCGAACCAACCGAAATAACTGTGGATTCAATGGTTGATGTTAATTTATTCACTGTAATCAGCAATAATTCAGAATCACAGATGCAACAGTGTAATCCGATGATTAATACAGATGATTGCTCTAGTCTAGTTCTAGTTGTACTGCTGTTTTCTCTAACAGTGAGATTGCTAACAACGTAATCAAACATAGTAAACGTGTAGTCGACATCAAAGATATTATATTAGTATAGTTTTCATTCCGTCACCTACGATTACACGTTCAGTGTGGGTTGTACAAAGTGTGTCATAGATTTGCATTAAATTGAATTACATTAATGATTCTACACATCAGACAAATTATATAAAGATCGAAAGATGAAGATACTGAAACAGTACAGTCTGAAAATGACGCATTTTCTCGTCTTCATTACACAGTGTTCATTCTTTTCAATTACAGTACATGGCGTTGTTATATGATAAAGAGAACAGTACACATATCATTCCATTTTCTTATTTTCACATTCATTTTCTCCCATCATGTCATTGGTAAGGATTACTTCGATGGCTTTTGCTCAGAACGAAAGATTTTCTAGCCAAAGTTAACTTAGTTCGTCGTGTTGATGTTAAATGCCGTCGACTGACAGCTGCACAAGGCACAATAAAATATGATGATTGTAATATGTATACAGTAACATCAAACTGGAGGAAGCGGTGACTATTTTCGACTATCCGCTATGACAAGTTCCCTGTCGGTCCCAGATGAAACTTGACAAATCTAATCACCAGATTCGTTCGGTTGTGCACGGGATTGTTCTATCTGGATTAAGCGACACTTCAGTCACACTATTACCTTCGATCAACACATCGCACATACAAATGACATGAGTGTGAGGGGTACGCGTGACTAAACTGCAGCTGTACCAAAGTACCGGTACGTTTGATATAGTTCTATTTTCCTCAGTTTGTTTCCGGTTAGCATAATCAACACACATGGAAGCGTTCCCTTTGTCTTGGTATTGTATCAAGTCTTGCTTACATTTACTCATTCTCACTTCTGAAAGTTTATATTACAATATTTCTATTTGTTATCTCAGTTTATGACGAAAAAACTACTTGAAACTTAGATTTGTCGCGTTGTTTTAGAGCGAAAAACAACAGCAAGAACGCGAACAAAATTTTTCAATTGGCCTAGAAAGACGGCAAAATCGATTTTAATATACTGAAAGAATTAGCCAAGAAACACAAAGTTGAATCGAAAGAATAATTCAATCGTCTGACAAACTGATCATCTTCACTTCGCTTCGTATTTTATTTTGTCAACTTAGTGAAATTTAGCATGACGTACTTTTGTTCTCTTTCTTTCGTTGACATGTTCCTTCCTTAAACTACAATATATTTGATTCAACACCATCAATTGAAACGCATTGTTTCGTTGTGCATGATTGATTTCGTGGGCCAGTCTCTATTCGTTCTCTTTACATTTTCCAATCACACAGCAAAAAGCGTGATATTACCTTTTCTTTCTTCATTTTTAATACAGCCAAGGCAGAGAAGAGTAATCACCACCTCTATCAACCTTTGGTCTACTCGTCAACATGTCGCTAGAATATATGGATATTACTGCAACACCAATCAGTTTAGTAGTGTATTCGTTCCTTGGCTTGTTATGTACAACATTTCTCTATGGCGTCTATGGTATCTTCTTAACAATACTGAAATTTCTTCGCTATGGCCGTAATCGTTTCTTTACCCAAATCAGTCGACCAGAACCACCTGTGAAAGCCACGGATCGGATATATGGTAAACATGAAATGCTCAAGCTTAAAGTAAATAATTTTGTATTAACAATCATACTGTTGTTTATTTTCTAATCATTAAATCTATCTAGTCATCGGGCATTTCGCTGCATTATGTTTCGAAAGGCTTACCAAATCAACATATGATTCTCTTTGTCCATGGCTTTCCCGAATGTTGGTATTCATGGCGAAGTCAAATGAAATACTTTTCCAAAGACTATCGAGTTGTTGCCATCGATCAACGAGGTTATGGAGTTAGTTCTAAGCCACCTTTTGTTCAAGACTACCGGTTGGAAACCTTAGCTGGAGATGTTGCGGATGTCATCGAACAACTTGGTACGGAAGAGAAAGCATTCATGTTTCCTGCACTCACGCACTCTTGCTCATTTTAGGTTATGAATCATGCATTTTAGTCGGTCATGACATCGGAGGTTTAGTTGCATGGACGACTGCGATGCTGTGAGTTATGTTTTTTCTAAATGAAATGTTGTTATTTTACACCTGATCGTATTTCACAGTTATCCCCATTTGGTGGAGAAATTAGTCATTATGAACTGTCCACACCCTGTCGCGTTTCGTCAAGAATTAACATTCAGCCAAATCCAACGATCATGGTGAGACAACATCTGCTTCTTTCCAAATCATATAACGAAATTCTGTTCGTTTGTAGGTATATGTTCTTCTTTCAAACCACGATCGTACCTGAGTTGTATGTCGAAGCTGATGACTATGCTTACATCAAAGATGGCTTTCGTAAGAAAACGACTGGACTAGTTAATCAAGATTATATCACTGATGGCGACATTGATATCTACAAATATACATTATCTCAGCCAGGTAAGCCTTTGGAGTAGCTGAATTGCATTTTTTTTTCTGAACGAATGTTTTCTAGACGCAACCAAATGTGCACTGAATTTCTTTCGTGCTCTCTTCCGTTATCAAAGCGATTTCTCACGTGCTGAAATTGTCGCACCTGTTCTACTCCTGTGGGGCTGTAACGACCATAAATTCGGTGAAGACTTTGCTGAAGCAAGTCAAAAATATTGCGGGGATATTCGTTTGAAAAAGATCGCAGGTGGCTCTCATTGGATCAATCAAGACATGCCTGACGTGGTCAATAAACACATGGAACTCTTCTTCAACGAGCCACCTCCTGCAGATCCTACGCCAGAATATTAGAAAACCAAGAACATCTTTTGTTTTTCCTTTTTGATCTTATTATTCAAATAAACTTAGGTCTAGGAGATGTTATTTTCGATTTGAAGGAGAACATCTTGAAACCGTTAACCTTGAAGACAACACTCGGGTATTTATAGTAGCAGTAGGCAGCGATTAATCCAAACGGAAAACACCACAGAATAGAGAAAAAGACCTATTTATTCTTGTCGATTAAGAGAAAACCATCAGATAAGAATATCATTCATAAAAAATGTCATCGCGAATAATACTTCTCGTATTTATACTCAGTTTAGTTTGCGGTAAGGAAAACTTCGATATCGTCTTTAAAGAGCTTCTGATTGCTTTTTGATTAGTGATCATCGCTTCAAACAAGAATAAAATTGATCCGTCGTTACCATCAACGACAGCAACGAAGAATGAACTCGTCCGAAAGAAAGTTCCGGTAGATAAAACGAAAAAGAAATCAACCAAAATAAAGCGTAAGCCTACCGATCATTTTCAAATTATCATTTTTCATCGAGTTTCTTTCTCTGCTAGCAACTCTATGCAAATTACCACGAGATGTCGGTCCGTGTCGTGCAGCTATAGATCGATTTTATTACGATTCAATTGCAAATGAATGTAAAGCGTTTACGTATGGCGGATGTCAAGGCAATCAGAACAACTTTCGATCATTAAGCAAATGTCAAAAAGCATGCAAAGTTTGAATAGATTTCTCCGTATTGCTTAGTTTTTTTTCTCCCAAATACAAATAAATCCTTATACCTGCCACCGGAAAATCTTAATTTGATGTTTTTTGTAACACGAGATCAAATCTTAATGATGATACATAATATTTACTACCGAGCATCCTCTCCTGTCGCAGTATGAATCGTTAAGACTAGTTTGACATGTTTATTCATGTCAACAAATGATTATGCATATACAAAAATAATGACATCTAATTTAGAAGAATATAAGAAGAGAATTAATCTGATTGTTGATCGTTTTTCGATGATGGATAATAATTCAAAAATGTCATCGCTGTTTCATCATCATCGAATTTCAGACGTTTACATTTGTTTTCAAATGGTAAGGTAATCGATGTTGATTTGATCTTGAAGTACTTCGAATCGAAAGTAACGACTTCCGGTCGGACTTGAGTATCTCTGGATTTTTGTACATATTCATCAAGTAATTCCTATGAAAAGAAACGAAGTCCATTCAAATCCTTCGATTGCAGTTATTTTCGTACTTGAGAACGATAGATAATCAATTTGTCTTTTTCTAACATTCGTATCATGTTCAACGATGCTAAAGTTTCAATAATATCACACGTCGAAATCGATGTTGCTTTACTTATACCTGAAAAATAACACTCCAAAAGACAGTCAGTACAAACATAAATATCTACTGTTGATTGCAAGTTGATCTTCGTTTGTTTTAGTGAGAAGATAATCGAAGATTTTCGATTTCCAATACTTTCTATAGCAGAGTAAACCTTGAGTAGATAGAGGACGTTCCGGTGTTCCCGTATGAACGTTAGCTAAGTGACTAAGCGCATAACCTAAAAAGAAGTTTTCAATCGAACTGCCCACGAACACCATTTACAGCACTTACTGATATGAACCAATAGACTTCCGAAGCCTCGATTGCGATATGGTGGTAGGATGAGAAGGCATGAAAGATTGAGTCTTTCTTGAAATTGAAGTTTAGAAAAGAAACCAGCGAAATGGTATTGATTTTCACTATGGGAAACAGTTAAGACATAGAAGCGAAATCGATGGACGTTTTTGATTTCAACTTTGCTCTCGATGAATAATGTGGCAAGTAAACATAAATCCTCGCAGTAAGTTTGTGCTTTCCAACCAAGCACTTCGAAGATATTTACATCATTTTGACTGTAAATAACACAACCAGGTGGCTGTGTTTGTGTGCATTTTGTCTAATAATGATCAGACTGGAGTTATTGAAAAGAATGAAGCAATAGTAACATACTCGATGACGTCGTGCAGAGGTTTCATGAATCGTTGTTTTCAAACAACATTCACAAACATGAATCTTCTCTACTTGAAGCCATTCTTTCGGACACAAAGTCGATCGACATACAGTTTCAAATTCAAATCGACCAGTTTGAATCCATGGACGTGCTTTATTATTTGCTGATGTACTATTTAATTTACTAGTGTCATTTGTCATGATCTAGAATATTCTCATAGAACATGACATTCTCAAGAAAATAGATACATATTTGATAATGTAACAAACAAGATTTATTTACATAAATAATAACAGAAGAAGAGAAATGTTTTAGGTTCCTTTGAATTTTTTCCGTATTGTTGTGGAATTGTTCACTGATGTATTGATTTTGTTGTCTTCATCGCCTTCTTTTTCTTCTAACTCAATCCATTTCTGCTTCAGGTGGCTTTCTCCCAAATGTTTCAATGACACAAGCCGTTCTAATTCTTCATCGTTGATGATTCGCTTCAACTCTGCTAGATGTCGATGAGATGATATGTGCAATAGTGAACGAAGATGTTCGATGATTTGTTTGGCATCCTGATCGTAATCATTGTGTGCTCGCAGATAAGACAATGTTGATGAATAAGCAAGAGATTCCATTGCACGTAACTGTGCTCGTTTTTGACGGCGACGACTAGACATTTATCTACAAAAAGAAAAGACCCATTCATTATTTATTTCTTTCGAAGTATTTAAAAAAAACAGTTAAAAGAAAAAGCACGCCCAAGAAAATCTTCATGATGCTTTATATGAACGTTGTGCTTGAACAATACCAGCTAGGATAACAAGAATCCATGTGACAGCAACGAGAATAAAGTAGAGCTGGAAAGAAAAGAAGAATGTGCAAGGCGAAGAAGAAAGTGTTCAGAACATACAAAATTGATCCATGAACGAACTTGTCGTTGAGAAAGATTCGTAAAGTCTAACATAGTTAATGCTTGAGTTTGATCACTTTATTTTTGCTTGACAACTACAAGACAATATATTCTCTGATGAGACGTCGTTCATATGAACCAATCATATCTGTTCAAGTTGATATATTAAGTGAATGTTTCTTAGCAACGTTCAGAATTTCACGAAAGAATATGTCAAAACTCTTCTATCATTTTTATTGAATGTTTTTACTAATTATGAAAGAATATCCATGAAGAATGGATTTTCTGAGGTTGTCACTGATTGGTCTAGACGCGTCTCCACCACTATGATTCATCTCTTTTCTGATTGGATCACTTTCTTTCATCGATCAAATGAGTCATAAAATATTTTGAAAGACAAAAGAAAGTATTCTTCATATTCTCAATCTCTTCATTTCCATCATCTATCATGGCATTGAAAGCTGAATTGCACGATAAGTTAAAATCTCTTGGCTACGAATTAGGTCCATTTGCTTCAAAAGATACCTTATCTGCGGTCTTATGTCTTCATTCTGTGGTAAGCTAAACGCATTGAGAGTATGTGTATTGATGATACATTTCTAGGTTATGACTCAACATAATATTAATGTCGCGAAAATAAACGATCTTGAACTTCGAAGACAATTAATGGAAAATGGTTTGAAAGTTGGACCTGTAACAAGTAAGTCGCAATTGCAATTTCTATCTGAATATTAAATATATGTCTCTAGAACATACACGAGCGATTTATCAACGTAAATTATTGGAAGTGTTGACGCAACAATCGACTGAATGTCAAGATGATGAAGTCGAGATTGAAGAACCAGTTGTTCGAAAAGATTATGAGACAAAATCGCTTTATCCCAATATATATGATACGAAATCATCAAATTACTCGAAAAAAGATGATTCACCAATTATACGCAATAATTACAAGCCTACTAAAGATTTCACTAGTCGCAATACGTTCGAGTAAGTTCGATCGTTCTTTTGATTGTCAGATCTTTATTTATCCATTTGGCAGAGAGGTCAATGAGATCCGATCACGTTTACCAACAAAACCGACTGAAGTTAAAAAATCGTCTCTTGATGATAATCAGGCAGCTGTGACAAAAAGTAAGCAAAAGACACTTGAAATAGTCTTGTATTGAATCTATTACTTTCGTTTAGACAGTGGTAGTTCAACATTCTATGTTGGTATTGCATTATTTGTGGCAATTATTGTCTTTTTTGGTTACTTATGGTTGGAAAAATAATTTCAAGTGCTTTTGGTTGTTTATACATGTCATTTAGTAAATGTACTTGTGTGTCTGTGTGTTTACTACTGTTTTGAATTTCTTTTTGATGAATAAAATACAAGAAGTGTTAGAATTTTAAAAGAAGACAATGTTCAAAAAAAGACAGAACAAAGTACTTAACGATGGTATAGTTTAAAACCTCTACAAGCTGTTTTTCGCAGAGATGCGCAAATGGAATTATCGAGACTCAATTGATATGACAGGTTTAGTTTACAATTAAAACTTTCAAAGTAGAACGGCATTGATCATTTCATTGAAAACTGTGACTGTAGCGATTTTTGGACAGTCTCAGACTGTCTTTGGTGATTTTTAACGTAGCGAAAGCCATTTTTCTAGAAAAAGAGGAAACACTCGCGTATTCCGACTCTGCATTCTGAATTGTTAACAAGTTACTAAAAAAGTTTGCGAGAACGAACGTCATATTCGGTCTCCTCGACCTCGATTACTCCAGTTTTCATTGAGTTCTAATGCTGCAATCTGATTGGATTAGGCGAACTCGCAAAATTGATGTATTTTTTATGATCTTACAGTCCTTTCTTTCAGCAAAAGGAACAGGTAAAACCAATCTCGACCTGAAACACATTCAATTTTACCTTTAAGACAACATTATACACGAAATTAGAAGAAATACTTTTGAATTATACTTCATTTTGGTAATGAAAAATGTATTCTAAAGGTAAGAACATACCTCCTATTGAGAAGAGATCGATTTAGGATACCAGTAATTATCTTCATTGCCTGCAATTAGTAGACCATGAATCACTGAAATAAAATATATAGGAGTTTTTTTTTTCTTTTTGCATCGTATGGGTAATCGTATACAAGCTGAGTACAAAAGCAAACACCTCGAAAGCAATATGATGTATACAGGAAGAAAAGTTCGATTGGAGAACGTTCTTTTTCTGCGGAGGCAGTAGAATCGCTATAAGGGCTGATGGTGTATATATTTGACATTTGAAAGAAGTATTTTTAATCGTACAAAAAGGTTGTAAGCGAAACTGTCGAGTAACTTCTAAATTTACGACAAAATTTTCTGTCAAAAACGAGAATGATCGACTTATCTAATTATCCATATGCGACATACGAGCCAAATCAAATAGCTGCTGGTATTCTTGCTGGTGTCATTGGTATATCGTTGATTGGATGGCTGGCGCAAGCGACTCGAAAGTTTCGTCGACTTATTATTCTTCTGACCATTTCCCATGTAACCATCTTTATCGAACTTGTACTTCGTGCAGCACTTTCTAGTAGTGAACGCAAATCCAGAGCTTCTTTTACCGCAACATCAGTTTTACTTGCTGTCGGTCAACGAACGATTATCTTAGCCAATTACGATTATATCGTCCGTGTAGGCGAAGTTAAACCTGCCATTACTCGATGCGTTATTATTGGACCTATTTTAATCGCATTAACATCCGCTGCTCTGATGATTCCAGCTGGAATGTTATCCTACAATAAGAGCACGATTCCTCAAAGTTTTGCATTACGACAAGCCTCAGCAGCAATTGTTCTTGGACTAACTATTCTTTTCTATCCAATTTGGTTTGCGCTTAAAACATGGAAAGATATGAAGAAGCAATCTATCATTCGTTTATTAATCTCAAGTATTGCGTGCTTAAGCGTCGCTATTTATCTTCAAATTACTTCTGTTCCTGATTATTATATAACTACAAGCCACGAAGAATACTGGTTCTATATCTTTCAGTTCACACCTATGGCTATTGCACTACTGACGTGGACATTCTTACATCCACGACGAAGTTTGCAAGCGGATGTCAACACATCTGAACTTTAGTCACACTATCACATTCGGTTAAGTACATCGCACACGCAGTTGATGTCCGTCTGAAGAGGATAGATGTGACTAAACTGTAGTTGTACTCGGATATCCGAAATCAGTGCTAGATTCTTGAATTCAATTTTGTATTATATGATTTTATTCTAAAATAAACATATATATTGAACACACTTTTTCTTCCATCTACATACGACATCTTTCGACGTTGAAGTTTATTCAATCATTCTATTGCGTGCGTGTAGAATACCAAAATGAATAGCAAATTGTTGCTTTAGTTTATTGGATTGTTACTCGGTGTGTATTACGCCTTCTTTCTCCATCGACCCTCTTTCAATTTATTATCTCTTTTTATATCTTATTTACTAGGTCATAGCTACTCTTTTTTCTTCCTTATTTAAGATACTATAATCATGCCTTTACGTCTTCGACACATACTCGACCGATTGCCATTGCCATCTCTTCGTTATTATACGTTGATTAGTACGTCTTTATTTTTTGGTAATATATTCTATTATCACCATTTAATACAAACGAATGATATCAATTCAACAAACGAAACTCTTGTCAATGGCACGAAGTTTTTCTCCGATGCGAAGCCGCTTTCCCTGGCATACATGCAAACGTTATTTTCGATTATTTTATCTCAATCCTTGTCCTTATTGGTAAGACATTGACTTACATATTTGCATAGATTGTTCGATTTGTTCGTTGTTAGATTCTTGTCAATGCGATTTACTGTACAATTGGCTTGTTTGGCAAGTATTTACAAGAACTCATCTTTGGTGAATTACGTTTAGTCGAATTGCAACGGAGCAAAGAGAAATTTTGGAACTATGCATTTTACAAGTTTTGTTTTCTTTTCGGCGTACTTGGTTTAGAGAATTTGAATGAACTCGCACTTTGGATTTCGTGGTTTTCAATCATAGCATTTGCAATTTCATTCTGTCAATTATCGAAAGATCGCTTTGAACTAGTAAGTTGTTTTCCATGAATTTACACCGAACTGATTATCGATTCTGTTTAGATGTCAGTTTCTGTCTCCATTCGTCGTCGGCTATTCCTGAAAATCCTTGCTTTACTTACTTGTTTACTTGTTTTATCTGGCATTTTAGTCTCTATTTGTTTTCTTGTCGGTTTGAAATATGGCGGTCTCTCCGTATTTTTTTTCATGTTGGCAGAAGCAACTTTATTAACGCTCGACATATGCTATCTTTTGTTTAAATATACATTTCAATATTATATCTACGAACAACAAAAACAAAATCCGCTAACTACATCGAATGAGTACCGATCTTATGTGATTTATTATATCGAATTTGTGTACCATATCGTAACATTATTGATTGATATAATGCATCATTTGCAAATGTTGTTTTATCACCAGACATTCATGTCAATGACGTCATTAATATTTTTCATGCAATTGAAGCCATTATTTAATGAATTAACGCAACGTTTAAAACGACACAAATCATACCGAATTGCCATGATACGAATGGAGAAAAAGTATCCACTTTTAACTAAGTATGATTTGGAACAGAAGTATCTCAAACAAAATTATGTATCAAGTCTGGACGAAGTGTGCTCGATTTGTTGGGAGAAATTTGAAAAGGCAAGATGCTTGCCATGCGGTCATCTATTTCATCAGAATTGCCTTCGAAGTTGGCTCGAACAAGATACTACATGCCCAATATGTCGCGTTTCCCTCCAGGAAGAAACCAGTCAACAGACGCCTACACCATCCGCACCAATCATTTCGCCAGCGCCTAATTTTCTTCTTTGGCCATCATTGACACTTGCTCGTCTCGCTCGAAATGTTCACGGTTTGAATGATACAACAGGTCAACGTCCACCACGGAATCATCTGTTTCGCTTTGATGGAAGCCGTTATTCATCCTGGTTACCTAGTTTTTCAATCGAAATCAATCACAATTTTCCTTTTCGTCTTGGACGTGCTCGTCTTACCGGTGTACAATTAACGAGCATGGCTCAAAGTGTTCAACAGGTTTTTCCTCAGATTCCATATGAAATCATTCTGGCTGATTTGCAACGTACGCAATCTGTCGATGTGACCATTGAAAATATCATTGATCATCGTATTCGCATTGACCCACAGCATGCTGCACATCAACAGGAGTCATCGGCATCGGAAGAATCGTCTTACACGTCATCGGAAGCTTCATCATCCGAAGTCGGTGAACCGATCGATTCAGATTTGTTGTACGTTCTAAAGATGAATCTTTCTCTATAATTTATGTTCTATTTCTTAGATCTGATGCACCTCGGATACACCAAACTGATGATTTACTCGATACTGGTCATAATGATAACTTTGCATGGCCATTAGATCCACGGCTTCCGTTAGCAATCCGAAAACAACAACTGATCGCACACATGCGACGGTATATCCATATGAAATGTTTTGGGCTAATGAATTTCGTGTTTGTTTGACTTTTTTCAGGCAATTCCTTGACCGTGAAAGACGTCTGCAATCATTGTCACAAAAATCAGATTTGCTGTCCGCCAATTGAATAGCTGCTCGTCCTTTTGTTAATATGTATATTTGTAAAAGCAACGTTTTCTCGCTTTTCCTATGTTTAGACTAAGGCAGTTCGTCTTCTTTTCGTTTATGTATCTTTCCAACTAATAAATCTTTGTCTCTGTACTTGTGAGTGTCTGCATGCACGATATCTATTTGAAGAAAAAAAACACACAGAATGGAAAACGAGCCTCGTTCGGCTTTCTTTGTCATAAACATTAATGAGAAAAACAAGCAATTATGTATGTATTTGATGTTATTTTTATTGTAGAATTCATCATGCGACGAGGTGTTGGTATTGGAGGTATTAATCAACAAATTCTTGAAAAGGTAGAAGTTGTTTTTGTTGAAAAAGAATGTGCTGGTTCATTTTCGGTTGTTGTTTTAGGCGAAATTTAGTGAAAAAGGTTCCGAACTTGCACGTGACCATCTTGAAAAGGTAAATATGTTTTGCTATTTTGACATTTGAGAAAACGCTTGGTGTTTAGCTTGCAAAACAATTTGAAACATTTCGCGATAATTTGGAAAAATTTGCTGAAAAACACAAGAATGAAATCAAGAAAGATCTCGCTTTTCGACGACAATTTCAAGAAATGTGTGCAACAGTCGGTGTTGATCCGCTTGCATGTAAGATTCGAGACAATCGATCTTCTTGCACATAGAGAATACGTTTTCTTTTCGTGTTTAGCAAGTAAAGGATTCTGGTCTCAAGTACTCGGAGTTGGTGACTTTTACTACGAATTGTCTGTACAGATAGTTGAAGTATGCGTAGCTACAAGTGAACAAAATGGTGGATTGATATCGCTCGATGAACTATTATTGCGCGTCAGGAAAGCACGTGGTAAATCGAAATCGGCTCAAGATGTCTCTGCAGATGATATTCTGCGTGCAATTAAAAAATTACAAGTACTCGGTGATGGATTTACCGTGATTCAGCCAACTAATGGACAAGGACGTATTTTAATACAATGTATACCAGGAGAATTAAGTATGGACCATACAACAATCTTGAATTCCCTTCAGACACGTTCGAGTTTTACTGCCGAACAGTTACGTGATCAATTCCAATGGTCAAATGATCGAATTCAAACGGCGATTAATTTTATGCTTAAAGAAGGTCTTATTTGGGTGGACAGCAATGGTCGATGTCCGGAATATTATTTTCCCGGTTTATTTACTGCACAGCGTGTAACTTCGGGAGAAAATGTTTAGAGATATACTTTCCTTTCGATGTTTTCTTACTTTCTTCGAATTTTTTTATATCTAATATTTAAGTTCTCTAAGTTTCAGATGAGTGAACATCATCAGCAATCGCATACAAGTGACAGTCGACATCATTTAGCTATATGGTGTCGAGCAGAAGTGTTTACGTTTGGTGCGTTGACGACGCCACCACCGCCCGATATCACTCCTGCAAGTTTGAAAGCTCTTGTCAAGTACATGAAGAAAAGCGGAACGGCTGGTTATCCCAAAATGAAGTAAATTTCTTCATGCTATGACATATTCTATTCTAATAATTGCTTTTCGTTCCAGTTATATGCTTTGGCGACATATTGCTTGTTCGAAATTACATATGTCTGAAGAATTAGCATGGATGTAAGTGTTAGAATCGATATGAATATGATTGTCTTACTTGTTTGCGTGTAGGTATTTCGAAACGTACAGTATGTTAACCAATGTTTCATCACAACGGCGAATACAAACTGATATTCAAACATCAAAAGCACATACTCCCACTGAAATCGGTTTGTAGAAAAATTTAATTTGAATTTAGAGTTGATGAGTATATCTGATATGTTTAGAACGACTCAAAGATTCTCGAAAAGTGGATAGTTTAGCGTTCATTCTACTTCTATTTCTGCAATCATTCCATCAAATTGATCTGAAATCAACACTTTCTCGTGATGAGTCTGTATTGATAGATTGAATTCTATTCAATGATGTTACTTTACGATACAATTTAGATGGCCGAATCGCAAACGAAACTCGGATCTCGATGCTCGAAAGAATCGCGTATGTTTACTGTCTGTTCTTCATCATTCAAATGAGAGATCTTTCTTTAGATTTATGACGAACAAAGTCATCAGTTATTTATTCAAGCACATTTAGATGATCTATTAAACATTGTTGCAGAAACACCAGGTATGTCCACACTCGAAAACAAACTGCTTTAGTTTTATATTGGTTTTTATTATTTGCAAGAATCAAATACAAGCGAAAGTGTTCAATCAGCCACTTTGAATATGGATGCGATTACAGCTCTCAGTTATATATTCGAAGGTACACTTCATGATAATCTTCGCAAGATTGTTACATTCCATGAAATCCTTCAAAATCCATCGATTCAACATGAAATCGGCGTTGTAAGCGATAGCATTTTCTCTTGAATATCGTCTCATTCATCTCGCTTATAGAATAAATCGATTGTTCCATTTAAAAATCTGTCAAATCTAATTCGTCGTTCACTTATTGCGAATCCATTTCAAGTTGGCCAGACCATGAAACGTGGAACACTTTTACCGTTACCATTCAACAGTCAGCGATCATTTTCGATTCTGTATTGGAATAAACAATATGTCTTCGTTTAGATCCTACTCATGAACAAAGATCTGGCCGTGTTCTATGTAATTCAAATTTCGCGGATGAACGGTTAGGTTTTTTTTGTCGGACGATTGCCCCATAGATTTGATTCCTTTTAGACATCGATTTGTATTAATGACAATGATTAATCGATCTTTAAGTGATCAGGTAGTAAAAAAAAGAATGCTCAAATTCAATCTGCTTTCTCATTTCTTTATTTTCAGCAATCATCCGATATTACTAATGCAGAATTTCGTATACATCGATGCAGTTATTCATATATCTACATACTTGCTCCATTACGGTATCTATTCAAGTCGATTTGCAACATTCAAAACTTGTCTTACGTATCCCTGTTTAGATGCGTTGAAGTTCGTAAATGTCACAATGTAACAATCGTTCTTGGTGCTGTTGAAACAACATTGAAAGTCACCGATTGTGAAAATGTTTCCATATCTGCTGTATGTCGTCGATTACTAATCAGGTTTGTTCATCAATCTTGAATCTTATTCCAATCTATTCCAATCGCTTTCAGTCAATGTCGCTCATCATCTTTTTATATCCATACGCCATCACGACCATTAATTCAATTGAATTGTGCCGGCTTGTTATTCGCACCTTACAATTCCTCTCATGTGGAATTACTTGAACAAATGGAACACAGTGGTCTCTGCAAAGAACTTAATCTATGGAATAAACCATTAGTAACTCATCCAGCTGGATATGTTGATGAACAACCATGGTCATTGCTTCCACCAGACGATTTCTATCCAATCAGTTCGATTCGTTTAGAAGATCAACAAGCAGTAAGGATAGAACATAGAGATTTCGACAAACTAACTCGTTTGTTTTTGCCTAGGATGGTTTACTTCCACTTCCAGCGGAATATCAATCAGCAATGGATAAACGACAAAAGTCAATTTCGACTCTAGCTAATGAAATTACGGCTGCTCAATTGAATTCGGAACAACGCCAACGTTTTCAACGTTTTGTTGTGTCAAATTTCGAAGCATGGCTTGATGCAACAGGAAATGCGAAAATTCTGAATCATCTATCAAGTTTACAACAACAATAATCTCGATATTCTTTCTTTCGTCTTTTCTCTATCTCTTTGTCTCTCTCTCTCTCTCTCGCTCTTTCTTTTTTATACGAAAATCGTGACATATTTGTACAAAACAAAATCATCACAAAAATTAGCATATTAAAGTAATTCGATCCTTACTTTCTTCTATTTCTCTTCTGACAAAACACGAAAAGAACAGACAGACAAACAATACATGTATTTATAAAAATCACCGGAAGAACTCTCATTGTCCTTTACATATGAAAATAAATTAGGAATAATATGTCAGAACATTCTTTTGATTGCCACGCAAGAATAATAATGGAGGTAAATTGTAACTAATCGCATCTAAATATGCGAGGTAAAGACCAGCGGATATCGATTGTTTCCGTGGAATGGGTAATGTACTAAATGGAAGTCATTAGTTAAGATCTCAATGCTTAGATGATCATGGATACTTACACGATAATAAGTGTTGATTGAGAACTGTGCTCGATTAGATACTCGTGAAGGTTGAGTCCTCGTTTAATCTTTTCTTTGTTCATATCTAATTCTATGTCTGAAATTTTCCATGATTCATCTGTTGTCGAGAGATTTTTATTGTTTTGATGCCAAGCTTGCAGAAGTTGTTGGAATTTTTCGGTTTCACATTCGTTCGGTGGTTTGTTCAAACCGTGAAGAACATGTAAATCGGTGTATTTTATACGAAATTTTGTTAATAATGACGCCATAGCCACATGTTGTCTTTCTGCATCAGTTTTATCTCCAGGTACACATGAAAATATTCGAAGTTGACAATTACGCCAACGTTTTCGACGTCGCAGTAGGTACGGCAATAGTAAGGTTAATCCACCATCATCAAACAACCACCAAACATCGATTGTGTCAGCTGAGGCTTTCTTTGGACGAAATATATCCATGGTTAGTGAAATACCTTCACTCGCACCCGCATTTTTCAATATTAAACCGTCTATTTGCTGTGCGGCACTGTTGTTTACCTTTGGCATACGTCGTAGTGGACTTGAAATAACTGATTCATCGTTATCGTCGTCATCATCATCTTCATCGTCAGGCAAATCTGAAAAATACAATTTCATACATAAAGGAAAATGATCGGTATAGAAAAACAACAATATCAGTACCCGGTTGAAAAAAATCACTTTCGTCAAGTCCTGTTTGCAATCGTAGAATGCCAATACCATACTTGAGATGCAATGCATCATGAATAATATTGAAATAATCGATGGTTGCCATTGCATTAGCCGTCCAGTCATTCTTAAAACCAAGCACAGCGACATTTGGTCGCATTTTCCCTACTCCGACACACTGCATAAACACAGAAAAGTTGACTTGCATGAATATATACAATATTTTCATTGACATACTTGTAATAGTGCAATTGCTCCTTGTCGAAGACTAGGTTCGACAACAGGTTGATAGAATGCTTTTGCCGTACGTTGTTTTAACCATGTTTCTCCATCATCATTCTGTTTATACGGCAGATTTACTGTTGGATCATCCTTTGAACGAAACCAGCCGATATTTATCAATACAAATCAAGCGATTCTTTCTTACGTACTATAATAACATTCCCACAGATCATTAAACTACGACCATGAGTAACTAAGGAACAAAGATCGACTAAGACTGAACGATGAATTGGATTGCCAGTAAAAACCAACATTTGAGGTCGAAAATTCTTCACATGTTCTTGAATATCATCTAGTTTATGAGTTGCGTCAAGCGCACGACGATACGTATGCGCATGGGCCGTTGAACCCCAGTTGATTTCTAAATTAGAGCGATCCATCGTTTAAACTTCACTAATAACAAACAAACTTTATACCTGGTTTTGTTGTTCGAACGTAAAGATAGATTCCAATCATCACCAAAAATGTGAGCAAAGCCGCCCACCTTATTAGACATAATCTGTGTCAAATAATTCTTTTTGATGAATCATTCTTCTTACCAGTTAATGATAAACATAACAGCAACACAGGATATAGCTCCTGTTAATGCTAACCATTTGTTATAGTATCGAAAACCTGGTCGCCATCCACTGGCTTTGGCTAGGGAAGCATCGAAACATGCGTAATTAACCAACGCATAGGTCATAAGGAAAAAATTTGAAATTATTGGTGCAATCTTATTCAGTTCGCCTATAAACGAAGTAAAGAAATGTGGGTGATTCGTTTATCTCAAAAAAGATTGTCTTTACCAATTGCAGTAAACGAAACAGCAACAACATACGTTAGAAAATAGGCCCGTATGGGTTCATCAGATTTTCCATTACCAACAGCAAAATACTTCAAACGAGGAAATATCATATCGCGACAAACCGCTTGGAAGATTTTCGGAGCACCGACCAGACTGGCTACAAATAAATTCATCTTTTTCAACTTGAAATTAACTTTCAAATCTACCTAGAGCACTCGATAACGTTGCTGCAAAAATTCCAGCTAGACGAGAAAACAATCTTGCAAGACAATATTCGTCATAAAAGCATATTTGAACAAACCGGTGATTAAAGGTCCAAAGGCGGCTATCATTTTCATTGTTTGATAGTTATAAACTAACCCTGATTTACAATTCTTATCGTTCAAATCAACTGTACAGTTAACAATCTGCATTTCACTACCATTACGACGTTCGTAGTAATCCACTGAAATTTTCCAGTCTGACGCCTTACTCAAATCAAACGCATGACTTACAAGCAATTTCACGATGAGTAGTACAACCCGAGATGACACAAAAGGCAAGATAAACAAATGTTGTTATTCCGATCGCTACATTAGTACCTAATGGAATAGCTTTTGACGGGTTCTAGGTATATGGAAATTATTTATGCTGTAAATACGTCCTTGGGTTTGCATTACTTTTAAATTTCCCGATATATTCGCACCAGCGAGAATTCCTGTTACTGATGGGAAGAAAACGCCGAAAACATGCTGAAATGTTTCTCCATTGGTAAATCTTGGGCCGAAATTTTCCTTAATTATCTTCCCTAAAAAGAATTTCACCGATTAATTATTCTTCTAATGACTTCCTCTTGTTACATGAATAGCCTTCGAAACCATGTCGACGCTTATACGGTGTAACAGGCATCAGTGAACCAATAAAAAAGTCCAGAAGTGATGCACTTAGTGTAATAAGTAGTGTGATTTGCACAATAGTCTCCCCACGCATACCAATCAAGGCAATGCCCAAAATAATAGTCATTGTAATCACTCCTGCCAAGACGGGAGTTCATAGACCAGTTGTTCATTATTTATATTAAAACACTTACCAATAATGCGTACAATATTTACTGATCCTCCGTCGATTACTGTTCCAAAAATCTTCACCCCGTACTCCTAGATATCTCTATGAATTACGAAATAATCTGCAATTCAACTTGAGTTACTTTCAGAAGATCACAAACTGTTTCAGCAAAACCAATTGTATACATCGCTGCAGCAACTGCGTCTATTCAAACAGTTAGTAGAATCGGATTGAATATTCGACTTGTCCTTACTAACGAAAGAAAATATCAAGCCGATAGCACCTCCAAATTCCGGACCAAGACTGCGTGAAATCAGATAATAAGTTCCACCACCCTTGACTTCCCCATTGGTACATATCGCACTCATTGATAATGATGTTAAAATGGTGACGACCGTTGAAATGATGATGATTATACACGCTAAACCAATACCGGCTTGACCTGTAACCCAAGATAGACGAAGAAACAACATGACACCGAAGATGTTCAATACGCAGCGAATCTATCATAGAAACATGAAAATCATTTTAAACTAAAGCAGATAAACGACATACAAGAACGCCAATAATCCATCCAAATTTAACAATTTCAGGTTTTGGTTTAATTTCTGCTTTGATTGGTTGATCAGACGGTATCATAACTGAACTAACCATTTCGCTGTTCAGATCGATCGTTGATGCTAAATTCAGTTTCGATGACGCACATTTTGTTCCATGCAATGCTTCTAATGTTGGTCGAGTTTTTGGCTCTGAAGATGTGAATGAAAATAGATTCCGATAATGATCACTATGCGGTAATGCTTCGATCGTATCATAGGTGCCGGGTTGTTCATTAACCGTAAGACTGTCAGTCTTTTGATCGAAAAGTACTTTTTTCTTCGATTCACTCGAATTTGTCGATGACGTGAAATCTTTCCAAATGAATCAGATGAAAACCGTTCTGTGAGGATTTCTTCAAACACTTACTTAAAGGAACACTCGATGTTTTATCTAATGCCTTTTTTGAATTCGAAGAATCTTCGGGTCCATCGTCGTCGTCATCAAATACTTTTTCAATTTGAAACCGAACGCTACTTGTCGATCGATCTAATTTACTTGACTGAGCAATAATTTTATTAATTGAATTATTCGCATTAGACATTATTGAGAATTGTAATCATCTAGAAAACATATTAATTTTGACATCGAACTTTCTCACGTCTTCATATAGAATGTTAAGCTTTTCTCTCCCTCTTTTCTACACGTTTTCAGTAATGTTTTGTTCCTATTTTTATGCATTAAAATATTCTCTAGTCTGTCAAAAAGAAAGACAACAGCTCTGTGAAACGTACGCTGAGTACAAATCACTAATGGCGCTTCACGTGTTGTTGATATGCGACAGAAAGGTAGAATAATATTGACAAAAGGTTCAATAGAAGAAAAATATATAAGCATACCACTCCCTAAAAAGCTTCAAACGAGTTCAGCAAGTGAGGTGCATGTTTTATTTGAGTTTTTTTCTGCCTACTTACTTCCCAGAAGGAGAACATAATCATCAAGGTCCACAGTAAGCAACTAAAGACACGCACTTAGAAAAACGGAAAAAATGATAGACTACGAGACATGAAGAACGAGAAAAAGAGAGATTCCCATTACATTTTTCTTTTGCTCTTTTCGGTTTCTCTTACACATGGTATGGAATAATTTGACTCATGTTCTTGAAAAGTCAATCAAATAGTTTTTAAACTCAAAGACTTTCATTCCCGTGAACATTCCTCACTTTCAACATGTCCTCAGAAGAGGATATAATGAACAGTGACAGAATAAAAATAAACCGAGTTCTTCCTTCGTGACTGAGGAATATACATATGAAAGGAAAGAAAACTGTCGCAGTGATCAATACTTTTTCTCAAATGAATTGATGCTCTTGCATAATCAATCATTCTATTCATAATAATCAAATCGTAGTTGACTCACTGGTGTATAGAATCGACTTAGTAATGATTACATATGTTGGTTAGCGTAACAAGTAACGCACTTATAATTAGCAGCTTCCAATCGATTCGTCCAGACATTCTTAACACCAGCACGTGTTTATCTTTGCTTTATGTAAGAAAAATATTCCACCGTTCTCTACGGCTGACCTTGGCACGTCTCACCAGGACATCCAGTTGTGCAGCAGCAGTAGCTTGTCATAGAATCAATACCCAGGCATTTTTGTGCCGAAAGAAAGTTTCTCGAATTGAATCTCAACAAAAGCTGGTGCCAAGTACAATGACGACACAGAAAACTTCGATAGACGCAAGAACCGACTGACAGTGATCATGTAAAACTGCAATGTCATTTTTTGATTGTCTGCTTCAAGACCTTGTATTGACTCGAACAATGGATTCTTATTGATGAATGACATCATTATGAAGTGAGACACGAGATTTCTGAATGACAAAACTCGGTGTCAGAAATAAATGTCGTCGTACGAGTTCATTTCCTTTTCCTGAGAATTAGTTTCTTTTCTTAGCACATTTTGACACTCGTCATTCATCGCATTCAGCATCAAGAATTTATTTAAATTTGATCATAAATAGCCGGATGAAACACGATCGGCAAAGGTGTGGAAAATCGTACCTAATAAAATCAATAGACTGATTAGAATGTTTTTCTAATCAAGACAACCACACGTGTATTGTCTCTGATGTTGCCGTGTTTCTTTTTATGAGGACATTCATGAATCGAAATGAGTCCTCCGATCTACCGGCATATTATCATTTCGATATTCGTCGTATTGCATCAAAGTTTACCTGATGATTAATAGCATCTCTTGAGATTTGCTTCGAGACTTTTTATCTTTGTGATGATTTGCTTTTGCCCAATGTTCTTTTAATTGTTCGTATGTTCGATAAGATGGATGAGACATGCTGCTACTGAATTATTTCAATTGCCGATCATAATCATTTTTATTGTCATTCGTACTCGTGTTAAGCTTGCCTCGTTAAAAGCTCATTTTTCATTTTTCTTCATCGGTCTACAGGAACTGATTCACAAGACAATGATCTCCTCCTGATCAAGACGCGCATTGCCTGGTAGCTATTTTTCTTTTGATTAGTGATCGATTGAGCGGCGAATTCTCTCTTTAATTGTGTTACATCAATATCACACCGCTTGAGATTGTCAGAAGAAAGAAGAATGCCTTTCACAACATTGAATGCTTCATTGAACACGGTTGCATCTTCTTCTAATTGAGATACTCATACTCGAACAATCTTGAACCAACTGAGGAGAAGATACGTTTCCATCGACCTTTCAACTCGTTAGCGACCTTCCGAAAAAGGACGAACACTTTCTTTTATCTTTAGTATAATTCTTCGACACTTATACTAGACTGAAAATGATATGACTGTGACAGTTATTTCAACTCATTCATCTTCCTTTACTGACAAATGAGTAATGCCTTTTACCTTGTTCTTTTCACTCGCATCACTTCCATTCTCTTTACTTCTATCGTCATTGATCATTAAACGAAATTCATTACCATTGATTGGGCATACTTTTACATGTTTCAAAACATAGACGTGCTCGTTTTCTTTTTTCGCTTCTGTTTACGTGCACGTAGTAGGTAATAACAACTTCTGTCAACGATAATAAATGCATTTTGATCATGCGTGGCGTATGGTTGGATAGGGCAAGAGAAAAAAACGAAAGAAGGTAATTATACCTATACAGAGAGTAGGAAAGTATCTGCTCGCCTATACCATAAATCAAAATTGGCAAGTTAGAAACACCCTCGTCGTCAATCACGAATACAAGAAAGTGGTTCTTCTCTCCTCTCTCTCTCTCTCACTCATTCGTGGAGATTGCTTCAGGGTTTTGTCTCAAAATCTGTTTGATGTTTGATTTGTTAACACGTATTTCAATAGTATGACACTCTTCGCTTTATCTTCCTGTTCTCGGTGATTTTATTGGTCGGCGAGAAAATTGCCTTTTTATCGAATGAGAAACGAGAAAGAGGAAAGAGAAAAAAGCAGAAGCAACTCATCCATATTACAATATATTTCTTTTGAGAGAATATCGAGAAAATCATTTTGACTTTCATAGACATCAAACATTCCATTCGAGACAGACTATATTATGGTTAAAACTGAACATAATCACTCGGTATCGTCTTGGAATAATACGACTCATCAATCACAACCGGATTACTACATGAATACGCCGTCAAATTCTTATGGAAACGCGGGTTTAATCATTAGTGACACGAATTCGACTACCGAGAAAATATCCTCGCCATCGACAACCGACTTTAATTCATCGACATTGCCCAATCGTAAAGAAATCTATCCGTGGATGAATGACAAGAAACATGGAAGTAAAAAATCGAAAAGCAATGCAAAAAATCTCAACACAACTTCGACCTCTTCAGCATCTTCTTCTTCCGGTAAACATTTTCCCTCAAATTTTCATTCAAAGAGAATAGAATTTTCTAAGACCATCTCTCCAAAGTTATCATGCGAGAACCAACATAGGATTTCATTGGTTCGTACTAAATCATGCAGAAAATTTCAAGGATCAATGATTTTGTTATTGATATTACAATGAAAAACAACAAAATTGTTTATAAAATGCCCACAAGTGTCAATCTATCGAAGGAAATTTTTTTCCATTGCATATTCTCGATGATATACATGTTTTTCATCTTTCTATCTGCTGGCAGACCGATGTAGAACTTTTGTAAGACATTGATAAATGAGTGTATCATTACTCATCTAATGTCATGCTGTCTTTTTCTTCGAGAATAGAGAAGCTTATCATCGATGGGATATAGTTTATTTCTTTTGCATAGATAAAAGCAATTCAGCACCGTCGAAACGAGCTCGAACAGCTTATACAAGCGCTCAATTAGTTGAACTCGAGAAAGAATTTCTCTATAGTAAATATCTAAATCGACCCCGACGGATTGAACTTGCACAAACACTTTGTTTAACTGAACGACAGGTAAGAGATTTTGATTTTCTATATGAAAAACTAAACTCTCTTGCTCTCATTTTATCTTTTCAATTTGCGGTTTGCAGATTAAGGTAAACAAATTCTCTGAAATTTAGGGGAAAAACTCACTTTTTTATGATATTTAGATATGGTTTCAAAATCGTCGGATGAAAGACAAAAAAGACGGCAAAAATCGCACATCATATACGAATGGATGTGGAATGCATCTGAACAACTCGCCTCTAGCAACATCAACAACTGAAAAAGATGACTTAACTCTTCGTTCCTACCATTCTCCTCATCCTCATCATGCTTATTATCAACATCAACTTCCTCCGCCGCCATCGTCATCAATGTCCGTCCCATTTCATTCTCAAGTTAGTTACAATTCACAATCGTCTGCAATCGATACATATGACATGTCGACAAACTATCCAATGAAACAATCGAATTACTATACTAATGGAAATCATCACAAGTTAAGTTACAACTCAACACCATACGATAATTATTACTTCAATTCAGAAAATTCAGCGATAAATCATCAACAATCCGGTCCAATGTTACCATCGTTCAATTAAAACACTGTTTTTGTTTTTTTTCTCTAGTCTTATATCAAAGTTTTCTTTTGTATAATATATCAATTGACTAAAAGCATATATGGGTACGTCTGCACCATTCATAGAAACCCTATGGCGGAGGTGTTAATACGAAGGAATGTTCGTTAAGATACGGTTGTTTGCTTTTTTAGTCGAGACTGATACAAATATGTTTGTATATGAAAAACGAAAAAAGGTAAAAACGAAGGCATTTCACGTTCGTGATTTTGTGTAGACATATCTCTTGACGTAAGAAGGACGAATGATGGCTGTAACTACCTCAGCGGAGAAAAAGATACACTTTCAGTTTGTACCTGTATTCACATACATAAAAATCGATCAATGTCACAGAACTTCTACCAATATCCTAATATTCTTATTCATTGATAGATAATTTCTGATGACAATTCGTTAGTTTCATCTTACGTTCGATAAAACGCGAACAAGGAACGAAAAAATGATTTCATTTTTTGAAGCACGTTGTTGAAACGAGTTATCTTTCTTCTTACTTTATATTATCCTTTTTACTCTTTCTTCAGTCAATCATCCGTGCAACGAACAATATACTTTATAACGCATAAAATGCACAGTCATTTATGATTCAAATCAAGTAACATTCATTCACAATGATATCTCCGACACCAGTACAAATTATGACCACTCAGCCACTGAATCAAACCGAGTCAGCAACGGATTCAGCAGAATTATCTACTGTAACATCGTAAGTCAACTCAGCCGTCGTCAGTAATTATTCTTCTATCGATTTTAGATCATCACCATTATCAACTGAAACCGATCCACGTTTAATTGACAAACCCGAATATTTATCACAACTACTAAAAGACAAACGACAACTAGCCGTCTTGCCTAGTAATCTATTCATTCATATGGAGCGTTTACTCGATCAAGGTACGCGTTTTTGACTCGACAATCTGCTCATTCTTGTCACTCATTGTAGAGATCAATAAAGTTCGCGTGAATTTATACAGTTCAAATTGCCCACCGCAACTCATTCTACCTGAAATTACCGGCGAACGAAAAATCTTCCAGGAAAAGATCTACATTCCTGTCCAACAATATCCCGATGTAAGTTCAGGGCAAAACGAGATTTTCCCAGTTAATCGATACAAAACCGATCATTTGTTTTATCATCATTCTTTACTTTTGCCTACTGGAGTTTGAAAGTTTTCATACTCTAGATTTGCTAGTACGGCGATTTGTATAAATCTCTACGGTAATTTCTAACGATTCTAGTCGAAACAACGTTTCTTTTTATCTCAATCCGACAAGCAAAACCCCCAACGTCACTTCTCTTCTGATTTTTTAAATGCCCCTTCTTGTCTATTCTGATCCCTGCTTATGCACAGAACAACCCAATCACCAAAATAACGAAACTAATTTCGTCTCATTCAATCTGTTGATATAATATAACCAAATGATACTTTTCCCCTAGTATTCTACCTGAATTATTCGGATAACCTACATAACGGTTGACGATTATCTCAGCAAAACCTTAGTTTTTGTATTGTTTATAGTTTAATTTTGTCGGACGTCTTTTGGGACCGCGAGGAATGACATCGAAACAATTGGAAGCGCAAACAGACTGTAAAATCATGATCCGTGGTCGAGGATCTATGCGAGACAAACAAAAAGTATTCGTAGATCAGTCTTGTATCTCATGCTTTTAGGATAGCTTTATTTCTGAATAGGAAGAACTTCATCGTGGCAAACCGAGCTGGGAACATTTGGATGACGATCTACATGTTTTAATACAATGTGAAGATTATGAAAATCGCGCTAAGATGAAACTCGAACGAGCGAAAGAAGAAATCAATAAATTACTGATCCCATCGGTAAGTCATTTGTTTTCATCTAACAAAGACAATTGCGTTCCGTCGTTTTTCACTAGACGGACGGTGATGATTATATTAAAAAGAAACAATTAGCAGAATTAGCCATTATCAACGGAACATACCGTGATTCGAACTTTCTAGCCAAAAGAACTTTGTATACCGACAATCAGATACCAATCGGCGCTCCTTTAATTATCACACCACACATTCCTCAAGCGTTTCTTTCAGAATCATTTCCATCGACGGTGGCCCCAAATTTATTTACACCAACGCATGCATCGTCAATATCTCAAACATCATTCATTTCAAACCAGGACCCAAATTTGGTTCAAATCTTAGCACCACTGCCGACGTTTGACCAGCTAGGAGCAAGTTTTGTTACCAATGGAACACATTTAGTTGAGTATCCGAATCAATCGAGTACGATCAATTTCTACTACCAATCCTTCATAGGACTGTCGTTCTTCTATTTTTAGCATATCCAGTATTTACGACGCCGACATCAACGACAGGTAGTATAAACAATGAAAAGAAGAAGAGAGAAAAGCGTTTTGTAGGAAATAATAAAACCTCTTCACCTATAGAAATAATCATAAATGAATCTCTTTATCTAATTTGATTTTCTTTTTCTATTATATTAGGTGTATCTCCTCGCTCCATGATAAGCAATCCTTCGCGTCATGCAACATCATCGACGAATGCCAGTCTTTCTGCTCGATATCAACCATATACGATTCAATCACCTCATATAAAACGTCCTTGAGTAGGTGACTTTTTGGTTTTATTATCGAAATAACCAATAAATCGCTATTTATTCATGAAGTGTACGTTTTTTTATTTGCCCGGGCGTACAAAATCAACACGGGAAGCAACGTTCACTGAGAAAAGTAATAATTAACATGGAGTGAGAGAAGTATACGGAAGCCGACATTCTTCCCAGCATTTTGATTTTCAAATTAGACTGAAAAATAGGGTCTTTTTTTCATATGAAAAGCAACACTTGCAACAACAAAAAATGTCTCGGTCAGGCGACATCGAGCTTGAAGTGTGTGTTTATTAATTATCTCTCCTCTTCGAAAGCAACGAACTACAAGAGCAAATCAAATAAACCCCAAGAGTTTATCTTCTTTTGTTCCAATGCGAATCTCTCACACTCATGATGTTCCTATTGGAACAGTTTCGTTCGAATAATTCAGACATTTAACTAAAACTTTCCAAGAAGAATGTCTAGTTCAAAGAAAATGAAAAATATTCGCACATTATCATTACTAAATTACAAGTTCATGTCAAAGAAATGATGAATGAATGAATATGCACCGGGGACATACAAAGACATCTTGTCAGGCCACAAATAATATCCATGGACGAGAGAACAAAAGATCTTTTTCATGAAAATATCGTGAAAAAAAATGTTATTTTTCTCGTTTGTTTTCTCCTTTGTGCTCAGTCATTCGCCTTATTTACATACATATATATACATACTATTCTTTTACTGTGACAGATGGACGATAAATACGTCGGTGTCTATGTACTAACAGAGAGAATCTAGAAAATCATTTTCATTCTTTATCTTCGTCATCGAACACCATTCGAGTGATACCACGGACAAACAGACATGAGTCACAGTTTAGCAAGAAAATTCGATAAAATTGTGTCGAAATTATCGAATAAACATAAAGATGTGAAACAACACGTCAGCGATCCCGTTAATTATCATTGTTACCAAGAAGATCCTGTTAATAATGGCGAAACGCAACCACAAGAATCGATTCTACAACGAATGAAACTCCATTTAGGCCATATAAACAAATCCGACCATTCGCAACATCCTGAAGGTGTACCACCGAGCCATGTTATCGTCGAAGATTTAAAGAATTCGCCATTCAAAGGTAAAGAAACTTGACTTTATTGCTTTTGACAAAGACATGTTAGTTTCTCTCCTCCTTCACATACGATGTTTCAATTACGAAGATGTACGTCATTTGATATGCATACTTTTCTTCTATATATATATATATCATTCTATACTTGTGATAATAATGTCTCCCACTTGTAAAGTTTGACAATGTAATTGAGAAGAAAATCTCTTTCGCAAACATAAACTCCACTGTGGACTTGCAGAGCGGAATCAAAACGCCAAGAAGAAAACATCGTTTTTGTTCACATTCTCCTATTCAATGTCGAATAATTCTCGTTTTCGTACTTATATTACAATTGATCGCCCATTTGGTGACTATTACAGGCGGTTAAATCAAACCACGCATACTCATCGTAAGTGATCGAATCTCTATCTGTCTCTATTCATCTTCAATAACAACAACAAAAAGGCCTGCGATGTTGAACAGGAAGTTAACCACTCAGTATGTGTCAAGTATCATTGATTCTTTGGGTATTGCTGTTTTGTATATATTATTAGTCAATATAAAATCACACGACAATGCATGTTGTCTTGCGATTGTGAAAATTACACATTAGCATACGAAAGGCAGTTGGAGAGAGAGAGAGAGAGTAAAAAAACCGAACGTTTGAAATGTGTTTTTTGGGTCAGAAAGACCTCTTTTCCTTGTGCTTTTGTTTGTATTGAAGGGTGCGCATACAACAATAGAATAAAGAAGCCATTGAATTAATTTTGATGGACACGAGTTAATTAAAAGAAAGCCATTGAAGAAGAAAAAAAAGTATCATATTTTCTTTCTCTCTTTCTTTTTCTCCTATAATCTATTGTTTAACATCGAAGAAAAATTGATACATCGTTTTCAAGGTAATATAATTTTTCTCCTCTGCTGTTCTTTACTAACCTATGTAATTTTCGTTCATTATCTTTTTTTATTGTGGAAGAATAGGAGAGAGAAAGAGAGAGAGAGAGAAGCCAAGGGGGAGGAAGAAAACTCATCCTCAGATGAATTAGAGTTCGATGTCTAGTTTCTTATCCTTTCTTTACTTCTCTCGACAGTAAGTAATCGTTTAGATTCGATAGACGAAAGAGATCTGCTTTAGACAAAACTTCTATCTTGTCTTGATGTTCTGAGTTCAATTCAATTGAGATGAAAAGCATATGCGCGTAAGAATTTTCTTCTCCAGAATTGAGTGACGTCGTCGTGTTATAGTACGTCTATTTTAGCGTGTAATCCGCAAGAAAAAACGATGATGATATAGAACAAAACATGAACTATGCTTTCTACTGCTAGTGACGTTCTTACTGATCATATTAGAATCAGCATAGTCAGTCTTTGACGAGAAATACACATACTATTGTTTCTCAATGTGACGCATGTCAAAGATGATAGTCATGCAAAGTTTCTTTTCTTCCTCATCTTCGTCATTAAGTTCTTCCATAAAATCATCTCAAGGGGCAATAATGAAATAGATTAATTTTCGAAATTATCATTTACTAAAGTGTAGTTTCTTTTTTTTTCGAAAGTACTTTTTCTTCTGTTCGAGTGGTTTCCAATTGGCAAATTCGTTTTTTCTTGTTTCTCATAATGTATATGTGTCTCGAGGTTGCCAGTTCAGAACGGCGATGACATCCATCATTTCGACTTGTTATTTTCTTGCTACATTTGCATTTGAATATGTCGCCATGATGATGTGCGTTTCTTCCCCTTGTCAATATCCGAAATAATGAAATGATCTTCGAATGAATGTAAGACAAAAACAGAAAAGAATTATGATTAATGAGATGATCTAATGACATAGAAAGTTTCGAGAATTAGTCGTCTTGTTTTCCTTCCCCGTCGTCGTCTGGCCACCTTTAGTTTATTGCCGATGTCATAAGGTCATTAATTAAACATGATCAAAAGACTTTCGTAAAGGTGATCATCGTGTCAGTGTGTATCCGCAAAGGAGAAAATTTTTGTACGAAGCCCAATCATGTAGAATTCACGGTCGAAAAAGACTTTTTTTTGCGTGCGAATAAAACAAAGAATGGCTCATATGAATTCTTCTATTATTTGGATTTCATATGAAAGGAAAAAAGAAGAAATCTGAATTCACCTTTAGAATATATGTAATGAGTACGAGTCGCGCTTTTCACTGAGTGAGAATAGATAAGAGCTTCACCGTCTTTTTATACTCTTTTACTTATTCATCATCATTTATTTTAGTTCTTCTTACGCATGCACCAATGGGTAACGGTCCGTCTTCATCATCGTCGTCGAATAATACAAGTTCGTCAGCACTCGGAGGTATTCCAAGTGAATTGTATAAACAAGCACGTGAAGAATTCGACAGTCGTTATGCAGTTCCAGCAACATTTACATTAGTTTACCGCGATTTTCAAATCCTTCGGCCACTCGGACGTGGCGCGTTTGGTTCGGTAAAAGAAGTTAAATGTATCCGTGATCCATTGCCTGATTACCTTCAATCGAGCGATAATTCATTAAAATCTCATCGAATCGCATTGAAAATTATTAATAAGAAAAGTGCACATAAAATGAAACAAGAAGATCACGTTGTCAATGAAAAACGCATCTTACAATCTCTCAATTTCCCGTTCATCATTCGATTTTACTTCTCGTTTAAAGATAATGCGAATCTTTACATTGGTTTGGAATTAATCGAAGGCGGAGAACTCTTTCGACACTTACGCGATTGTGAAAAATTCGATGAGAAAAAAGCAAAATTCTATGCATCTCAAATCATTCTAGCCTTAGAATATCTTCATTTGTTAGGAATTATCTATCGTGATCTCAAAGTAACAAACAGTTTCACATGGCTTACAACGAATCTCATTTCGACTTTGTTTTAGCCTGAAAATTTGCTCATCGATCGACATGGTTATATCAAAATGTGTGATTTTGGTGAGACGGTGGATTCTTCTTTGGATCTCGAACAATTCTTTCGAATAATTTTAGGATTTGCCAAAAAAATCGATCGAGGTAAAGCGTATACACTCTGTGGTACACCTGAGTTTCTGGCACCGGAAATCATTCTTGGTCGTGGGTACAACATGGGAGGTAAGACAGAAACCGAGTAAGATACTCGATGAACTTCATTTTCTAGTCGATTATTGGGCGTTGGGTGTACTGATATTCGAAATGAATGCCGGTTATTCTCCATTCTGGGTAAATCATTTACTTTCATCGGTGAATTTCCTTTTCAAATTCATTTGTTTAGGATGCTGATCAACAAAAGATTTACCATAAGATTATCAATGGAAAATTTCGACCACGTTCTGCTTTTTCTGATAATTTAATCGATGTTATTCGTGGTTTATTACAGAAAGATTTAACCAAACGACTCGGTATGATGTTCAATGGTGTTAATGATATTAAAAAACATCCGTGGTTTCGTGATATTGACTGGTTGCAGATCTTCTTGAAAAAAGTTCGCGCACCATGGATTCCTGACGTGCGTGCGAATAACTTTCCCGACGCTGAAGATGAAGAGCCAGCTCGTTCATCGGTTAATCTATATGAAAAAGAATTCTCTGATTTTTAATCTTTCTTTTCCTCTTTATCAGTGTACGTGTCTGTATCAATTTTGCAATGTCTTTCTTTTTATTTTGTCTCTTCAATACTTACGAAATAAGTTCTTGATATTCAATTACAAAAATAACAATGTCTGGCGACAGATTTATTTGATCTTTCCAATGAATGAATAATTCAATCAACAGGAATCAGTTAGATTAGATTTGACAGGGAGACTAACAAAGCAGACTGCAAGACACGAGCGTCATAAATACTGATTTGACTTCATTAGGATGCAGTGCATGGCCTCAGGCTATGAAAGAACTGTGAGCACTGATTGCCATAGAAACTTGATCGATATTTTCTCATGGAGAGATCTGTTTTTTTCCTTCGTGAATCACTGCTGTGCAAAGATCAACTCATTGGACTTTTTGTTTGTTGCTATCTGATAAGATTATGTGACTCTACAAATAGTCTCGTTGCATTTGCTATTCTACCAGTTGTTATCTCTACTTCGAGTCACTAAAGAATGGGCGGATCGGGTAAGAAACAATCTCTTATTTCGTATTTCGATAATTTCATCTCTTTCCAGTGAAAGACAGCTGTTCTTCGCTGTTCAGCAGCGTGTTATTTTCGTATTCCACAGTTAAGTTAGTTAAGGTGCCTAACACACCGATTGGCATACTCAATCGGATTCTTCAATTAGTTATTCTATTGTATATCATCGGGTAAGGATTTTTCGTACTAACACTTGAAAAAACTTTACTCGTTGAACTGCTTCTTCAGCTATATTGTCGTATGGAAAAGAGGATATCAACAATTCCAAGAACCACATGGAACGAGTGTCATCAAAGTCAAAGGCATCGCTCGAGTTACAGGAAGTGGCAATTCAACTTACTTCACGAGTACGTTTTCTTCTTCACTGGAAATAACTCCAATTGAATTTACTCAGGCGACGATACAAAATACATCTGGGATACAGCGGAATATGAAATACCGCCAATAGTATGTAGAGAGTATTTACATTTCTCCTTCGTTCACCGAAGTTCTTTAAGGAAAACAATGCGTTTTTCGTGGCGACACATCAAACTATAACCCGAAATCAAACACAAGGAAAATGTCCAACTGTAATTTCTTTACGTTTCTTCTCTTTTTATTACAAAATTTCTCTTTTCATCAAATTAGGCATTAGACGATAAACTATTCTGTACTGCAAAAAACAAAACAATCTGCGCCGCTGGCAAACCAACGCGTAATACTTTCGGTAAGATAATTCCATTTTCAAGCTCAATCGCTTAATAGTCCTTCAGGCTTTTATACTGGCGACTGTGTTCCAAGTCGCGAAGATGACAATATCACCGTATGTGAAATGGAAGGATGGTGTCCGGAGGAACTCTCCGATTCATTGTAAGACTCTTTTGAAAATTTTGATGGTAGTAGAAACTTTTCCATAGGGATTATGTTATCAATGAACAAGACCTACGAAGTTTTACGATATTCCTTAAAACAATGATTTCATTTTCATTATTCAAAAAGAAACTGTAAGTTCATCAAAACAATTTTATCTTCGAAGTATAGTTTGTTGTTTAGACGAAATATTCAAACGGATGTGGATTTTCAATGCCGATTTGACGGTACTGCAGCAACTGCTGGTTGTCCAATATTTCCGATGGGCTATATTCTTGATCAACTCGATACCAATAAAACAGCACTTCTGCTTGAAGTAAGTCATATTTAAAAGAATTGATGATAAACGAACGGTTTGTTTCAGGGTGGTTTAATCGAGATTCTTCAAGACTGGTCATGTAATTTTGATCTTCATCCGAAATCATGTACACCTAAGTACGAATTTTCACTTCTACAAAGCGGCGACGACGCACAATCACCAGGAATCAACTATCGGTAGGACACAACATGCTTCCCGTGTTCTTCTAGTAGTCTCTTTTCTTAAAATGTTAGATCTGCACAGAAATATTATGAAGGTGGACGAGATCGTCGAACATTAAGCAAAGTCTATGGGCTACGTTTTGTTGTAACCATATCCGGTAAAGGTGGACAATTCAATATTGTGAATCTATTTGTTGCTATTGGTAAAATAAGCATCCGTTGTGATTTGTAAACATGTTCCCTTTGTCTCTGTATTTAGGTTCAGGTATTGGCTTTATGGTAATTGCAGGAATTGTATGTGACGCAATATTTATGTACGTTCATCGATCTCGTCGAAAGTATCGAGAAGGAAAAATCAGTATATGTGAAGTGGAGGGCTATGATGCCTTGGCCTAATCAGTACTAGTTTGTTATGAAATAAAATCGTTTTCGGAATTAGTTATTCTAAGCATTCAGTTTTCATTGTCTAATATTGTCGATTACATTTATTCCCATTGATATTTGTGTTATACAATCTATTCGATATCTATATACATAGATGCGCAAAATACAACAAAAAAATAGATTCTCCGACCGGGCTTTTCCTTTCACAAGAAATATCCAACGCATATACATTATTTGACTTTTCTCTTTTCTATTTAACGTCGACTAGTAAAACGTAAATATCTTGGATCGAAATTGTGTTCATCCGATTTCACTGACGATTTCCTATTGCTCAAACGAATGAAATTCGTATGTAAAAGATCTTCATCAATGGCTAAGACTGCAGTAAGATCCAATGTATTATTATTATTATCACATTGATCTATATCTACGTTGGATTTAAAACGACGGCGATGCCGTTGGTCGCGCGGCTCTTGTTGTCTGTAGTTATTTTCAACTGTTGACTTTCCTATATGAGCTAAGCGAAGGTCGATAAGAGTTTGAACGATGTCATCAGCACAAATTCCTGTATCGATACTAAACGGCGAATGCATGACAATATTTCGAATAGAAATTCACTTGGACAACAAACCTTAATTGAGTAACACTGGCGTGAACCTGCGAACGGCGATATTCTTCGAGTTTAGTTAATATTGTCGCCTGCCAGTAACTTTTGTATGTCATTTGGCCAAGAGCTGATAGTGGTTTTTCCGGTGAACCTGTTTTCTTTTCCAATTTAGTTAATTCATAACCTAAACGAACGTACAGAAACATCCTTTGACGCCTATTCTTTTGAAAAGGAAAACTCACTCAACGAAATGAGAAAACGACCGAAGCCATTTCTTTGATAATGTGGTAATATCTGAAAGAAAAGCCTTAATTTAGATTCAAAGGGACAAAAGAGTCATTTCATTACCATTAAACAAGCGAGATTGTAACACTCATCACTTAATTTTTCCTATGAACAAAAAAGATCAAAGACTATTCACTTTGCAAAACGCATTTACTTTGGAAAAGTATCCAATAATATGCTGGACATTTTTCATTCGTTTGTCTGTTTCAACAAGAACGTAGAACAGAAATGGACTGACATCGAAATAGATTGTCTTCCGTTCGAGGAATAATTTTGCCAACAAACATAGACATTGGCAGTAGAGCTAGAACGCGAAACATTGTTAAATTTCGAAAAGTTCTTTCGAAATTTACTTGAGAGGCTATTCCGTCAACTTCATATACACATAAACCATTCGGATCTTCGTAAATTTTTCGACCGGGAGGATGACGATAATTGCATTCATTCTATCAAATTGATTTTAGTCGTTGCTTTCGATTTCATCATAGCAGATTTGCTCACCGTATGTCGATGATACTTCCGATTGTCGGAGAAATAACGCAAACAAAATTCGCAAATGAATAGTTTATCGACTATTCGGTTCTTCTCGTTTGATCCTTCGTCGGCATCAATGTATGGCGAATGAAACCAACAATCAATATCAACTTGTCCTAACTGTATTGATAAAATGTGCTTAGTATTATCTGGAATCTGAAACAGATAATGATGTCGATGACAATTGGATATAGGAAAGCAACTCTTACGTCGAGTTGTTCATCGTCATCACTGAATGAATCCTCATCTGCCATATGTAACTCTTATCTAGAAAAGAAATTGAAATCGAAGTTTCATATTTCTCATACAAATCTATTCCGTAAACAAAATAACACGAAAAGATGTTCAAACGGATGCCGATGTAGTAGGTATCGCCGCTAGATTTCTCGCTTGTTTTTCTTGCAGTTCTTTCTTGTAATCTATCAGAGCTTGTTCAGTAGGTGTCGGAACACGTCGCAACGCTCGATCATAGAAGGGGAACCGATTCGGTTGATTGTTCGCTTTAAATTCTAATTTATCAACGTGCCATCTGAAATAGTGATTGATTTTCAAAGTCGAAATGCTCGTCAATTGGATTGTAATACTTACTCGTCATCCAACGAATTTCTTGTTGCATAACAAAAGAGTGTACCTGATCGTTGTGCACCTCGAATGGGCAGTTGAAACTAAAAGAACTGTTTTGTCTTTCGTCAAGGGAAGTGCGATGGTTTACCTGTGCACTGAGAAGCGTTAATTTATTGAATTCATTGGATGTATCAATTTTTAGCGGTTTAATGGGTTCTATTAGTTTATCAGTAATAGGCTTGTAGCCACGTGCCAATACCAATGCTTCATCGTAAAAACTCTTCTCGGTAAAAATGCCTTAAAAATTCTAGTTTGTATTCGAATTGACCGGTTTATTAAGAAATTTTCTACTTGGATTGGGTTTCGCCATGTATTTGTATGTTGTGTAACCCGCGAGGGCCATTGTAGATCCAACTAAGGCGAATTTCAATGCCATGAATAATGAATCAATTAATTAGAATCAGAAACAATAGAACTGTTACTGCTGTGTTTAGTAACCGCATCTCTCATTGATCAAGCGAAATTCTTTGTTCACAAATCAAATTTATGGCAAATAATAGAATTGTGTACTAGTGCCATCTGTTGCTGAAGCTCGTTTATTTTACATATTTCACAAAAATATTTAAAAAAAAAGAACTGTTTATCGATTGAATAGTATTGATCTCATTTCCTTGTATCGGTTAAGTCGACGTTGGCCATATGAGAGATATTCATGTTCAACAGTAGCAAAGGCGACTTGTGCAAATGCCCATAGACCATAGCAGAGATGTGCTAAAGCGGAAAATTGTTCGATTTGTCGGTATGTTTTCTCTGGATCATCGAAACTTAATTTTCGTGCTTGAAAATATATCTTCAGCCAATGGTATTGCTCATTTCTTGTCGGACACCGATCGAAATTCATCTGATCGACACCTACATACTCAACGAAATGATTGGCGATGTCAAAAAGTGCATAATTTATTGCACTATATTCAAAATCGATGAACGAAATTGTTTGAGACGATGTATTATAAAGAATATTCGTACAAGCAAGGTCATTGTGACATAAGACTAAATCGATACCATATCGGGGATTGGGAAACATGGAAGGTAGAATGTCTTTTTCAATACAATCAATATCGAGACAAAGGGAAACAAAGTCTAGAAGATCGAAGAAGATAGTAGAACACTGATTTAGCGAGGTCAATTACCTTCGGGATAATGTTTATGATTAGTAATGATTAATTTCACGAATTTTTTAATTAACGGCATGAGACAGGGTTCGTGATATTGATTTTCAAGCGGAATGGAATGCAGTTTAGCCAAATGACGTGCGATCAATGGAGCAATGTGTATATCTCGAATGTAACTTTCTGTACAAACACTACCAGGGATAAATCTGTATATAATTCCATTTGTGAATTGAAGAAGAACTGGCTGAGCAAGGCCATGATTGACAAGAGTTGATAAAGTGGTTTTTTCACGATAACGATCAATGAATTCTTCGGTTTTAAATCCGTATATTTTAATCACAAGTGTATCCGATCGATCTGATTCACTATAAATGCCAAATGCTGTATTATTGATACCGCCAATCAGTTGATATAAGCGAAGATTAGAGGGAGACCAATTCGGTCGAAGTGAAGTGATTAAAGGATAAATATCTCGTAAAGTAAATTCTAATGGAAGCGTTACAGACGAACTTCTAGGTTGAGACATGTCAGAATAGGAATAATTTCAAAGAGAATAATGAATGTTCTTTTCGAGACGATTGATGTCTCTTATCCGACAGTCAAACAAGTGTCACGATTAAGTTTTATCATCATCTCATTCCTTTCTCCAAAAGAATGAGCGCTTTAGATATCATACGTAAAATGCGTATTTGTCTTAGATATTTTGATAAAGCGTTTAGATATCACGTTGACTACGCACATATATCAATATTCTACTCTCCACATCTTTAAAATAATATAAGTACACCGAGTATTTGTTACATTAGATTAATCTGTTTATTGATTTTCTCTCGAATAATTAAAAAAAATTGTTTCGCGCATCTATTGTAATTTGTATTTAACATAAGGAACATCAATGTCATTTCCATCAGAATCTTCGCATGATATATCGAGCACTAATGAACGAACATGTGGTGGAATTTTGCGTTTTGTTACTGTTTCATAGACTTCCGAAATTCTAGAAAACGAAGGATAAAAAATCATTTTCATGCAAATTGAATCATACTTTCGTTTCAAATCTTCTGCTTTTCCAGGCTGTCGCATCATATATGTATTGTACAGAAGACATAATCCCGACGAAAGCATTGTTGGTGTCAAATTATATTTTGTCTACAAGATAAATTATAGAAGAAAAACAGATTTCCATTTGCGTCTTACCTTGATATGTTCAAGAAATTGTTCTAAAGTTATGTCACCTTGAACTTCGAATCGATCCCAGAGTGTGAAAGGTGTATCGAGGTACTAGAATACAGAGATATGAGAAAATTTATGGTAAATAACCTCATCCTGGTCATACTTTTTTCTGTTGAGGTGGTGCTGGCTCTGTGAAGCTCCAGAATGGTAATGCTAAGTTTACGAACGCATTTTTGTATGCTTCAATCTTTTGATGGTTCTGTAAAAACTTGTAAACTTCAAGACAAACGAGACCAGTGACCATAGCTGTTGTTGTGGCAATGGCTGGAATGATATTGCCAGCAATTCGTTTGATCTTGCTACGATCAGCTGGTTGAATTTCGTAGTTTTCCGCTCGTAAATTAGCTGTAGCAGTGATATAATCCATATGGAAATTGCTATCATCGTCTTTTTCGAATTCATGCGCTCGGACTTGAATATTTCGAACTGAATCGAAATCTGGTAGACGCTTGAGAATGTCGGCAGGATCAGCCGTGTTCGTAATCGAATTTCGTCGTCGTTGGCGTTCCATATCCGCTGCCATTTGTTCGTCATCATCATGAATAGTTACGCCTGCTTTAGGTTGAAATTTAGCTACTTGGACTTGGGCAACTTCTCGAGCAATTAAATCACGATCTCGGGTTTGTGGAATATGGTGAATATAAGCAAGAAGATTCGATGCTGCAACAATGAAGTCTAAATGAGTGGGATTGTTAACATCGAATTCTAGGACATGTGGACATCGTTTATTTCCACTCCAAAAACGTTCACCCTTGGCTGTGACTTGATCATGAGGAAAATTGTGTAGTAATTGTCCGATTGTGTTGTGAAATTGTTCTTGAAAAAGATTTCGAGACTAGAAAAGAAAGATCTTGAGCTTTTCGGAACTACGGCTGCGGAAAAGATCTTTACCCATTTGATACAATCTTTGAAGTTTTGAGGTCGTTCTTGACCAAGTGTAAGTTTCACATTCTGAATAATCTCATTTCGATCGTACTCCGACAGACTCTTAGCGGTGCGTTCAGCAAACTCTTTGGGATCCTTTAAAAATTCTTCTGTTTGCTGTGCAGGATTGGTAAACAAACCAGCAAAGTTATCTCGTGCCCATTGGATGGTATGCTCAATGAGATTGGGGAAATTATGTAATAAACACATGGGAATTGATGCATCAGGTGGATCACGGGTAGACGAATAAGATTCAGTTAGGTCTGGTACAACAACTTGGACACTTGCTTTTGTACCTAGTGTACCACTGTCAATTAACGGTTTTTTGTAAAATACACAACGTTGATCGATATATTCACCTTTGAAAAGAAAACTATCAGTGAAAAGTTTTTATTTTCTACAAAAACATACGCGCTTTGACGTTATCAAGAGCATTGACAACACCGGTAAGTCCTTCGAAGAAGTTATCGTCATAAATATGCTCAGTTTCAGCAAGAACACCTTCAACGAACGCCGTGATATTTACCGACGGATTCATTTGTTTCACTGCTTCAGCAGCTACTTTCGATTTCATTTGCTACAAGAATGAAATCGATAAGAAATGAAAGTTCGTCGAAAATGGCAGAACACTTACACCAATATTCCATGGGCGAAAAAGAAATTGTCGATTCAAATTGGATTTTTCAATCGAATCCATATCAGTTACGTAAATAGCACCTTCTTTCGAACATCCAATGCCCATCATGACAAAATTTTTCAACATTTCACAACCGATGGCGCCTGAACCAACCTGAAGTGAACCGTCAAACTTACTTCTTAGTTTAGGAAAATAAACTCACGACAAAGTATTTTGATTGACAAATCGTTTTTTGGAAATCTTCGCCGAATACGATTTCTTGCGAATAGTAGCGTGATTTATTCGTAGGCAAGCTTGGTTTATAATCTTCATCACATCCTTGATGAAGCTTTTCAGGTAAACATTCGATGGCATCAAAATAAAAGAATTGTCGAATGGGCATGAATTTTCCCGTGACAGCCTATCGAGAGACACAAAATATGGGAAGAAAAGTTTCGCTTTTCTATTAACCTTCATCGCTTCTTGTGCAGAAATTCCACCGATGACTGCTTGCATGGGACATACGTCACCGGTACAAATCTTTGAGAATAATTTAATCCAGTGTTTGTTTAATTCATCTGTAAATGGTTTTTCTCGGTCTTTCGTGTTGAGTTCTTCGACTATTTCCAAGAATTTATTTGCATCAGCCTAAATTTTTCAGACAAAGAGAATATGAAAAGGGATGTTGTGCTTATCATACTTCGTCCCATGGTTGTGGTGCGGCACCCTGACGTTGTTGAAAGAGAGAAAGAGCTTGATATGCAAGATGAAGATTGGAAGGCATTGACATTTTAGCAAAGTCGCTTATCAGCATTTCTGGTTCAGCTAATGATTGAGAGAATGATTTCTATGAAAAAAATCTTTTCATACGCGTATAAATTCAACATTTCGAGACTTACAAATTTGATGATTTCTGGTTTTTTAACTTCAGTAACTGTTCCGCCACCTTCATAATTTCCGAAATTTCTCGTGTCCCCGATACCAAATGTGTATGGACCTTAAAGAAAGTAGCATCTGTGCGCTTAATTTTATTGTTTCTGAGAAAGAATTACTTGGAACAGTGATCTTGAATTCCTTGTTGTTAATCTCGCTCATTCCTTTGACACCTTGAAAAGTGACATATGTACCTTCCTCGAACCCATGTCGTGCATCAGTTCCTAGAAACACAACACCGTATTCGTCCTACAGAATATTCAATCGAATAAATTGTATTAGATGATAGTAATCAACGCATACATGAGTTATGTGTGTAACGACATGTGTTGTGGGATTTTCTCCATTCGTATCAAGTACTTGAAATTCTTCGCCGAAATCACAAAAGATTTGTCTGGGAAAACCGAAAAGATATGCTTATCGAAGGATCACCAAGGTCATTCTTACCCAAACAAGCCATTGGTATTAGCGATAATGAATTTAATTCCGGCTTGATGACAGTAATCTCCAACTTTAATTTGATTATCGAGACTTGCATTAGTCAATACAAGTACCTGTTTATACATGTATTTCGAAGGGACTATTAGATTTGAATGTTTGACCTACATTAATTTTATTCTTTGCTAAAAAGGCTTCGTCAATTGTTTCCATCGAGCATGTTACTGTCACGTAACTATTCAATTCCGAAAGTTTTTCTAAAGCAATCTCGGCGCGGTTCTGACCAATATTATCTTCGTTAAAGTAGTACTAGAAGAGTATGTTGTAAATGACATGTCCTATTGCGATAGTTATTGAGCATACTTGCGATGAAAGATCGGAATAATCCACCTTTCCACAGTCGTGAACAATAACTGATTTTACACCACCTAAAACAATGTTCTTAGCTATCTCGACGCCAAGACCAGTCATGCCGGAGATGAGAACATGAGCACGAGCTAATTGATGCATTGCTTCTTTTCCCAACACATAACTATCGATGGAACAGTGAATGGTAATTTATTTTAGTGGAAATAGGAGAAAAACAACTTACAGTTGCCGAGAAAAAAGACTCTCATCAATTTCAGGAGTTTCTACAGACATTTGTTGTTGCAGAGTCGATGACATCGTGTATTCGATACAATATTCTAAAACACCAATCGAAAGTAGATCCCCTGTGTATTTCAACAACAGCTAGACTATCTGTACAACACGAAATACAACGCATTTATACACTATGTCTCTTGCTGATTGCTTGAGCAAGAACATGACACGTAAAAAGGGTATAAATGTGAATCGAAAAAAACCCAAGAATGCACATACGACCAACTATTCTTTTTTTTCTATGCGTTGTGCATGAATCATCGGAAGGAAGAAAAAGACAAGTTGGTAAACTCGTGGTGTGCTGCTGTTGGTTGCTATTTCTCTTGCATTATCGAAGGAAAGTCAAACACCCTTTTTTTCTCCCATTCTGTCGTTCGTTATATGCTAGATGCATATAAAAGATCGATGCGCTTCCCCTGTCGATTCACTAAAGAAACGTCACACTCAAAAAGATTTGTCAATGTTGATTCATTCATTTAGTCATTTCAAATAATGTCATCTGACGTAGATATTATTCTTCATCTGCTACAATTTTAATCATGAGCATCGAACAAAGATGATGATGATTTTATTATACTGATTCAGAACGAACAGGATTCGATCGAAAAGTAGAGTAAAACGGAATTAAAGCCAATGCCACCTGATACGAATTCGACCAGCCGAAGTGCTACCTATTTTTGCAAAAGCTGCCTCGTTGAGATCCACATCACCCTACCATATCGTTTCAGGTACATTCAGTTAGATAGAAAAAGTCATTTTTTTACGAAACACATACCGTTTTACAAACAGGACACCGATCAACAATGGCAACATCAACACTTCCTGATGGTCCTTGAACACGCATTCGTCTATTACAAAGACTGTTCTTATTCGGATTTCCATTTGGTGTGTGTGGATCAAACTGAGGAGCATTCAACGCTGCAACCATGTCAAAACGTGAATGAAGTGTTCCACAAGCTGTGTAACCCACCGCAACTATTAAACTGAAAAGCATCGTTTAAAAAGTCATCCAGTGCAATATGTGAGATCTTTGAAAATCCTCACCTACGGTCGTTGTCAGACAAACTATTATATATCGAAAACATTGTAGCATAGTGTTGAGAAACATAATACATGTCACTTTCACGTAGTCCCATTACATCCACGTCACAGAAAATGATATCTGTTTTGTATTTTTCGATCAAGAATGAACAGTAATGGAGGAGTTTATTCCCTTTTCTGAAAGAAAGGGTTATAACGTCATAAATACAGTCATTAAAACGCATAAAGTTTTTTTCCATCATGCAATCAGGTTGCAGCATTTTATAAATCACTTAAAACTTAGCTATGGTGATTATGAAATGGTTGCTAGAAGGTAATTCCAGTCGAGAATCACGAACCCGTATATAATTTTTTCGAAAAAAGTTTCTGTCTCGTTTCGTACGCCAAAGAATCGTTTTCTGCAAAAAGAAATTTCTTTTATCTATGAGAGCTGACCGAAGGATTCTCGGAGTTGAAGACCATGAATCCGATATTAGTTTTTTAATAATAGGTTTGTTCTGTTTTTACGAGACGAAGAATGATTCTTCTGCAACGAAGCTTTTTAGGCAATAGCGTATTAAGGAGCAATATGTAGGACAAAACGAAATAGCTGAGTGACGTCCGATTGTTGGATTTCCGTAGTCATCAGCATATCAATGGCAACACAATTATTTAAACAGCTATCTTACACAAACATCATCTGCTGCCAGCCGCTCACAGTAACGATTCCTTTCTCAAGTGCGATTTCTGCGGGTCAAAGTAACACAAAAGTATTGACTTTTTAAGAAGGAAATGCATTGATTCGCTTCGAAAGTTATTCTAAACTAGATGAAAGAGTTAGAATGTACATGTCACGAATAGCCGTGAGTGACCGATCGAAGGGACGACGACGAATGACCAGACGTTTATTTGAGTTTCTCAGAGGAGATAAAATAACTGATAGTAAATTGATTTTCTCATTTTGCGCAATAGGAAGATAGTCGGTGAATAAATATTTTTAGACACAGTGTTCGTTTTGCTTCCATCCTTCGACAGATGACTTAAGAGTAATTCGACACGAATAAAGTAGAAAAGGATTAAAAGGAGAGGATGTGCATAGGAGTGACTTCACGTCTAAGCCGATTAGATTGCAATCTAAGTGATTTTTCATCTACCACTTTTCTAATTCTTTTAGAAAAGGTTCAGCCAGTCCAACCGATAAGCGCTACTTGTCTTCAGATGCCGTATAGGACGACCTCACGGATAAGTCATGACAACGAAGAGCATGAAAAAGAACGAGAAGAATGTTTTTCTCCACTTTGATGACGTCCATTTATTCTTATAATTCAACTGAAGTATATGTACGTGCATGATTTTTTAAAGAGAAGTATATTTTTCATCTCCCCTTCATGCATGACCAAGAGATCGATCAGATTAAGTGAATTGTATAGAAAATATGACAATGTATGTTGAATCGCCTTGACAGAGAGAGATCATTACGTTCACCTTACATTAGTTTTCTTTTCTTGCGTTCCGCGAGAGATGCACCTTTGCATCGCACTCTATTCTTCGTTCTGGCATAGTAACTATACTTTTTTACACTTTTGCGGTGCGTTTCAATCTTTGTTTGCTTGCTTTGCTATTCTCGTCCATTCTAATAATGAATGAAACAGATATTACACGACAGCAAAAAACGACCGCCTCTACTTGTAAAGTTTGTGGTGAATCTGCTCAATATTCGTACTATGGTGCAATCGTTTGTCGTTCATGCAAAGTTTTCTTTAGACGAAATATTCTGAAGAAATCGGTTCGTAGTCAGAGGTTACCAAAAAAAAACATCTGCTTCGAATCGTCTCATTTTTGTTTAGACGCCTCTAAGATGTGATTACGACGGAAACTGTGAAATCAATATCAATAATCGTCGGATATGTACGTATTGTCGATTAACAAAATGCTTTGCCGTGGGCATGACGAGTGATCTGATTCGAGGTCCTCAAACTGCAAAACATCGAAAAGCTGAGAGCAGAAGTTCAACAGTAACAGCGTTAGCCAGAATAAATGAAGCTTCATTGGTAAAAAGACATTTTCTGTTTTTCATTCCACCTTGTTACCTCTGAGGATCGTGTTTATGTTTAGATTCCTACCGTGAACCTATTACGAGCAGATCAATCTACGCTAAGTGTCGATCAATGGAATCAGATATCCAACATAGTTCATTGTTTTGACACTTACAGTGGTTTTGCGTTTGTTGAAAACTTTGTGAAGGAGCAGGATACGCTACCGCTGAAGTCTCGCTTCAAATACTCGTCAGTGAGTAACTTTTTCACGTCTGTGATGACGAGTGTTCAACTGGTTTTCGAAAAAAACCGCGATTTTCTCTCGTTATCTGCACATGATCGAAATACATTACTCCATCATACAGTCGAATACACCACGGGTGTCGGCGTTGCTTCTATGCTGTGTCAAGTGCAATTATTCGCAAATCCATCCTTTTTCAACTCTGCTGAACTTATTTTCCGACCACCAGCAGTTGCATCGTTTGTTCGTTTAATTGATCAACTTGATCCCGATGTGTCAGTGGTGAAACTGATGTGCGCAATACTTTCTTTTATGACGTCGAGATACACTACCTACTCGTCGACAGTGACTGCTAATTTATCTGACGTGATTGCAGTGATTCGAATTCAAGATATGTATGGAGATCTAGTCTGGCGATATCTTCTTTACAAATACAACTATCGCGATGCCGTTCTACGCTTTTTCAATTTGATTAAATGCTTTTTTCTGATCAACGATTCAATTGCTGAAGCATATGAAACACGAAAATATGCAGATATGATAAACTCTATTATTGAATCAACAGAAGAAACAGGAACTTGTCAAAATTAGCAGACTTCACTTTTTGGCTTGAATAAATCATCGTTCATCATCTGTTACATCAGAAACAAAGCAGGATTCTGTACTAATATCGCATGACGACGTCGATATGATGTCATCTGAGAGATGGTTGTGAAGTTCTTTTTTCATTTTCCACCGCCTGTATTGTGTCGGGTCAATTCAAAGACGGTGTGGATATATTGAACAAGTACAAAGCAATCAATTTATTAATGATAAATTACGAACAAATAAAGAACGTAAAAGGAAAAGTGAAAATTTGGTCGAAATGTTAAGCGCCATCTTGATTATCTCACGTACATCATCAGAATGACATCAAACCGTGACATAACCGTTATTTGACTTCTATTGGCATATACACTTGTTTTTTTCTTTTTTTTCACAATGATCAAAGTTGATTTCTTCGTATAGGTTCTGGTAATACTTTTCGTAAACATGTTGTGTAATGGAATCGAAGTTGTTATTCTTTGCATAATGGATGTCCAGGTCGTGAATGAGAATCAAATTACATATATCCGCATTATCTAATGAAAGACGTAATCATGTTTCAAAAACTAAATGTACAAACTTATCCATCTTTTCTTTGTTATTGCGGCCTTCCCAGGTTATTTTGGCACGATCGGTTAGGTTCGTTTTCCGACCATTTCCTTGCCGTCGGATTCCGGCTGCGAGGAACCTGCTGAAATCGGCGAAAACTGTGCCAGAATCGAGAAGAGCTGTACCGAAACCGACTCAGATTTCAACGGATCCAGTCACCGGAATGATCGACCTGGGTGGCAGTTTTGCTCGTATTTTTAATCATTACTTGGGAGAGTGCAGAACTTAATATCTGCATCACTTTCGATAGTATTTGATTCTGTTAGATGATCACCAAAAACAGGTGAAGACAAAAGATCAATGGACAGAAATGCTTCATGTTGGAAACGGATACAAAGACCATCGCCGATGACTTTTTTGTAGCCGATATCAATCAATATCTAAAAGGTTATATGCGAACTGACCGATAAGCAGAATGGATAACTTACTGTTTTGGCCCTTTCGAAGTCGTCTTCGTGAACGATAATATCAATGTCCATTGTGTTTTGTACGAGTTCGTGAAAAATGAGAGCTTAACCGCCTATGATGCCCAGGTCGATCAATCCCCTACTCGGATCCTACAGGAATTCGACGGGTCCTATGGTCTCGGATCCCTTGTTGAATCTTGAATAAATTGCTGAATCGACAAGTGGACCTGTACAATAACCCTTCATGTGTATGGAAGTGCATGGCGTTTCGAAAAATATCTGAGAAAAGCAACGGTGTATGATAATATATTAAAATATTGTTAAACAATGATGTTTACTCTCTAAAAAAAACCGGGCGATACTGAACCATAAAAGGTTTTAGACGCTAGCTAAAACCTTTTATGGTTCTAGATTTGGGTACCATCTTCAGAACCTTATGGGCTCTAGATTTTTTTGCTAAAACCAGAAAAGGTTCACTATGACCCGATTTTTTTACAGAGTATAGAAAATGTTTTCTATCATTGAAGAGCAAATGCCGCTAGAGGGCAAGTGTCCTTGGGGAGCAAGTGTCACAGGAGCGAATGTCTGGGGTGCACCTTTCGTGATACCCAATGTTTGATGAAATGTGATTTAGATCCAAATTTGAGTGATTTTAACGGAGTAACAAACGTTTCTTTCGCTGATGACCCGCTCGTCACTGATTATTTGCCAAATCCTCGCGTTGAAATTCTCGTCGAAAACAAAGCCGATGAGAAATTGTCTCCATCAATCTTCGAAGGAAATCCATTGCTATATTTTCTTTGTAAACATACAAATGAAAATAATCTAAAGAAAATTTCTGGATTTATTCAGTTCAATTCTCATGTGAATATCATTGAATTTGTTGATTATGATTTTCGTTCGATTGCACATGTCGCTGTTGCTCAAAATCAACTGGAAATCATTTGATTTTGATTTCAAAACTACGAATTATCCCAAGTGAAACAATTAATCTCTCAAGAAGATCTTTGGGTATTTTCACAGTTAGATGAAGCATATCGTCTCAATCATTATGAAATTATTCAACTGATTCAAGAAATTTTTATCAATCACAAAATCAAATATCAAAATTTCAAAATCAACCTTTCGTTTCTACATTAAGAAAATGGAAAAAGGGTTTTCTTTTTTCTTCATTAGTTTCATCAGGTGAAGTAGAAAAAATTGATTCAATCTTTCAACGTGGTCATTTTGTTTCAACAGAAACTTATGCTGATTATCACGGAAGACCACCAATGCATTTAGCGACTATCGTTGGACATTTGAATATTATCAAATTACTTCTTCAATATCGATATTATGGTACAGCAGATCGATTTGGCCGATATGCCATTGATGAAGTAAAACAAAGAAATTTTCAAGAAATTGTTCAACTTTTAGAAAAATAAATCAAACATTTCGATGATTTTTTTTATTGCTCAAACATCATACAATCTTATATGTTCACTAAAACTTCTTTCAAATAATTCTTGTAGAAACAATAAATAATACTCGATCTTCCCAACAAGTCCATTAAATTTCCAAAAGAAATGTAAATGACAAAATTGTCTATTGTATATCGATAGAAATCTTCGCTACACGATCTCAACGATGACGGCACCGATATCAACTGATATTGTCACTATAATAAGTTCGACTGTAATTGAAGTTATGTTTACCAAGCACTCAGCTTTTTCGTGTGCATTGATGTTTTTAATCTAACTGAAGTCTGATTTTTATTGGAGAGCAGATATTTATGAATGAATACATAGAAAAATTTATTGAAAATAATTCTTGTTAATCGTCATCTTCATTTTTATCACCAGTATGACCGTAAGGTTCCGATTCGACTCTGAACAGCATACTAACCCAGGTCGATCATTCCGGCCACTGGATCCGTTGAAATCTGAGTCGGTTCCGGCACAGTTTTCGCCGATTCCAGCAAGCTCCGGCAGGTTCCTGGCCGTTTCCAGCTCGAAGTTTGCAGGAAACGGTCGGGAAATGACTGGAACCTACGTTTGAACTTCCGGCCGGAACCGACCGTGCCATAATAACCTGGGTTAAGCTCTTCTTGTTTAGTAATTTTATCGATCGATTCATACAAATGTGAAGGATCCTTGACATTGGACGATATTTGATTGAGAAATTCCATATGATACGACGAAGTTTTGGACCAGACAAATTCTTTAATTGTTAGTGAGATTGTATCAATATCATCAATTCCCAGCAATAATGACTCTGATCTTGTAGAATGCATTTTGAATTCTCGGCCACCAAATTGGTAGATAAGAAATCTAGAAGGACTAGACGAACGATCAAACACCACTGTCGAATCCATAATAAAATCATTCAGATTATCATCCTCGTGGCCAATTTTCTTCGTACCGTGTGGTGTAATTGGTGGCAAATTAAAACCAATTAAATTAAGCCTAATGGCTAGAATGAACAAATGAAATGAACTATTATGTAAAGTTGTATCGCCTTCATGCGTAGTTAATGAATGTTGTTCGCGTATTTCATCAATTTGAATTCGAAATGTCGAATAATTATCATCATTAAATCCTCCAATTAGATAAACACTTTTAAAAATTGCTTTTCGATTTACTCAACGGACTTTGCGAAAGATCTTCGTCAAAAAATTATTGCCATCATCCTTCGAATATTGACGAGATGCATTGAATGCAACTGAATCTGCATAGTAAAAGAAAATTGTATTTTCGAGTTCGATGACGACAGCAATACAGGATGCAAAACCAGAAGTTGCTAAAATATTCGGATCGAAACCATAACCACCAAGTCCTACGTTTTTAATCGACTGCATGTTACACTCTTTTGTATCGTTTTCAAATTGTGTAATCTGTTTCGAAATGCTTGGGTTTATTTTTTGTCGTCTGTCTGACTATAATCTATCAGTTCAGTCCGCTCATAGAATAATGGTGCAGAAACGAAAAACGAATGCGCACGTGTTTTTATTTTCGCTCAATTCTGTTTCAAACAACCACATTGCAACTGATCCAAAATTTCCGCTTTCATACGAGATTAATCAAAATGACCTCATTGAGAAGGTTCATGAAAAGCTGAATGGTATAATGAACTTCTCGCAGACACATCTTTATACAAATCATCAGTAAACAATCCCAAAAAAAGAGATTTCTCAGTCAAAAACAACCAGCGGGATATTTCATTCGTTCTGTACATGTCTTTCATTCTCTTTCTACCTCGCAGTGATATTTCTTGTCGCTCACATGGCTGATTAAAAAGATACAAAATGATCTTGTGTTGATTTATTGATCTATCGATGACTAACGATATTACTGATCGAAAGTTGTTCGACAAGAGCAAAGATTTTTATAAGAATATTTTTTTGAATGAGATAAATGTTCTAATCTATAGGTATATAAAGAAGTATTATGAAACTTGTTTTATTCTCTTTCTCGTAGGGAAGTGTTAGATCTTGTTAAATACCTTTATTGGAGACTAAATAACCACCAATTCGATAAGTAAACGCTCTCTCTCACATAAGAAATATGGTCCGTATATATACCTATGACCATTGGTTATTTCCACTATATGTTTACCTTGGAAAATACCTTTACTATCGCACACATAGATGAACACTAGGAAAAGACCAATAGAAACACCTATCGAGGTTAACAGAGAGAACGAGCGAACATATGTATAAGAGAACCGAAAAGAAAAGAAAGAAAACCTATATATTTAATAGAAGAAGCATGTTGGATAATTCCTTATTTTATGTTGTAATGAATGTTTCATAACACTTTTGTTAGTATTCTTCCTTTAAATATATTAGGTCTTCTCCACGGACAATTTACTACAATTTCAGAACACTTTTTTGAAACTTAAATCCAACTTGATCTTCTTTAGCAGTTTTAAGGAACTTGACCACTTTTACTGTTAGTGTTAATGCGTTATCGGTTTCTCCATGATGATTTACTTGTATGGGAAAATGTAAAGAGTTGAAATCTCAAGGGTATAACTACAGCTCTCTTATTACAAGTAGCGCTCGTCGTGCCGACTCACTTAACCCTCGACTGTGGAGAGTAGATATTTTTGTCGTACCGCAATTATGAGATAAATAGATCTAACAGTTCTATATACGAAGAAACAGCTCTAGTACTTTTTTACACAGAATTATTCAGTATTTTGTTTTCGAAAGTTACTAAATATATCTGCGCAAAACATTTGAATTGTTTCTTCGTATGTAAAAAATTGTTAGATCAATTTGTGCCACATTGCGGATACGAAAAAACTACCTGTTCTCCACAGTCGAGGGTTAAGTGAATCGGCACGGCGAGCGCTACTTGTAAAGTATGAATGTGAATAAAATCATTATCCTTATGCGTCTAAAATTTATTCGAAAGAACTAATAAGCAACATTGAAAACTTATATATATTTCACATTAAGCTGATTATTCATATTAATGAAATAGGAGTAAATAATAAAGATCAAAAAAGAAATATAATAATAAAAATTCAAATATTATCTGTTGTATCAGAAATAATTACAATTTGTCGTTGACAAGATCGTTTGAACCAACATCGTCGAATTAATTTAATTGTGCGTGGAATTCCAAATCGAAAGATAATATCAAGACCACCAATTAACCCAATAATTGTAGATATAATATAAACAAAATCATATTTAATAACATACGTATATTTACATTCAATGGGATGACATTGTTCAAAATATGTTGAATAATTAACATGAGTATACCAAGATTCAGTCATCATTTTTATCATCATGTCATTAATCGATGTAGTAATATTGTATTGACTATTACGAGACGCATTCAAGGCTCTTGTATAGAAAGGAATAGGATTTTTATTATCAAATTCAATTTTTTCCCGAAATTCATCAATCCATGTTTGATTATAAAGTGAAATTAGATTTGATTGTAAAGTTGCTTCAATCATAGAACAACCAACAACAAAGCCAGGAATTAGATAGTAAATAAGTGTATAATTAATAGGATCATAAAGAGCAGCTGGTACAGTACATGTTGGATCTATGTAACATGAACATGATAATGTCGACATATTATAAACTCTTGGTTGAATTGATATTTTCATACTTGTCCGATTAATTATCGTAGCTTGAATCCGTGTTGATGAGCCATAAAATGAAATAAAAGTATTTGTATCTATTGTATCACGTATATTTTGCATTGAATTAATGAATGTATTTTCAATTGTTGTAATAAAAAGATCAATAAGTAATTGTCCTTCTTTTGACAATTGATTTTTTGGAATAATTTGATTAGTAATAAAAGATGATCTATTAAAATCTAAATGTTTACCATTAATTAGTGTAAATGATAATTGACAAAGTGATGCAATAGTAGCAAAAATTGCGTCACCAAACGTTCGAAAATCCCGGTTACTAAATGAATCTATTTCTGCTACCTTTGAAATTCCAGTTATCCAACGAGAATCAACAAAATCACTTGAACAAATTTGATGAAAATTTGGTTGAATAATAAGAAATGTTTCTTGATAAATACTAATATTTGTACATGGACAAATTAATGTTTGATGAAAATTATCATAAAGTGAAATATATTGTTCAATTGATGGATTAGTTATTATAACAGTTTTTGTCAATTCAACTTGAGAAGAATAAATAGTCAGAATAATAAGTGAAAGAAAAAGTAAAATTAAATATAAACGTGTTGAAATAATTTCATTTCGAATTTCAAATTCATTATTATTAGAATTTCTATGATCTTTATGAAATAAATTTAATTGATATAATCGTTGAAGAATCGATCGAATAGAAACGATGAATGGAGTTCTTACTGGAGTTATTTCTCTTTGTTGATGACCACAACGACAACGTGTATACAAGAAAAATATACCTCGAACAGAATAAAGTGCAACAATTTGAAAAATTTTCATAAGACCACCGATAAGACTAATAACTGTAGTTAAGATAATCCAAAAAGAATTTCGTTGATTTAATGTGTATGTACAACGATCAGGATGACAAATTTCATAAAAAGTACGATAAGAAATTGAATAATTCCATTCATCAACAAATAATTCATTTTCAATTTCATTAACGGTTGAATTAGGATAAAAATTAATAAGTTTATCAATATCAATGGCTTTTACATGAGATGTTTGTAACCAAAAAGACATTTTATTTACACACGATTGATTAAAAAGACAAGCTAGAGTAGAATAACGAATACCTTCAACTGTTAAACATCCTAAATATAGACCTGGAATAACATCATCTGGATATAAATCAATACTCGAATCGTATATTACCAATGGAATATAACATTTCACAGTAGGATAGCAACGACAAAATGCAAGTGGCTCTACTTCAATAATATGTGCAACATAGTAGTAGGATGCCAGAGATGATGTTCTGTTCGTAAAGTTGAACATGAAACCAAAGTTTGTCTCTTGTGTACTCATGAGTCCGTTCATCCGTGTCATATCAGAAATGAGTGCAATATCACGTGCAAAAGATCGGATTATTGATTTTTTGAATATCATGAAATTTGAATTTACTTCAGCCTCAAATGTTTCTGAAGTAAGTACTTTCTCAGTAATAAATAATGTTTTATTGAATGAATTAAGACTTTGATCAATATGATTAATAGATGCTTGACAAAAGGAGAGAAGTGCATTAAAGAATGAACCATGAACTAGACGAAAATCAAAACGCTCATTGTAAAGTTGTTCAGGAGGTTTATGATTGATCCATTGTTGATGAACAAAATAAGATGAACACACTGGATGAAGTGTATAATTAATATGAAAGAATTTTTCATAAGGTATGGCAATCGTCGAGCAGGGACAAGAAAATGAAGGATTCCAATATTGATCAGCCAGGAGATTAATAAATTCATCAATAGTGGGAAATTCAATTTGATGAACTGTAGTGACACGTACAGTACTATGATAAGATGTCAGTACAATAGCTGATATTAACAAAAACAGAAAGAATATCCAAGTTGATATGATTTCCTGTTTAATTTCTTGATTCGATCTCAATGATGGTTTAGAAAAGTAATTGATCAAGTAAAGTCGTTCTTTCCAAGAATGATGAACCACGTCTAAATATAAGAATACATCAGGTCCTCATTTAGGGACAATTAAACAACTATCATTACTTTTGATGACCAAATAGAGACTTTTACTAAGGATCTTTTTAAAATACGTACTATAATTTACCTCAATCGAAATATTGATAGTTGAATATGGTATTTTCTGATGCTTTCTGAATTTCAAATAAAAAAAGGTGACATTCTCTACACCCTCAATCATCATTGAGTTTTCACATGCCAACATCATGACTGTAATCATATATTATTATATAACATGAATACTTATACAATTGTAATAATACAAGCCGCCATGGCGGAGCGGTTACGTTCTTCGACATATATCTACAAGGTGTTGTGTTCAAACCTTGATACTACCAGCTATGGAATGACCCTGAACAAGTCACTAACGGTTATTTGTTTCGGATCATCGGTCCAGGACTACAGCTAACAACAGTTGTAGGAAAAATATTGATCTAATGCAAATGTTCTCGGACATCACTCCATACTGGAAGGTGGTAGTAGAAAGACGAGGTGTTCTTCTTCTCAGTTTTAACACTCCATTATATTAAAAGAAAAGGCAAAATCCGTATGTCGTTACTTTTGCTATGCAGCGAAGAGTTCCAGACTCACTTTTTCAGTCTGAAATCAAGTAATTTTTCTTATTTAAATTTTTCAGAAAGCATTCAAATAGACTATTGTACTTATATTATACTAGAAATGATATCTACTTACTAGGCTGATTTTCCACAATAGGTGGTGGTACTAATCGATGTCGAATAAATTTCACACATCGAGGAATAACTATTCGAAGGACTTTTGTTAAACCACCAATAAGACCAATAAATATGGTAATCATATAAATAATATTAAATTTGGATATGAATGTATATGTACAAAATACAACTTTACAATAATAAAAATATTCAATATGTGAAATATTTTCTTTCCATTTTTCTGTCATCGCTTTCGAAAGAAGTTGATCAATAGTTGACGAAATATTAAATCGACTCGTAATAGATGAATTGAGAGATAAAATTGATTTGTTGAATACGACAGGAGCTTGAAGAAATTCTTCAATTGTTCTAATACATGATGGCTCATAAAAGCATTTAAGTGAAGATTGTCGAACAGCTTCGGTCAAATAACAACCTGTAAATAGACCTGGTATATAAAAATAAGATGATGTGTTGCTTTGATTTATTTGACGATTTTTTAAGATCAAAGGTTCAATACACGAGGAACGTGTGTTGCAACTACATGTACCGTTTTCATATTCACGAGGTAAATACACGAAAAATGGAGGCCAAGTATGGAGCTTTATATTTACATTACTAAAGAGACTAGGTAATGGTGAACTTGTTTGAATAAAAAATTCCATGAAATTCATTGCTTGGTAATATGTAAGTTCAGTTGATAATTGAAAACCTGTAATAATGTCATTAATCTGTCCGATAAATATATTTTTGGCAAATGCTTCAGTTGTAATTAAAGGAATGACATTAAATGTTTTTAAGGCTATCATAATTGTTTCATTTGCTCGATGACAGAATGAAGCAAGAGTACGAAAAATAAGAGCGCCCATATAATTAAAATCTTCTGAAATATACATACCTCTAGCTGACCCAATATGATCAATCCAGTTTTGGGTGATAAAATCTGATGAACATATCTGATGCAATTGAGGATGAAGATGAATAAAATATTTATGAGGAATAGCTATATTGTTGCATGGACACCGAAGTGTTTGTGGATAGTGAAGCGAAAGTGATTGAAAGAGATCATAAGAGGGATTTGTTACTTCTCTGGTATGCAATATATTGCGTTGACCGGTATAAATCATGATAATAAGAATGCAAATAATTAACATTATCATGAAGATACGAGTTGATATTTTCTCATTTCGTAATTCGTATTCATTTTTTGCAGTGAGAGAAGATTCGAACAAATTGAGAGTTCGAAGCCACAATAAAATGTTTGAAAACATGCTGTCTATGTTTTTAATCACACTTCTATAAAAGAAAAATACTTTTTATATTGAATAAAAAGTTAACGATATGGAATTTTGATCTGAAGAGAAATGAATAAGAATTCATTTCAATTAGAAAACTAAAAGATTCCAAGATGGAGCCTCTGCTCTTTTATATTTCAAGGGTGTGGGTGTGCGTACCCTTCTTTTTACTCATGCTCACGTCAAGCATAAAGTGATGGTAGTAAATGAATAGTCTGAAAATCGTAGGTAAATTTTTGAAATTTCTGAAAAATGGATGGAACCTTACCGAATTTTGCCTACTTTCCTCGGTTCTACCGGTCCCACTTCAATATTTTTCTCATCCAAGAAAAGCGCTGTGAAAAGTTTGGGGATGAACACTATCACGGATATTAAAAAAAACTTTGGTTCATCAAAACTGGACGGACAGACAAACATTCTTCCTTATACGTATAGATATTTGTCATCTTCTTTTTGTAGAGTCGACCTTTCTGACGAAATTATCATCAAAGACTTACTTTTCCTAACCAATCATTGATTGTTGCTATTATTTCGTGCTTAAATTTGATGTCAAACAAACTCTTCATATTATTTAATAAATTTATTTTAATTAAATTCAGTGAAGAAATTATCGAATTAGAATAGATTCAAACTCATTTTCGTATAAAATTACGATGATTATCAATAATGGAAAGATCATTCACATTTATTCGCTCTTATCGGTTCTATTATTTTGTATTCCTAATTTTAATGAATGACCCAAAAGAAATGGTCTCTCAATATTTCTCTTAGATTATGATGCATATACTCGAGTTATTTTTCCAAAAGATACTTCGTAGAATTATTTACAAAACCTTATGAAAAAAGCTCTTTCAATAAAAACTACAACCGCCCAAAATGATCCACTTTCAAATCCTCATTTTTATAAAAACTGATTATTTCATAATTCTAGCTAAATAGATACGAAACTATTCTAAAATAATTTTTCTGTATTTTCAGGTGTACTCTGTATAATAAAGGTGAAAAGACGATATTTGAATAGGATTACAAGCTTCCATTCGTCACTCTTTTAGAAAAACGCTTCGCAACATTCCGCTCGTATCAGAATGATAGAAGAAAAACATTTTCTTTCAATCTGTAATAAATTTGTTTTTAAGAGAACAAATATAAAATTGTCAAAAATCTTAACAGAAGGTTCTTATAATACGAACAGAGGGGAATAAAGCAGAGGTTTTTAGACAAATTTAGAGTAGATCAATATAAATTATCTGGTTGACTCATGGAGCTTTTCACGGACTACAAATTGGCTTATTGAATCTGTTTTATATGTCGACAAAAGAACGGCGCAAAATCATAAATATAAAAGACAGCGCTTAGAAAAGTATGCCGTACTTTTAGCATTGTAGTTTCATTGGATATAGTTCCATAGTCATTCATTGCAAGAGTTCTATGGACTACTTTCTGCAAAAAAAACTCGAGTATATACATCAAAATCTGAGAGATTATTTTTTCTGGGACAGCTGTTAGATTTTTTTGTTAAAAAAGATAGGAGAGTAGGTTTGTTATTTTTATTTCATCAACATTCGATATATCATGAACGCTTATGGATACACATCCTGTAACTAAAGAGCAAACTATGATGATGTTGTTATTAAAAGCACTGTTTGATCTCCGCGCCATTTCCATATTGTTCGACACACAGTGATGTCTGACCTACTGAAGTGAACGGTATTATTGGACGACAGCCTGATGATTTCTCAAAGCCATTATTTTTTCGTGATTTACAATCTTTTTTTCATAAATACGAAAGCTATAAGGTTCAGGAGAAAGTTCCCAAGATTGTTAACCAAGATTACAAATTAAACAATTTAGCATGTGATGATAGATTGAAAATTTTAGAACTAGTAACGCTCGTCGAGGCAGACTCGCTATACCCTCAACTGAACCACTGACTGAAAATACAATAGTCTTATATGTATTTTATGCAAAAAAAGACAGAAATATAACTTTTGAAGGGGTCCCTAGAAACTGATTTTCATTCGTCTCACAGTCTTCAAAAGAACCAAAATACCACTTGTGTTCCTTTTAATTATTCGATATTCCTGACTGACAATTACTCTTCACAGAAAGCAGAAGTTCGCTATAAATGACTATTATGGATTTGCACTTTTAAACATGTCCTCCTTTTTCTAAATGAAAGATAATTTCAGTAAAACCAAGTGAGACTCGGTATATATTTTGCATTCGAACGCGTCGGATTGCTGATACTTTTGTAACTAGCTAGATTACTAGGCGCCACTCACAACTTGCCGCTCCAAAGCTGTCCCTATCTATCATATAATTACACGTGTGCTACTAAAAAGTATCGAAAACTAATTCGCATTCCATCAGCATCTCATGGATAAGATTATCCTCGTCCGAACATTTGAGGTTATCTCCTTAATTAAAATGCTTAAAGGCCTACAAAAACTCTCAATATAGCGAAGCTCAGCATTTAAGATTGCTCTCCAGTATGTAACTTGTGAATGAATGTATTTTTGGATTACTGGCCTTTGGTATGCGACAGTCAACCCAGTGTGTTTTTACTTTTTCGTAATCAACTCTTCTATGTAGCCCTCCTCTCAGGCGCGGTTGAAATGTTTTCTTCATTTCTGTCACATTCCTGCCCCTTCACCGGTCATCCAGTCAACCTCGAGCCTCAACACCCCTCCTGTAACGATAATGATATCGTTCATCTCTTTCTGTTCTTTATTCTCTCACCTCTATATCATACTATCTCCGGGTCATATCTCTCTTTCCTCTTCTCTATATAAGCGCGTGTCTTATTGTGAAAGAGACACATTCTGGTCATGTAGAGTAGTCAATAAACATTGATACCGTGAGAAGCGGTCAGCTACTCAACCAGTTTGTCGTTACACGTCCCAAACGATGTTTTATGAAGTTTTGAGCATTTTCAAAAAAAATGTTTTTTTGACCTTTGACCTTTGACCCTGACACAGACAGACAGACAGACAAACAAACTTTTTTTTTATATGACCCTCCTTTCAGTCGAGGGAATTACGACGAGTGCCGTGAATAGCGTCGCTCCATATGTGATCAATACTATATATGGCACTTGGTAAAATTGAGAATGAGTGTAGAAATTGACAAGGTATTGATCAATACTAATCAATACCAATACCTTCAATGCCATCAATACTCCTCAAAAGCAAGACTCAATACCAATTTTCAATGCCGAGTATTGGTATTGCGACATGCCTAATACTGAGAAAGCGAGCGCATTACTATAGAAGCACTCAGCGTGCTCTTTATCATCGGTCTACAATATAACTGCTGAAAGGCTAATTTAATTGTGATGAAATTTCCAATGTCGTATTGTTACGTAAGAATCTCACTGGAGCTCGAAGATAAGACCGATTGGACATCTGACTCCTGAATTATTGAGAAAATATTGATAATTTCCTGTGATTTCTTATTGTCTTGCATCCGGTACATTTTCTGCAGCACATCTAACTTTCGAATAAAATCCGAAATGTTCCTATTGATTTAAGTCTGTATCGAGTTCTACATATGCATTGATTAAGATCATAAACGATAGTTAAAAGGGTCGATCTAAATAAACTACAACCATTGTTTTAAATCATATTCCTTGTGAAATTAAAACCAGTTTGTTTCTACTCACCTTCAAATGTAGTTCACTCAGAAAAGGGTCAGCGAATTCCTTCGATGAGCGTTACTTGTACTATCTGAAAAGTGTCGACAAGACAAAGTTGGAAGAAAAAATAACCAAGTTCCTAACTGAATTCTTATCTTCTTTATTTGTTTCAAGCGTAGTGAAGTGACTTTTTTGTGAGTGTTTTTCTTATCTTCTTTATTTGTTTCAAGCGTAGTGAAGTGACTTTTTTGTGAGTGTTTTTCTTATCTTCTTTATTTTTGTTTCTTGTGAGAGTTTGTTTCAAAACCAACAGATAACAGAAATATTTTTGTCTCCGAAAAGATTCAAGAAGAGAACGCCGTCATTCGTTGTCTTTATAAAAAGAGAAGGGAATTTCTTCATCTTCACAAAAAAAACAAAATACTGTGAATTTCAGTTTATTCAACAGAATGGGCGCACAAAAATCAAAATCAAGTTCCACGACAAGGAAGCATGGTAATCAACCGCGACAACGCATGGTTCAAAACTGCCTCTTAGTTTGGGTGGATCGCAACATCGATGAAAAGGAGCAAGACTGTCAGAACACTTTGACGCATTTACGAAGTGTTGTCAATGATGTCAATCTATACACTCAACCAGATGCTTGCCTTCAATTCCTCAACAGTATCGGTGACGAAAAGGCTTTCGTCATCATATCGGGATCCTTAGGTCAACACTTAGTTCCCGAGATTCACGGCATTCCACAAGTGAATGCCATCTACATCTTCTGTAGCAACAAATCCAGATATCAAAACTGGATAAAGAACTGGCCAAAAGTCAAAGGTGTTCACACAAATATTAAAGAAATCTGTGAAGCACTGACCACGGGTGTTAAACAACATAATCAAGATTCCATCGCCATGAGTTTTGTCACCGCAAGAGGAGAGGGTTCCAATGCCAATCTAAATCAACTGGAGTCCAGCTTTATGTACACGCAAATATTTAAGAAGATTCTCCTCGACATGGAACACGACAAACAAGCAATCAGAGATCTAGCCAATTATTGTCGGCAGCGTTTTCAAGGCAACATCGCAGAGCAAAGTGCTATTGATAAGTTCGAAGGTGAATATCGTCCGGACATGGCCATTTGGTGGTATACACGCGAGTGTTTTACTTACAAAATGCTCAATCAAGCACTTCGCACTTTGGATGGCGAAGTCATTATTAACATGGGATTCTTTATTCATGATCTACACAAACAAATACAACAACTACATCAAGTACAAGTCAGTAGTTACGGGCGAAAACCTTTCGTAGTCTACCGTGGACAGGGCCTATGTAAAACAGATTTAGACCAGTTATCAAAAACTGTTGGTGGTCTTTTCTCTTTCAACAATTTTTTATCCACTAGTACCCAACAAGAAAAATCTCTTAAGTTTACCTACCGCGCTCTCCGTGATCCCGACAAGGTGGGTGTTTTGTTTGTGATCACAATTGATCCGACTATTGCTGCAACTCCATTCGCATCGATTCGAGATTTTACTTATTTCGGAGGCGAAGCAGAGATCCTGTTTTCCATGCACAGTGTGTTTTGAGTTGGCACAGTTCGACAAATGGGTGACAAGAATAAACTTTACCATGAGGTGCAACTTCAGTTGACTGCTGATGACGATCCACAACTGCGTGTGTTAACCGACCGTATTGAAAGTGAAGTTCGAGGTAGTACAGGATGGCAGCGTTTGGGTAGATTATTGCTTATACTCGGGCAGTTGGATAAAGCAGAAGAACTCTACACTGTGTTATTGGAACAAACGTCTGATAAGAATGACAGAGCACTCTATTATCATCAACTTGGCTACTTAAAATATGATCAAGGTGATTATAAAATGGCTACAGAATACTATGGAAAAGTACTTGAAATTAGAGAAACAACTCTTCCCTCGAATCACCTGGATTTGGCTACTTCATACAACAACATCGGTGCGGTCTATGACAACATGGGAGAGTACTCGAAAGCACTTCCATTCCATGAGAAAGCACTTGAAATTAGAGAAAAAACTCTTCCCTCGAATCACCCTTCATTGGCTCAATCGTACAACAACATCGGTGCGGTGTACATGAACATGGGAGAGTATTCGAAAGCGCTTTCATTCCATGAAAAAGCAGTTGAAATTAGAGAAAAAACTCTTCCTTCGAATCACCCTTCTTTGGCTACTTCGTATAACAACATCGGTGCGGCGTACATGAACATGGGAGAGTATTCGAAAGCACTTTCATTCTATGGAAAAGCACTTGAAATTAGAGAAAAAACTCTACCCTCGAATCACCCTTCGTTGGCTACTTCGTACAACAACATCGGTTTGGTGTATGACAACATGGGTGAGTATTCGAAAGCACTTTCATTCTATGAAAAAGCACTTGAAATCGACGAAAAAACTCTTTCTTCGAATCACCCTTCGTTGGCTACTTCGTATAACAACATCGGTTTGGTGTATGACAATATGGGTGAATATTCGAAAGCACTTACCTATTTCGAACGCGCTCTGGGCATTTGTCAACGTGCATTACCGGCGAATCACCCTCATATGAAATCTGTAAAAGGAAGTATCGAAATTTGTAAAAAAGCAATGAAGAAATAAAAGCTTTCAGCGCAATCCCTATGGGATTAAAATGTGAAACCCGACGCCATTGGCATTCCTGGTAGTGATCCTATCGGTTACGGTCTGTGACGGGGTTTTTAGCCTGTCGGTCACATGTCTGTGGGGGGGGGGGGGGGGCCCACATTTTTCCCCCCAAACCCCGAACCCCTCCCTCCACGGGGTGTTTACC